ACCCCTTTATCCGAGTCTTGCGGTAATAGTGGACTTTTCCCGCCTCTCTTCGCCTTTCAACCAGTGGTGCCAATTCAGCGGCACAGGATGGCTCTACAGAGGGACGGAGGGAGGAGGGAGCCTCGATACCAAAGCCGCCGCCTTCGTACAGGGTGGAGAGACGCTTTGGACGAGCCCGCGCCGCAAAGCTGCTATCTTAGGTTCTGAACTTTGAACAAACACCGCTTTCCCTTCGCCGGTACATTTCGCGTCTGGTAAACTTGTCCACTCCTGTCTCTCCATTTTTTTTATTAAATAACAAAGACGTTGCCAAGGAAAAACAGAAGGCCGAATCTACTGTCCTGCGTCGGTAGCACAGATCTAGTTTGCTGACCAAATAATCGCTACTTGACCAAAACCAAATACTAAAAAAAAAAAAAAAAAATTCAGAATTGTCTTGGGGGGGGGCGGCCGCCCCCCCGCCCCGCCCCCCCCCCCCCTAAATCCGCCCCTGGTGTGCGTGAGGGGGCTAGTTTGAACGAAGGACTCACAAAGCTACATTCTGCTTCCTCAAACTTCGCCCTAAATGGCCTTTGTCACGCACTGTGGCTTCCCTGGGGCTTCCCACTCCCAGTCCCAGCTCGAAAAAAAAAAAAAAAAACGGAAATTCCACAGAAACTGTATAGACAGTGATGGGCCTCGTTTCCTACAGCTCCGCAAAAACTTTCTTTTTTTTTTTTTTCGTTCGAAAAAAAAAAGAAGCAAATGTTATTTTTGTCATTTCATAAAAAAAGGCGTGTGCTGAGGGGGAGGCCGGGGGGGGGGGGGGGGGGGGGGGGTCCCGTGGACAAATTGTATCGGTTACAAGTAATTTTATTACTTGACAAAGTAATCAGATTACTCTCGTGATTACTGCCTAATAAAAGTAATCAACTGATTACAAAATTACTTCAAAAAGTAATCGATTAGAAGTAATTTGATTACTTGTAATGCGTACGGTACAAGTGTAGGTAGGTCTAGAGTCACTGAATGTTCCCAGATGCCGAAACTCCCAGGCTCGATAACGGCAAAATAACGGCTCAATTTTTTTTATTGTTATTATTATGAGCGTTTAGAAAGTTTTTTGTGTTTTTTTGCGCAAAAACAAATGGAAGCTCTTCTTGTAGGTACGTTTATTAGAGATTAGTACAGAATGATAGGAGCGAGATGTTATCATAAAAGGTTAGTTTACAATGTCTTCCGGCACAATTAAAGAGGCCACGAAACGAATTTTGGGCTGGGATAAATGATTGTAAATCGGGTCTTTACTAATCGCATATCGCTTAGTTGGCCAAAAGAAAGAGGCTAGAAAGTCAAAAGCCAGCTTTTCGGTACGAACATTTGAAAATATAGCGGACTATTTTGTACCTTCTTGCCCTCGAAAGCTCTCCGCCTTTTCACTACGATACATCCGCGGTTCCCAAAGCGCTTCAGCGGTGCCAACCTGACGTCAGCCGAGCCCAGCTCACGCATTGGACACGAGAACTGCGTCACTCGGGCGTATGCGCTCGTCAACAATCAATCCGTCGAGGAATATTTGGATTCGCGTTCGTGGCCAATGAGTGCCCTGACGGAACTTATTGTCACTGGCGAATGACAAGTTCTATGTTGTGCGTAAATAGCGCGGTGGAAGCTAAGAGTCATCGCACCGGTGCCGAACAATGTCACAACGACGTGATTTCACAATTCGCATTTGAGTTGAGGATTAATGCTAAGGAGGGAGAAGTAGGAAAATCGTTTCATGACCCCTTTAATATTGTTTGTATACAGCCACGGGGAGAGCATGACGCCCCACAGCCGTCACAGCGGACGCTATCGAATGCGACACTCCGGAAACATTCAGTGACTCTAGGTAGGGAAACGGTGTTGGTAGGCCTAGGCGGTGTTCGCCGAACCCCGGACGACTCTGTTCGTTAAGTCGTAGCTTTCTTCCGCTTCCGCCAGTCGACCGGGTGTAATTCGAGCGTTCGCCTCTGCGAACACGCCAACACACAACAAAAATGAAATGTCACGGCGCATTACAAAATTACGTTAGTTTAACAGACAGCGGGAGTTTCGTACGGTGACATCGTTACCCGTTGTATATTATAAATATAGCCAGTGCACTAAAACCGTTAGCTCGGGGTCTTTAAATCGCGCAGTATAGTGATACACGATCGCACGCCGGTACGATGCAGATGGGCGATTGAACCCCGAGTTCTTGCGGATTCTGCAGCGTGAGCTCCGTGCTTTGAATGGAGCTCGCGTTCGCGCATTTCTCCACGTGCTCTGCTCTGCAGTGCGTCGACATACTTGGCCAATGATCCCGCACCGCACTTGGCTTAGCCTACAGCACGGTGGCCTACAGCCACTAAATGAGATACGCTTAGAATATAAGCACTCGTTTCCCCGATATTGTTTGGGCGCCGCCATCTTTGTGCTTAGTACAAAGCAGACGCAACTTCCGATCGTCATGATTCAAAAGTGCTACTTCCCCAGCATTAGTTTCGGTGTTGGGAAGCTCCTGCAATATATTGTTTTGCTTTGTCACGAACTGTTTAAACATTTATACAGGACGGAAAAGCGTTTCCTGTGGTTTCAGATGCAGCTTCAGAAAACTGACAACCATGAATTTAAGCACCAATATTCGTAAGTGTCATTACTTTGAAGCGTAGCTTATTTAGTGGCTCCAGCTTAGCTTGACCCCACGGGCACAGAAAGTGAATGAACTGCATGACCTCGCACTCCTGGCGCTACTTCAGTGGCTTCATCAGCCCCGTTGGCTGCACTTTGATTTAAGGTAAAGCGAAGCAAATATTCAGATCTTAGTTTTTTACAAACCAACTCAACAAAAATCATGGAACACGCCCCAGCAAAAAAATAAAATAAAATAAAATAAATAAATAAATAAATAAATCGCGGGTTTGTTTTGACTAACTAAAGATCTTTTGACGTGCAACTGAAATCTCAAGATTGACTTCCGTCAGATCATGGGCACTTCGGTAGGTATTCAAACTCGGCAAATAGGGATTCATAGGCCAGCGCGTTGGCTCAAAGCCACTGAGACGTTTTAATGTTTAGTGTTTTATTTTATTATCATTGCCATGTAAGAGCCACAACGGAGGTTGTGAAACAAAATATAGTGAAACCATTCCAACAAGCACAGTTCGATTGCGAAAATGATTTCTGCAATTGATAAAAAAAATATTCAATTGTTTTTGCATACGTGGCGGAATCCCAACTGGCTGAATCGCTTTCATATGGCGCCCATTTCATTTTGATCGCGTTAGGCATGCGTACGGACGCGCAGTAGAACGCGCGCAAAAGCAGCTGTGGTGCAACCGCATCCTAGCGCTTGTTGTTTTCGCATCTCTAGCTAGCTCACTGCGGGCATCCAGGCATCTGACACCCTAACATATGGTGCTTTTTCTGTCTTTCACGTGGAGTTCCTAGCGGCACATGACGGCAAACGCACATCAAGCTATACTTGAACACTTGTCGCCATCTGTATTTTATATTAAGAAACTGCAACTTGCCGTAAGTGAATGGGCAGAGTTTGAGGCCCAGTAACATTCTTCACGTGTAATATATCGATATGAAATCTCTTGAAAATCTAATATCAAAGGATGCTTCGTAATTTAATGTCTCGTAATTTTGATTAGTTAAAGTGATTCCGTTTTTATAAGACGATAAAGAAATACCATTTTAAACTAATTTTCTTATTTTAAAATATGCATTATCTGTACAGTAAATTGATTACTTTTTTAATTAATTACATCAGATAGACCGTTCACGCAAATTACCGTGAACGATGGAACGTTATAACTAGAGAAATAATGTCTTCAGTATTAGAGAGCGCGGTCTATTAAAAGCTGAATATTAAACTAACCACTCAAAATTATTGTAATATCGCGACATTAAAATATAGTTGAAAAGCAGTTCTTTAATTTGAAATAAACATTGTGACTGTAGGATACATGGAAAAAAAGTTATAAACCAACAAAAAGTGAAAGCCGTTTACAACTCCCTGTAACGCCGAATTAGAGCGCAGCTCTTGAGGAGGAGGAGGGAAGGGTACTGGGAGGGGTGAAGTGACCTTGGGGGGTCGTGACCTTGAGGGGTCACGTGACGATGCCGATGATGTCATTAGTGACGTCACTGATGACGTCATCAGCGATGATGACGATGACGATGCGGATGTCGGTGACGTCATCAGTGACGTCACTGATGACGTCATCCGTGATGATGACAATGACGATGCGGATGCCGTTGACGTCATCAGTGACGTCACTGGTGACGTCATCAGTGATGATGACGATGACGATGCGGATGCCGGTGAGGTCATCAGTGACGTCACTGATGACGTCATCAGTGATGGTGACGACCATGCGGATGCCGGTGACGTCATCTGGTAGGTCACGTGACCTCGGCGGGGAGGGGTCACGTGACCCTGGGGGTGGTCACGTGACCTTGGGGGTGTCACGTGACTTCGGGGGTCACGTGACCTCAGGGGGTCACGTGACTTGGAAGTGTCACGTGACCTCAGGGGGGTCACGTGACGTGGGGTCACGTGACCGCTGGGGAGGGGTCACGTGACCTTGGGGGTCACGTGACCTTGGGATGACCTTGGGGGCCGCGTGACCTTGGGGGTCGTGTGACCTTGGTTACGCCGACGCCGGCGGCGACGCCGACGGCGACGGCGACGCCGCTCAAGCCGGGAACGGGCCCCTAAGAGCTGCGCTCTAAAAAGGAACAAAACGCCATGCACGGTGAGGTTGCACCGTAAGCAAAGCGCGTAGGCGGCCATAGCTGTGTGCGCGACTACTGAGCGCGAGCTGACGGCGAGCTTCCACAGCTGTTTTGCAAGGCGCATTCCGCACCATCAAGGCTGCCGGTCTTAGCAGCCTGTGAATGTGAGCTCTAAACAGCGAACTCAAATATGACGTCCAGGGAACACGGTTGTGTAATTGCGGCTTCCCCGTAAGACCCGAAGGCGGACGCACCTGACTTGGCAGAGACGGACCAATACTCTGCGTCCAGCCTCCGCGCGATCTTCGTGGCGTCCTCTTCCATGCCGTCCAGAACGCCGTCACTCTGAGCCAAGAACCAAAGCAGCGAAAGAGTGTTACCGAACAACGGACATTGCACGCACGTAAAAACATTTACAAGAACATGAATGTTATCCTGATCATTCTGATAAACCCGGAGAGCACAGAATGCGAGAATGCTATAACAAAAACTTTACCGCAAGTTTTTTTTTTTTGTATAGCTGCGTGCGGGGCCTCGAATTCTTAGTGCACTTTAATTGCGAGGAACACGTTTGAGGTACCTGAAGGAATCGCGAGGGGGAAGAGGTTTACCGCGCTCCCTCTATATTGACTGTTGTCGAAATTTAATTGTGACGTCATACGCCAGCTGAGATATCCCTCGGTACGTTATAACTAGGATTACGAGTTTTCGAATAAATCCGACAAAATACGAAACACACTCGCCGGTAAAATTTTCGTGAATTCGGATTGATCCGAAAAACACGGAATTTCGATGTCACAAGGCGAAACAAACAAAAAAACAAAAAACAAAAAAAAAAACATGGTATTCTACAACTAAGCTTGCTCACAGCAGAGGGTCCATGGCCCTGAGGACAGGCACCTCCACTTAATTTTTTTTTTTTTTGTTTTTTAAACCTCTGGCTGGGCTCACCGCTTATCTTGTCATGTTTTGCGCTGAACAACGGGGTCATTGTAAATTTGGATCACGACAAAAGCCACTGTTCGTCTTTGCAGTTCTTAGAAAAAGGCGACTTTGTGCTTTGCCAAGAGGGAAAGCTACCACCACGGGAGGGAGGGGGAAGCTAAAGGCTGTATCTCACCACCCCACCCCGCGCAGCCGCGGGGTGAAGCGGTGGAATGGAATGGGAAGAAAACGAGCTCTCCGCAGACTACACCGAGGATTTCAGTTATTACAAGGTATCAATATTTATTAAAGCAACATTTGTTTGCAAGCTTAGTTGTGGGACAGTCAGTATTGCCAGTGGCGTACCAACTTGTTTTTGAGTGGCGAGGGCAAACCAGAACCCCCCCCCCCCCCCTCCTGGGCCGGGGGGGGGGGGGGGGGGCGGTGGCCTCTGTATCCCTGCCCAGTAGCGGCTGTTTTAGGGGGACAAAACACATGCCTTGCCCCCCACTCTGAGAATTGGGGGGGGGGGGGGGGCAACCGTCCCCTTGCCCCCCCCCCCCCCCCCCCCCCCGGTTGGTACGCCCATGAGCATTACCACTGACAAAGACGCGAATGCCCGATTCAGTCGAAGAAATATTATTCGACAAAGGTGAGTTCTTGTGAATTTAGGGCAGGCATGTGTCCGGATGATATTCGTTTTTATTTGGAATTTTGTAAAAAAATTGCGCACACACCAAAATCAACCTTCGTATTTCGGAGAAACGAAAACCTATCACAAATATTCTCCAATAAACTCCAAATTAAAAAAAAAAAAAGACGAATAACGCCAAAAAGCATTTTCCAAATTTCACGAGAAATAAACTCCGAAAACACGAAACCCTATGTTGCGATCCAGACTGTCATGTCGTGAGTCCATGCTTTATCATTCGGGAGCCAGCTCATCATCCGCCGGCGGTCGCCGGCGGTCGCCTGCGGTCGCCTGCGGACTAAATATGCTGGAGTAAATATGACTTCCCACCGACGCCCGCCTGCGGGCTAGGTATGGACTTCAGTACGACTCGCCTGCGACAGTCGCCTGCGCACTAAGTACGCTGGACCAAGTATGACTTTCCTCTGACGTTTGCCTGGGATCTAAGTACACTGAACTGAGTACGGCACGCCGCCGACACTCGCCTGCGGACTGAAGTATCCTAAGTATGACTCGCCACCGACGGTCTCCGTCGAACTAAGCACGACTCGACGGCGATTGTCGCCTGCATACCAAGGTGTTTTTAGGTGCAATGTCTGTCCGTTGTTCGGTAACACTCTTTCCCTCTGGTTTTTGACTCAGAGTGACGGCGTTCTGCGCGGAGGCTGGACTAAATATGCTAAACTAAGGATCACTCACCGCAGACAGTCAACTACTATACCACAGGCGATCGTCAGCGACAAGTCGTACATAATCGAACTGCTTGCGCTCTCTTTCGCCCCCTTTCTGTGGCGCTAAGCAAAGGCGTTGGAATCCGGATCGCACGGTCAGCAGTCCGAAGTCCAACTAAGCCCCGTGGAAAATCTCGCTAGGGCCCTATAGGGCTCCTGGTTTCGATTAGTTGCGCAGACTCCGATTGTGCCAAGGTATGCTTTTGTATCAATTATAATCCCTACGCGTGCCCTCTATATGTCTCGGATGGTTATGCATTGCATGTTAAGGGTCGGCTCGTTTCACGTTGCCTTGGCCTGCATATAAGGCTGTTTCGTCACACTCGAGCGTTAAAGGGATACTGAACCGAACTTTCCAGCTCACAAAACAAGGCTGGACGGATAGGCGGGACGCTGCAAAACCCAAAAACATCACTCATGCAGCGATATCTCTAACGGATCGCCGTATTTTTTGGAAAAGAAGTGCGCGATTGAACACGGCAGACGAGGCCGACAAGACAAGTGACGTCACGATCCTCGTTTCCTCTCCTCCTCGCTACGTCCCGTCGAGCAGGTGAACCGAAGCGAGGTGGAGAGAAGCGAGGCTGCTTCCCCTCATTCTCAAATTTTCCAGGAGGACAATGACGTCATAGCCCTCGCCATTTATCGCGCCCTTCTTTTCCAATAGTACGGCCATCGTTTGGGATGTCGACGCTTGAGTGATGTTTTAGAGTTCGTAGCGTCCCGTTCAACGCTTCTACGGCACTATTTTGTGAAATCCAGAATTTCGGTTCAGTATGCCTTTAAGGGCGATTTACACACTTGCGTTGAGACCGACCGAGTGCGGCTGCAACGGCTTGTCACGTTAATCCTTTTACGGGTTGCCATGGCGACGGGGTTTCGAGCCGCGTATACAATTCCGCCCCGTTGCCATAGCAATCCATAAAAAAATTTACGTCCAAGCCGTTGCAGTCTCGGTCGCACTAACGCAAGTGTGGAAACCAGTTTTTACTCTTTCGCATAACATCCAGATCATAAGCACGTATTGATACGAACAGGGTTGCCTTGACTGAACCTAATATGGTCACAGTCACAGGGTCGACAAATACTCGTGTCGCGGTCAGCCCCACCGAGAACTTTTTTCGTACATACAGATTGCACCGACGGTCATTTCGTCCTCCATTCTGGGGCTCTCGACTCGTCAAAGCGCAGAGTCATCGTCCTCGCGAGAGTTCAATCGGTGCGCTCTGTAAAGTTAGATGTGTTTGGCGTGAGCCCCTGGTCGTTTTATCACTCACGAGCCTTACCGCGCCTCTGTTACATCTATGTTTTGGTACTTCGTAGCAAGCAGCAGCTATACTTTGTTTTACCGTAGCGCAGCCGGGGGTCGATTGCGACAATCAAGCATGACTGAAAACGCAACGTCTCCGCGTTCGCTACCTCTCTGTGCGTATGTTATCGAAACCTATTAACCACAGTGAATACGCCGTGACCTCGCACCTTCGGTGTGTGTGCGTTTGTGGGTCTTACAACCTTTGACTGTTAGGGTGGTTAGGACCTCATACCCCCCAGATGAAGTCATTTGCAAGTCTGCCCCGCCCCCTTGTGAGCACGTGCTAGAGGCGTCCTGCACACGGATCGTAACTTTGGCAGTCTCGGGACCACACGTTCTTGTTCACTTGATAGTATAGACATGGCAGCGGTCAAAAGCTCAAAGTAGAACACTCGGCGGGAAAATCGGCGAGATCGCCGACTTTCTCGACGACTGTCCAACTTACTAGAGCCCCAGGTGAGCTCTTACAGGTGGCGAGCTGCAAAGGGGCTACCGCAACGTGCGTTATACGTCGTCAAGATTGTCGTTCCCGGCAGACGACAAACGGAATCCCGTTCTGGTGATGCACAATGAACACCGACCTGGATCATCCGGTGATGCCCTGAAAATGGCGGCCTAATGCCGCTGCCGGTATATAAAAAAAAAAAAAAAAATCTGAGGGAAGTTTGCGAATTGCGGCATTTGATTTTTAAATATTTTAGTTCATTGCAGACACGCATAATTAAAACTTCTATCTTTTCAGGCGTTCCGCTATACTGCGCCACTGAAGAAACCTACGACATGAAGCTTTTCCTTTTCAAAAGTTTCCGCCATCCAGTAGCTGCTGCGACAGTTAACCAAGACCGTCATTGTTCGGGCGCGTGCCCTGAGCTTGTATTGGACACGAGCGCTGACGTGCAGCCTTCGGCGAAGGCTCGGATCCAATCGACGCTTCGGGCCCAAGCAATGGCTACCGCCAATGCTGCCCGAAGAACTTTTGCAAAGAGTGCATTGAACGAGCGGGAACTCACGACGAGGTCCTTCTTGGTGCCCACGAGGAAGCGCAGCGGGTCGTGCCCCCCGTTGCTCTCGAGCGTCTCCTCCAGCCACTTGGGCGTGTTGTACAGGCTCGAGGCCAGCGACAGGTCGAACACCAGGATCACCACTGGAAGACATCACCGGAGCAGGACGAGGAAAAGAGTTACTATACTGTAAAGCCCCTAGTCACTGTAGTCTGTTGCAGGTTAAGAATGGCGGCACAAGACCCTCCAGCAGAACTCTCTGCTCGCCATGATTGCTGGTATCCTCCACTAGCCTCCTTTACAGCGTTCGCTCTGCTATTCTTAACGTGCAACAGAACCAGCATCGCACGATGCTGGTTCTAGGTGTTCATTAGAAATGTGTAGCACGTCGTGAAAAGGGGCACCTAGGCTATATTGTATGGCCCAACGTGAACCCGCATCATGTCGCTATATTATTGCCATGTTCAGGTTGTCTGAGCAGATGACGGCCATCTCAAAACAAGCGCCATGTTACGGGTCTAATTTTAATGAAAGTTAGTGGTGCGCTTTCTGAAAAGTGCAGCTTTCTGACGCCGATTTTTTTTTTTCTTTTTCTGAATTGCCCAAATAGTTGCAATCATGAAGCCATCCACTTTTCTCTCGCTTCCTCCTCTCCCCCTTCTACCCTGTCCACCGTTGACTGTTTCCCCCTCCCCCATGGCCAGGAGGATCTTCTGCCTTGGAGAATCTCAGGTCTGGTCGTCGGCCTTTAACACGATTATTGGGTTCCGGTTTTTGCGATTGGTAACTTGTGAGGTGCCAGGGCGGATCTCTGTAGAAAACTTTGTTTGTATTCAATACGCTTGTGCTCCGGTGGTGTAGATAGTGCTATACCCGATACTGCTGTACCCTTCGGATAAGAAATATCTGTGCACGCTTTCGGTGGATAACTGAAGAAAAAAATAAAGAAAGAAGCCGAGCGCTTTCTGAATGCTATAAAATACACCGGCAAACATCGCCGTATATAGACATTGTACCTATGTACACTCTTTATATTATAGTGCATGCACGCACCACTCGCGAAGTCATCTATAACGTCAGGGTGTGGGTAATAATGACCGCGTTTTGTCGCTTCGCATGTTGTTCTCGATTATTCTTATGGCATTGATGCAAATCTTCGGTAATGACCCCGTGGTTGATTGACAGGTTATGGGAGATAAAAAAAAAATTGCTAAAAAAAATACGATTACGATCGGACAACTGCTTTGGACCCTGACACGAATACGGATTCCCGTGAACTGCGGAAACGATGAGGCAACCGTCGAACGAAAGCACATTCCTGCTGCCAAGGCAACCCGCGGAGCGATCCTGCATCCGTGTCGGACTGTTTTATCTTTCTCGATGTTTTTATTTTTGTTTGATAGATGATCTCATTGTCTTAAATAAGCTATCTCGCCAAAAGGCTGGCTGTAATAATTCGACGCCGTAGAAAATGGGTGTCTCACATGTTCGCTACAAGCTAAAGAACAACGTCCGAACGAATAAGAAAAAAAAACGGGCACGAGAAACAACTCCCAAAGTGGGATTTTGTCACTTTTCATTCTCAAAAGCTACGATGTAATACACAGTGCGGCCAAGTTAACGCAAACACGATATTGGCGTCTTTTCTAATTTTACTAAAACAAAGCAATGGTAATATAGTAATAGTAATTTTAATCTTAAAGGAACACTAATGCTCGCCGAGGTTTTAGAGCGCAGCTCTTAGGGGCCCGTTTCCAGCCTGAGCGGCGTCGGCGTCGCCGTTGGCGTCGCCGTCGGCGTAACCGCGCCCCTCCCGTCATTTTATCTCCTCCTCCTCCCCTCCTCCTCCTCCTCCCCCTCCTCCTCCCCCTCCTTCTCCTCCTCCCCTCATTGTGTAGTATGGTCCGGGCGGGTCACGTGACCTCGAGGGGAGGGGGTCACATGACCCGTTTCCAGCCTGTGCGGCGTCGGCGTCGGCGTCGCCCCTCCCCCTCCTCCTCCTCCCCCTCCGCTCCTCCTCCTCCCCCCTCCTCCCCCGCCAAGGTCACGTGACCCCGGGGGGTGACTCCCCTCCCCCCGCCGAAGTAACGTGACGGCCCGCCCAAGGTCATGTGATCCCGTCCCCTCGAGGTCACGTGACCCCCCGGACCTCTGCCCTCCTCCTCCTCCCCCTCCCCTCATTGTCTAGTATGGTCCGGGGGGGTCACGTGACCTCGGGGGGAGGGGTAAAGGAGAGGGAGGGGGAGCAGGAGGGGAGGAGGACTAGCAGGCATGATCACGAGGGAGGAGGAGGAATATACCCTCCACTCCTCCTCCTCAAGAGCTGCGCTCCAATTCGGCGTTACAGGAAGTTGTAAACGGCTTTCACTTTTTTATCTGAACATGACCTAGAAGAGTCCAACTACCCAGAGCACAATATGCGGCTCTAAATTCGTTTTCTTTCCGTCAGAAAACAGTCGATCGAGAAATGGCCGGTTTCAGTCAAGCTCACTCTCTCTTCCAAGGTCACGTTGCGCTCAAACTATGCGTACCAAATATATTCCAAGTCGTGTGTCACCTAACGCACACATTCAATAGTAAAAATAAAAAAGAACATGAAACCCATTTTTTTTTTTGGGGCATCCCAAAAAACTACAAATACGCTTATTGAAAAAGAAAAATTGTAGCACAGATCAGAGGAAGTACATGTACACGTCATTCTCAATACGGCGACGTGCTACGGGGCTGGACAACGCGAGTGCGGCGCACGACGAACGAACGTTACGACCGACGCGGGGCCGCTGCTCCGGAACTGTCGTTCGTGGTACCGGCCAGTCGATCTTCGAGCGCAGAACATCGAGCGGAACGGTTATAAGTGAGAACTTAGAAGCAATCGTCCGACAACCTGTGCACACTAAAGTCCCTCGATGTTTTTAAAAATATCCAGGGACGTTAGTGCACACAACTTCGTCGTTATCTTTGTTGTCTGCTTAATACAAAAAGCAGAGAGAAAAAAAAAAAAAAAAAAAAAAAAAAACGCCGTCGGGTGTAGCCACGGAACCTCGGCAACATTCTCCTCTACATTTCTCCCTCCTCCTCGGTAGACATCGTAGCGTACACATGTCGCGGTCATGAGCTTCCGTGCTCATGTTTCGGTTTCGGTTTAGAGTAGTTAGGTTTATTTTTTTATTTTCTCGCTTTATTAAAACATAGGTGGCCTTCTAGCAAAATATTAATTGGGTAGTCCCCTCACACCATAATAAATCGCCTAAAAAAGAAATGAAACTTTTTTTTTCTTTTTTATACCCACGTCAGATCGTAGAATGATGATCCAGGCCATATTTTTGATATATATATATACTTTTTAATATATGTTAAAGTCATGTTCTTAAGAGCAGCATTCAGGTACTATATATGCGAACGCCGTAGCTAATTTTCTTTCGGTGACATTAAATTTCGAAGCTCGAGGAGCGGAGATTGCCAAGGTTTCGCTATGGAACTTTGCAGAGCCGTCAATTTCACAGCTGCAACTTAATGGAAGTTTAAAGAAAATAAAAAGGTGAGTTTTTTTGTTTTTTTTTTCATATATGACGTTTAATTTTGCAACATTTGGAGAAGTTGGCTGCTTTCTGCATTAGTACCAAAACTACAATAAACACTAAGGATATTTTTCTTATATATCCTTAAAATTAATTCAAAGATGATCATTTTGATATATTTCGCTTCGTTTTCTACAAAGTAGTTCGTTAGTAAATAATTTATGCGTGTATTTCTAAAACACGTTCATTTGACATGTTTTGTAAAATTGTTTTGCATGGAAACATTTGGTAAAATAAAAAGGCAAAAGCGTGCATGCTTCGGCGTGTAATAGACGGCTGTGCACAGCACCACAGCGAAACCTTGACAATCTCCACGCCTCGAGCTTCGAAATTTTATATCTCCGGAAGAAAATTAGCTACGGCGTTCACATATAGCTGAATGACCCTCTCAAAGACATGGTTTTAACATATATTTTGTTTTACATAAATATAAAAAATATGAACCAGATCATCATTGCACTATCTGACGTGGGAACACCCTATATTTTTTTAATCACCGGCCTTCATCCTTTCCGGTATGCTATTTAAATTCAGAATATTGATTGTGAAATCGGCAAATGAAAATGATGCCAAATTCCACCATTCAAATATACCCGGGCTTTTTAGTGCCGTGACGTCGACAGTGGCAAGCAAGCTTGCCAGTCGAGCAGGAAGTCTAAAAATTTACTATGCCGAGCATTTGATTCTAGCTGCTGCTCGGGTGGCGTAGCCAGCTCCCAAAGCATTCACTTGACACCCTGAAACTGCTTGTATTCCGTTGGGAACAAAGTCTACGGTTTAAATAGTGAATCTCTGCCAGCAGCTGGCGTGACTTTTTCATTTATGCCAGTAGAGATTTTCAGTTTGAAAAACACAATGAGGACCAAAATAATAATTTCGATACCTTCGCGAGAAAAAAAAAAAAACATTTGGCCTCATAAATGGGATACTATTTTAGCGATGTGTGTTGGTGCGTTTAAAAAACTTTCAGATAAATCCGGGACCATAAAGATAACCCCGGAGTACAACTTTGAGGCAATACAGAATTTCCTTGGAGCTGAGGCAAAAAGGTATTGACGAACACCATATGTTGCCGTTTAAACTGGTCATCGATTGTTGCGCGTGCTCCGTGAATATAGCCTATTGAGTGTCGCATATATGTGGCAGCATATTCCTGGAGGGATCACAGGCTGCACCACCCGAATCTATCAGCGTTGTATCAACCGGCGGACACTTCGAGCGCCTTCCGGTTTGCTATTTCAGCGCCATCTCTTATCCGTTGGTATTCTATTAAGTCTTTCCGGTTTACGCCGGAAAGTTTATTTAATAGGATGAGATACATATTATTGTTGCTACTTACAAATTTCAAAAATTATCCTGGTAAGATGAAACAAATATCTTGGTTAGCTAAAGTTTCGCCCTCATACTTTGCTCTCATTGGCCGGTTGTTTTTTGTATTTTGACCGTTGAGAACAGTTGCGCGTCGGCTGCCGCGCTCGCGGATGCGTCGGCTGCTCGAGGGAGCCTGTGCCAACGGTGCGGTGGTGGTTTTCGTTTGCGGCAGCGGGCAGTGGCGTTGACCTATTGGTTATCGGTCTATTTCTTCTACCAAAACACGGAGGAAACGAAACCTTGTCTATTGCTCGACTCAGTGGTGCTCTAATTCCAGTGGCAACATCTCTGCCAAGTTCTTTGGGTTCCCGGTCGAGTGACGAAAGGTAAAGACGGGCTGCTATACTTTTGGTTATACAGTTTCGGATTGCCGAAAACTTGCTGGTGCATGTTTCTTTATGGAAGAGTTATTGTAAAAGGTCACAAGGGACAGCGCATGTATTTTAAAATGGGCGGTGTGGGCGGTATCGGTGTTAGAGCACCGCAGCTCGGTAGCTCGTGCGTGGAGCAGCTCGCTGCAGAAGGAACCTGCGAGAAACCCCGGCGATCGAATCACTGTCGCTAACTACCGCAAAGTTAAATGTGTGATTGCAGGTCTGTGAATACTTGAATAGTAGTTTCGTGTAGATTTTGTTACTTTGTTGTGCTGTGCAGTGAACGTTTTTTTTTTTTTTTTTCTTCTTCTTCTTTGTATAACGAGCGTGCCTAATAAAAAGAGAACTTGCAAAAGAAGTTTGGACTTGTGCTCAAACTGGCGATGTGCGCCCATCTTAAGCCGCTAAACAGCAGCGGCTGGGCGTGCTTTGCATTCATTCATTCACGATTTTATGAGAACTGGCTGTCACTGAACATGCACTGTTGCTAAGCCGATCTCAATCGAGCGAGGCAAAGTCAAGTGCAATTGTTTCGGAAGCGTCGGACATTCGCAAAAGAAGGTAAACACTTTTTTTGTTCTAAAAAAGATTACATTGTATTGTAGAAGAACGAGACGGCGGCAATGGGAGCAGTTCCCTCTTCTCTCAACATCAGCGACAATAAGATGCAAATTCGTTCGGAGTTCGGAGGCTGCTCCGAACTCCGAACGAACTCGCATCTTTTTGTCGCCGAGGGTGAGAGAGAGGGAGAGGAGGGAACACACTTCTCTCACCCTCTCTCATAACCAAGCGGTTGCCATGACGACGGTGCGCGTATTGTTTTGTCTATTTCTTATTTCTTTTGGAGAAACCCAACGCCCGTTAGGGGAGATTTGGCGCTGCCGTCTGCAATTGGAGTCCCAATGGGAGGTATACGAAGAGTCCGCCGGTTGGTTGTATGGAGACACCTAAAAAAAACTTTCAGCCTTTCCACTCTGGTGAAGATGGAAGTCCAGCGAAGCTGTACAATGGAAAGTAATGGCGGGCCGCGAGTCGGCAAGCCAGAGTGGAAAGCCTGCCGCCATCTATGAGCGACGGGGGCAACCAGATACGTGGCTCGCCGCCGTCGCTCATAGATGGCGGTAGGTGTCCAGAGTTCCGCGTCTTCATTTCTTTGCCGGGGACAAGATCCTGGGAAAACTAGCCCTGAACAGCTCCGCTGTAAAAATAGGAGTTCAGGTACACCGCTGGAGACGACGAGAACAGCACGGGCAACCCGATACCCGTCAACCACTTCCACAACAATTCCGTTCGTAGCCCCGTAACACACGTATCATCCCACAGTAATACATTAACCCGCAAACTAAAAAACAAAATCCATAGGGTTTTAAAAAACATCATCATGACTATTGAGAATTATTTAGGTTCAAGTTGATATACAAGAGGGGCTTCCTTCTCTCCCTCCCTCTTTCTTTCTCTCTCCCTTTCTAACAAACACCAAGAAAGAAAGGCAAGTGTCTCTGCAGTGAGCCTCCAGCTTCGTAGAAGGAGCCTTCTTTTGGCAAGGCAACTCGGATGAAATCACAAATACACGCGTCAGAGGGACACGGATCATATCCATCGAAAGTTACTTAGGACTCTTAAAACGATGACACATTACACACGCGGCAAATGCTTCGAGATATGGCTCACCTTGGGCGCCCCTGTAGTAGGCAGACGTGATGCTCCGGAATCGTTCTTGTCCCGCCGTGTCCCATCTGCGAATCAGCGAAGGTTGGCAGAGCAAGAAAACTCACAAACCAATACAAGCCAACAAAGTTTTAAAAAAAAATCCAGTTCAGTGTGGCGGAAGCACCGTACGACAACGGAAGCTCCCAACTCGAATGCAGACCGTCTTGTATTAAGGGTTCTCGCTGCCAGTATCAAGGACATACTTTTGGTACCACTGTACCATTGGTACCAAGGGTCCAGTGGTGGCAGCGAAAAGAAACCAGGACGGCTCCAAAAATATCTAACAGGCATTTGACATACTGTTATTAATGTAATTTTATTTTACTTGAACAACACAGAAAAACTAGTTTAGGACGTTTTAATGTATACCCTCGTATGGCGCATTTGAGCAGCGGCTCAACAACTTGGCACACACATTAAAACGTATTTGCCTATACACTCCGTGCGACGCGACTGGCGCGCCGCCGCGCGGCCGGTACCGAAGGTAGGCAGTGAGAACCCCAGAGAAAACGAAACCGAAACCACGTCGCGTACGTTGGTACGCATTGAAGTCGGAGTGGTGCGGTTGCGCTGGGTTCACAGCATGAAGTGCTTGCTGCCTGTGCTGCGTCATTAAGTGCTTCAATAGTTATGCTTCATATATCGTGGAGACAAAGTTTCACAGTTTTTCACTTTGCCGATGTTTTGTGGAAAAGCGACAACGATGGAGCCGTACCGTACGACGCGAGAAATTTGGTCTCCCGATCATGTCTGCCACTGTGTCGGCACGGCTGACATATTCTAGCTACACTGCCGCTTTGCGCTCTGCGTTTGTTTTCGTACCAGTAACGCCTACATCTGTTAGCGCCGATGGGACGAACTGAAACGCCATCCCACATTCCCGGGTATGCAGTGCCAATTTCGTTGGAGGAATGCCCTCCAAAGAAGTTTCGTCCCCATCGTCCGTGTCGATGATATTTCCGGACAAGTATGGCACGCAATCTGTACTTCATGAAGAAAGATTCGAACGGTAAAAAAAGTGACAAATATAAATCTAAAGAAAACAACAATGAAACTCGGAATTACTGGAGAATCGACGTTTGAGTATGGAAGTTTATGTGGTGTGCTTTCTTTCTTGATCAGCCTCCTTTTGGATGTGGAAACGCTGACACCCCGAGTTCTGTAGACAACAATTTTTTTTTCTCGGCTTTAGAGCCACCTATTGCAAAGCGGTTCTAACTGGAAGGAAGGGTCCACTGGTCCCTTCCTACCTGTAAAGTGTGCACCTCCCACGATGAGTGGTATTATCTGACAGCCTTTGACGGTCAAAGCCAGTTCCCATTTAGTTACGCCGCCCATACTAAATTTCCACCTGGTTTCGCTATGCGAACTCTTTTTGTTATATTAAGTGTTGTGCCAAGTGACGGTCATGGCAGAGTACCTGTGCGCCGAAAATCAGCACCTCGCACCACAGATTATTACACAACAGCAGACCGCAAAAGCCCTTGGCGGCCAAACCGTGTTTTGGCCGACAACTTCGTTTTCTCGGCTTTGGAACCACCTTTCGTAAAGTTGTTTCAATTGGAAGTACAGTCCACTAGTCCCTTCCTACCTCTAAAGTCTCCACCTCCCCCGACCAGTGATATTCTCTTGACAGCCTTTTCACGGTCAAAACCGGTTCCCATTAAGTTACGCCGCCCAAACCAAATTTTCACCTGGTTTCCCCATGCCACCTTTTTTTTTTTGTATAATAAGTGCTGTGTCATGTTACTGTCAAGACCAAGCACCTGTGTGCCCAAATCCGCGCTTTACACAGCCCGCTATAACACAACATTTTGGGTCGAATATTGGATATCCCGTACAGCTTTATTTCTTTATTCATTAGAAACATAACTTTCACACCTGCTGTTTTAAAGAAACTTGGCACTCTTCGTGCACAAACTTAGTGAACATCTCACTCGCCTCCAAATATCATCGTTCCAGCAGTCCTAGGTTTACAGCGACGAGCGAAATAAATTTCCCACCCAGAGCAATCAAGGTGGCGGCCGTCTTGTTTTTCGGAATTCGGCCGCAACTAGAGAAATTATCCCTAATAACGACTCAAACTCAATATAGAAGAAGTGGAGAACAGTTAGATGCCCTTCTCAGGTCTACCCCAGCACTCATGCAACGTCACCCTCAACTTATCGGCTCAAAAAGCAAAAGTTTCGTCCGTGCGAGCTTCCACCGCCACAGCTTGGCATGCGAAAAGGCGCCGCAGGCTGCTGAACGCGCCTCACAGTCGAACGCCAGCTCCTCCGCTAGAGGCGCTGCGCGCGTTTTTCAAAGCGCCCCCTATAGTTCCCGCACGGAGTGTATAGTTACGCGTATAGCAGCATAATTCCATCACAAAGCACTGTGAAAACATACGCTCTGAACTCAGAACTCGAAGGCACAAAGAAATAAATCTAATGCACGAGGAGAGCACGTCACCATATCCCTATGACGGCGCTCACGATGCGCAGGAGTAGGCGTACGTGCGATATCCCTGAATGTTGAACCTGAAGAACTACACGCGTAAGACGGGTTGTAAGCACCGCCCCTATACATGTGTTGTGTTGCCTTGCGTCAGTCATTTCGACGTCTCCCAAAGGCAATACTCCGGGAAAGCCGAGTGTTCGGTAGGACACTTCTTCGAGGAAGCCGTCAGGGCAGGTCAAAGTGTTTTTTTCTACAGATTGCATAATCCCATAGCATCATTACCGGTTTCTCGGCCCCTCCTCTAGCTACGGTATCGATATGGAGAGGCACTAAGCCGGCGACCAATGGCATGATCACTATACTGCGTGATGCACGTCAAAGACCGCAGCTGAGCATTCGTACTGCACTGGTCAAAATGCAGCCCGGTGCAACCGAACATCCATGGCAGACCGACCTAGCAAAACGTCCGGTTTGCTTCGCATCTAAAGGTTGTGTGAAGCGGTGAAAGCCACATGTACAACGGACAGACATGACCCTCAAACACACTCGACTTGCCCACATTTGCAGGTTTGCTCAGTCTCTTGCTTTCAGGCGAGTCACCAGCTCGCCTGTTTCCTTTAATAGACCATTTGTCTCGTGACGATTTCACATCTGTGACACACTGAAGGGAGCATTTCGCGTTCTGTCGTATTGGATGCAAGCTCGTTTCGCAACTGGAGTCCCTGATCCCCCTCCATTTACAAAAAGGCCCTCGCTGAGTCGCACCGTCTCGTCACCCAGAGGCCAGGGCAGCGCCATAAACCTACCGTCGTTGCGTGATGCGAAGTCGCAAATCTGCGACGGCAGAAGTGAGCGTCTACCGTGCGTGCACACTGTGCAATCTGCATGCACATCCGAGTGCAACCGTCTGCAGTATGCTCGTTCGCGAACCCAGGAACCGCTGTTGCAACGCGGGCTGGTTTCCGCAGATGGTGTGTGTTGCATGCCCGCGACGTACGCGCTGCAGAATGGCGTAACCGGCGTGCGAAACACAGGTGCGACGATAGCCAGACCTTGATGCACGACGATTGACTCGAAGCACATGAGTCGTGTGCGGCGCTCCGTCACGAGAACTGCATCCTGATTTGGAAATTAGCCCCAGCAGGGAATTTTAAGACAGTGTTATGCAGTCGGTTCCGTGAGATGAGTGGGATATTACGAAAGAGCGTCACGCAAAACCTCCCCACGGCCGCTACACTTGAAGAAATCCCGTCCCACTAAATTTAAATGAATTCAGAAATTCGATAAAAATAATTCATAATAATTGTGACTAATTATAAGGAGAAAAATATACGCATCAGTCCGCTGACTCCCAGTCTCGCGACTTTAACCGTAAAATTAAGATTTTTTTTTTTTTTTTTTAAATCGAGTTTATTATAATTGGTAGAGTATCGGCACTCTGTTCACCGATGTTGTTGTGGACGACGCCATCTTGGTGCTTGTGCAGAGCAGGCGCAACTGTCGATCGTCATGATTCAAAAGTGCGACTTCCTCAGCATTACATTCGGTGTTAGAAAGCTCATGTAATGTCGCTTTGCTCTGTCGCCAACAGTTTAAACATTTGTGGAGGACGGAAAAGAGTTCCTTGTTGTTTTATATAAAGTTTCAGGTAACTGGAAACCACGATTTTAAGCCCCAGGATTCTACAACAGAATGGTTTGCATGTAAATAGAAAAAGAAAACACGAAAGGCTTAGGAAGTGACCGTAAACGAATTTAAGATTATTTTGGTAGGACACCGCAACAACCAGAAGCACGGAAGCAGGGAGACAAGATAGGTTTTAGTGACATACAGCCGAAGAAAATATCAAAACAAATTGAGGACATAGTAGCCACACAAGAAGAGAAAGAGTGGCCGTAAATTAAGTTAGTAGAAATATTCAGAAAGGAGTTGGAACGAAGCCAAGCCAGAGTTAAGAACAAATGCAAACACAAGCCAAAAAGCTAGCGGGGTAAGGAAGCCAAAGCAGCCATAAATCAGAGACAAGAGGCATCCAGGGAGCATAGACAATTAAAAAAGAGGGGTGCTTTATCAGAGGAAATAGTAGAAAAATGGAAGGACTTCCAAGTAAAGAAATGAGCGGCCTATGCTTTGATCCAGGACAAGTTTGGAGAATGCGAAACGAAATGAGGAAGGGAGATTTTTTAAATCGGGCGAAAATCGATCGATTAATAACTATCTACTAAACCATTACCCTTTTGCGACCTTTTTAATATGGTCTGGCATCAAAAATTGCCGCTAATACTTCAATTACAACATGACCCCTAACACTAATCATCAGAAATAAAAATTAATTAACATATCTTAAATAATTACCCAACTTACCCTGACAATTATGCACTCAACCAATCACGTTGAATTAACCTGAGACTGGGGTAGAGAGGAAACATCAGAAAATAGAAAGGACGACTCCAATCTCAGGTTAATTCAACATGGTTAATATTCACCAGATCGCCTGCACCCTTACGATTTTTTTTATACTCATCCAATGTTCGCCGAGCCTGATAAATACACGGCGAAGACAGCACTCGTCTAACTCTCAATCTTTTTTTTTTTTAAAGTCTGCTCGGATTAAAATCAAACACTGTATGATATATGTAATGGTCGAGTCCCACTAGAGCGACAAACAGAAACAACCGACGCGGGCAAGCCCCAAACACATGCAGCATGTAAAGACGCCGGAACCTGGGAAAGTAGCGCTGGTAGCGCCACTGCCTTCCATACATGCTAGCCGGACACTAAGAGACACTCACACGCAGACGACCGGAACCTCGCAAGGCGATTGGCTGATCAGTTTCCGTTACCATGACAGTCGTCATTCTGGTCTCTTCAAAACGTCAAAGCGTCGAAAGGGTCTTTCTATTCCAGTCGCGCCAAGATAGCTATGGAGCGTCATTGTTCTGAAAGCGTTCGTCGTCAGGGAGTTTTCGTAGACCGTTTCCCACCTCCGCTACGCTCTCCGGAACGAAGACTTCACTACCGCGCATGCGCGGCGCTTGTCTTGCCTGCAGATTCCCGGATTTCGTAGCGGATTGCGGAGAACGTTTCGGGACAGCGGAAACGATCTACGAAAACTCCCTTATATAAGCGTTTAGGGCTCTGCGAGTGTAATGAACTTATCAATCGTCCTAATCTCCACAGACGTCTTACAATTATATTGTTCTTCCTGCGTCTTTTAAGACAGGGAAAGTATTTTTCAATGCCGCCAAGCACTGACGCCGCTTGCGGAGATGTGTGCTTGTTTCGCCGCTGTGCGGATAACACAATCTCGGTACACGAGAAATGTCTTTATAATGTATGAACTGCCACCGACAGTTTGGATCGCCTCACCAAGAATGGTGAGGTTGAGGAAGACTCCTTCTCATTCCACGAACCATGGATGGCAACCATGCGGGGAGCTTGGCACTGCTTTTTCCAAGATTCAGTTATACTTTAGCGGCATGCATGCAAATATATCTTTTTCAGGTTTTCAATCGCTCGTGCTTACTTCGCGAGCACCGAGAAAAAAAGGTATCATCGCGTGCAAGCTGCATTTGTTCGAGGCTTGTCGGTGCCGGTTGTTTCTGTTTGCCGCTCCAGTGTGACTCGTTAGATATGACCGAGGCGAGCGCACTCACATTTGCAGGCTAAACGGCACGTGGAGCACGCTGAACTTCTCCACTTCGAAGTCCACGCCGATGGTGGCCTTGTAATTGGCGTCGTACACCTCGTGGCAGAACCTGCAGGGACCGGCGCCACCTTCAGGGAACGCGTCTCGAGCTACTGTAGGCAAACTGCCCCGGACCCAATTGGCCGATCAGATCGGCCAATCGGGTCCGCGTGACCGTCGGAGCATCATACCAATCGCTCTCCTTGTTGGTTCAACAATTAAAAAAAAAGACTACTAATTGGTTTGGAGTACGGTCAATACAGTGTGCAGGACTGGCTCGATCGAACATATAGTTTCGCTATTGGCGACGGGCGCGACCCAGACGTCGCTGTGGTCGGCCTTCGGCGATAATGAATACTTTCATTAATGAAAGTACCAGGGACGTCAGACTGTCAACTTTGGCGGACTCGGAACTTGTCAATGACTCTTTTGGTGAAGTGCACTCGAAATGCAGAGCCATGTCAAGAAGTAGCTTAAGAAACGATTTTTATGTTCACGCCCTCCATTATTCGTGCCCCTGCCTTCTTACCTGCCAATAGTTGGCTGCGACAATAAAACGCTCGAGACTCGCCCCACTCCACGTTTCTTAAATTGTCAGTGACTATAGCGACAGACAGACGCATTTCCCTCTCAATTCCCGTGAAACCAAATGTTTACAGTCGCCTTGAAATTTTACTACTAATAAAGACGTAACGCCGTTCGAGAGAAAAGGCCGGATAATCTGATGAGTGGTACACGCTCCATGAGCTTCGTAAGTTAGTCTACGCCTATATTATAATTAACGAAATTTATTTACAGTATACTACGCTCCCTTTAATAATATCGCGTTATGTTATTCGTTTTTTTTTTTGTTTTTTCTTTAGCCGAGGCGGTTGGCGAGGCTGCTACTGTCTACCGACCTTTGACTAAACTTCCCACTTAAATGAATATTTCCCGTTTAAGTGTAAAACGAATCGCAATAAGTCGGCCAAGCGGTCTTGTTCAGACACAATAGAAAATAAGTTCCGCTGTGCGCGCTCTCTCCGTGGTCCCTCGGAATACGATTACACACGCGGTTCCACCTCGGGAGTTCCGACAAAGGAACGGCGTCGACCTTACAGCTTCCGCGAAGATAACTCACCAGCTATGGCCTCTGCACGGCGAAAGACTATAGGGGCTGCTGCAACAAACTGTGACCCGATTGTTCCCTCGAGTCATACGTACAAAGACCTCAACTAGAGGCACTGTTCAAAACCGGAGCTTTCAACTTTTAAGCCTGGAGGGTACCAAAAGCTCCAATGTCGAAGTAGCGCGACAAACACTAAAAGCTTTACGCCAACCAAAAAAAGAAAAAGTTTTTGGAATATTTCTTAGCAATAATAATAAGAAAAAAAAAAAAAGGCTCGAAGCGTTTTGCGGTTTTAGTGTTGTATCAAACTACAGACGCCCGAGTTTGAAATTTGTAAACACTACATTTAGCGAAATTGACGGGACGTACCACTCTTCGACACCCTCTGAAAAAAAGAAAAAAGTTTAGGTTGTTAGAATTTGTGAACGAAGAATCCGTCACAGGAGTCATACGTGAAAACATGTGCGTACATCACGTGAACTCGTGTGATCACGTGACTTGCGCGAAATCACCCAAAAACCCGATCCTCCCTGAACACACAAAATTAATTGATCACGGTATCGAAATGTAACGTATTCCTTTACGATAAATGAGAAAACGCAGCATTCGAGGTGGTTCATAGTGCGCGGCCTCGCATTAGCTGCACTCGGCTGCCCATCTGTCAAATGTCCGACCGGTTTGCCAACTGGAACATGGCCAACAGCAGCTCTCCCCGGTCAATCGGACGCGCACTTCGCCAAGACGCCGGAACTAAGCGCTGCCGAACAAAAACTCCGACGACCGTAAACACCGCGTAACCCGCGTATGCACCCGCCCGATGGGAACCTGAAAGGAGAATGCATCGGGGTCACTGCGTTGCTCCAGATATAGAGAGCTTTTACCGCAACAGGGACATAAGCACGGTAGTACAATCTGCCATAGGCACCATAAGGAAGATACGCCTTTGCAACTAAGTATATCCACTTAGGATATCGTGGTCCATGGTTGGATAAACAAGGAAATGGGCAAGGAGGGGGAGCAGTAATTAGAGGCGTTCAATATACTTAATGTGGACAAGAACGTGGGGCACCTTATAGATAGGCAGTATTATTTAAATTATATCCTTTTTCGAAATAACTATTTTAGACACTTTTTTAGCAGCCCTCCAGCTAAAATCGTCAAAACTAATGAGAGGACACGAAGGGAAAAAAAATTGTAAACGCACTTAAAATTGTAAACACAGTAAGGGAAAACACAGCGACAGCTGAGGTGCGACTTCGGAGCCGCTGAAGCGTCATTTCGGAGCACATGGAATGAATGGGCGGTGAAAGTGCCAGCGCGCACGATAGAGTCCGCTAAAGCGTTTCGTAGTAAACCGAGTAAAACACCGGACGAAAATTTTATAGCGCTATGGAATCGATGAAGGTAAATTAAGTAGAGAGAGTTTCAGCTGTTTGCGCAAGAGGGAAGCGTGTTCTCGTACGTCACTTGGGTACTATCTAGTACTATCGGTAGTACGGTAGTACTATCTGTAGCACGATAGTACTATAGTACTACCGGTAGTACTATCGGTAGCACGGTAGTACTATCTGCCTATGGCAGATAGTACTACCGTGCTTATGTCCCTGTTGCGGTAAAAGCTCTCTTTATCCGGAGCAACGCAGTGACCCCGACCCGTGCTAAGCGAAAAGCGCCGAATAAACCGGGACAAGGAAGTAGACAAGACGAAATGCACTCTCAAATGAAGGTTTATTAAAACGAACACGCGCTATTCATACCATCTTTCTGGCGATTCGTTAGGAAAATGAAACTCTGTATCTGTCAGGTGCACTGCCGAGGCACTAACGCACTTGCTTTTTCCTTTCATTCTGATACAGAATGCATCGAAAAATTCTCGGACACGGTTTTATCTGCGGATCTCGCGAGAATTGCTGTTGGCGCAAATTCTGGGTCACATGGGCACGCATCCCAGTGCATAGCCAGATTGCCCGGCGGGGACCGTTTCACTGAACATGCACGCATGTTATCTTGCCACCACGCATGACCATGCTTGTTATCTTGCTTGCTTGTTATCTTGTAATCAGCGGTCCCTGGAATCTTTGGGCGGAGTGCCGAAAATGGCCCGGGTCGATATGGAGCGCGGTGGACGGCGCGAAACCCCGAAGTGCCCCACTGACAGCTCTATCGCTGTAATATTGCCGTACAATGACGAAACAACTGACATCGTGGAACGAGCAAGTCATTCCATAATATAATGAGAGTCGGAGCTCGGACAGAGCCGACGAGCCAATCAAATAGCGTCGAACGTGCAACGTCACTATACGCTCATCAGCTTATTCAGTGAGTGTGTTGTGCCTTCGAATCCAACATAAAGGGCGCCGTTGTGCAGCGATTCCACAGATGCCAACAAAGGGTAGTCTTTCAAAAGGCGTGTTTTGTTTTTCTTTCCCCAAACTTCGAAGGACTGCGACGTATGAGAGCTACGCAAATCTTTCTCATTTCTTTGGTGACGAGAGTAAAAATTCGATAATCGTGTTTCTTTTTTTTTTTTCCGACTCCTCTGGTTATGTTTTCGCAGTAGTTGAGGGCTAAAGTAATTTCTGGAGAAGGGGATCAAGGGTGACAAAGGACAAACACAGATCTCGGAACAAAGCTGGCTGACTGGTGCGCGACCGAAAAAATCCGCCTGGTCCGGGTGTCGAACCCGGGACCTCTCTATTTCCAGTGGAGCGCTCTACCAACTGAGCTAACCAGGGGTTAGACGTGAGTACAGCAAACAGGTTTTATCAGCTGCCACCAGTCTGACACCAAAAAGGTACTATTCCAACGGATGTAGCTTTGAGCTATATTAGTCCGGGTTATCTTTCCTTTTAATCAACCCGGGTTATCGTTCGGCGACTATCTGTGACCGGAAACGTACGCGAGGGCGGAACAGGCGTGCGTGACGACTCTTTGTTCACGCAATTAGTAGCCGAGATAAGCTTCCTGCGCCATTGACGGCACCGTCGCAGCAGTGACCAAAACGCCGCGACAATTAACCCGGAAGAAAGTCACACGCACGGTGTGCCCATTGTCGACGTGCCGAGGTCGCCGCACGCGTACGTCTTTTAATTGTTATGCGCTTCATCGCCTTGGTCAGTCGCTGAAAGGCCCTGCCGGCCTTCTGACGTAGTCTACGTAAGAACGTGACGTCACGACTCCTGCTGCCTTCGTCTCGCGATAAAAAAAAAAGTCTAGCTCGTGAGAGCTGAACCTTTTGATGGAGAGATAATGTACCTAATATTAACAATGACCAAAAAAAGAAGAGTACAAAGTGTGCGCAAGTTCTTTTCACGAGAACATGTCATTGAGCCAAGGATTCGTGGGTGAATGAGACCGTTTGATATAGGCTCGACCATCAACATGAGGTTGGCATTCCGTGTGTTCGGACCAGTTCCTTTCACCACTCTTTCATGCTATCTACATCCAGTGATAAGGAGCGCGACCTTCATGCTGACCGTTGTTTTTCTTTTTTTTTTTCTTTTTTTTAAATAAAAGCGTTGGTTTCTGTTGTTACCTGATTTTTGGTTATCATATTTTCCCATGTTTTCGTTTTTCTTCGATACCTTTCGTGAGCGCTTTTCCCTTTCTAATGGTTACGTCCTCCGTCAGCGTTCCTGTCCTCGCACAATGAACGCAAGTCCCAGCCGAACGCTTGTCCGATGTGTGCCACGCGCAGGCCCCCGGAGGGTGATGTCACTACGGCCTCGTTATAATCGGGAGGTTGCGCGCTACATGTTGCGGCCTTACTCACTTTGTGATGAGGCAGGTCTTTCCCACGGAGACATCCCCGACGACGATCACCTTGGCCGCGCGGACGCTGCGTAGAGAGAGAGAACGCACGGAAATCCGCCCTTAATCGAGGGAAAGTCCACAGAGAGAGAAACCGGGGCAACGGACGGACGAACGGACGCAGCCGAGGCACGCATTCCCCCTTCGAGCGCTTCCCCGAACCAACCCGAACAGACTCGCGACCGCCTCGTCACGTCAGCTGTAACGTCACACTCGTCGGAACCGTAGGACGTGCGCTAGGCCGCTGGACACGGCTGCATCGCTTCCTGTTTCAAGTTCTTTCGATCCGCAACTTACTTTAAATTCATCGCACGTTGCGGCACTGTAGTTTACCACGGGAGTGCTACTATACTTCGTGTAAGTCCGGACGGAACCGACGCTACGAGCTAATCAGGACAATCAAACAGCTGTTCGTCACGTTTCTGTACGCATTCTTTCATCGCTGAACTAATCATGTACGAGGAAGGCCCAGGGACTTGCACTTTTCACGCTGCTTTATTCGGCCTATCAGCCAGTAGTGTCGGCGGCGTCCGGGCCGAGCTTAAATTGTATTTGTTTTCGCGGAAATTTGAAAATCAGCCTTAATCAAAAATTACATATTAAAAACAATTAAGGTTTGTCATGGACTGACATGGCTTCTATTCATTATAAAGCGAGAAAAAACCACGTTATTTTTGGTTATGGAAACATTCGATGGGCTGCGGGATTCGAACGTTAGATGAGTCAGCAGGATTTTAATTTTCTCCTCCTTCCGTGAAATCGAACAATGCCGAAGCTACCATGGCCCGTATTACCTTGCTTTACAGCCTCAAATGAAGACGGTTGAACTCAAGCGAACACTCTGGTTTTCCGTGAACTCCTACGGTCCAGGGACATATCGGACATGGCGAGGCACCTCTGGCGCCTTGCCGCCCGCCTGGTAAGACGTGTCCTTCCACGAACGTTGCCTTTACCGAGCCGTCGCCGGCATAACCATCATCGAGTGGCGACGGCAATGACCCCGTGGAACGTTTTCCAGTGTGTCTGTGACTGGGGAAATCCCGTTCGGACGTTTCGCCGTATTGGGAACTATGTGGAAGAGCTGACAGACGCAGGAAACGCGGGCAGTCTGGTCTATGACAACAAAGATAAAATAAAAATTCATATTTCTTTTTTTCATGTGTATTTTAGTGTGAAATCGTAAGTATATATACGCACTTGGGTATTCAATCAGTCAATTCAATCAGTCATCGATATATCCCCATGAAAATGGCTTTTTTGTTTGTTTTAGTCTTAAACGGCAAATTCACCGCTTCGTTGTCCAGTCATGCCCCTTTACCGAGCGCCACGAGCAGACGAAGAAAGTATGTCGAACCACTTTTTGTTAAATTTTGTCAGCGATCTTGCGTCAAAAGTGCGGGTAACCAAAAATCTAAACAGCCATTTTGAGAGTAACTGAAATAATACTTAAAAAACAAGCGAGCTGGTGATGATTCATGGTAATAAAACCCGAGACTTAGGAACACAGAAGGGGACGAACACAACACAACGTCTCTTGAGAGGCGTCCTCCTTGCCGAAGACGAGCCGTGTTACGACACGGTGTCTGGAAGGGAAAGCGAACGAGGCTTGAAATGTGACAGAGGAACTCGATGTCCTCTTGTGGGCCCGTGACAGGGAGTGGAATGACAGCAGAAGGCCGAGCTTGTCTGGAAGACTTGGACACGTGCCATTATGTCGTCTGCCGTTGGAGCGTGGACAGAAAGCAGAACTGAGCGAAACAGATCACTCTGTCCGCGGCTGTAACGAGGGCAAATGAGTACTCGTTGTTCGCTTGGCACCGAGCTTGGAATGTATCGCTAAAAAGAGCCCGATTTCCCCGAAATGCCGGAAGGATTCTCAGGCTATATTTAAATTCTTTTCTTTTCTTCTACTACTTTTGTTAAATTTGAATAAGGTTTAATTCGTTTACTTTCACTGTATTTAAATTTTAATTCGTTTACTTTAATTATATTTAAATTTTAATTCGCTTACTTTATTGAATCTAAAATTCAATTCTTTACTTTAATAAGGTAAAATAATTGTGTTGTAGAACCGATGTTTTCAAGAACTGCTTTTTATAAAAAAAATATAGGGGATTGGGAAAAATAAACCCGCCAGTTTCTGTAGCAAGCATTGTGTCTAAGGATGTTTTATTTAGAACGGACACCATCGTGTTTCTAGTTTCTTGTATGTATTAGAACAGCCTGATAATTGTTGTAATAGGTGTATAGTACAAACTGTTTTATGCTATCGTATTCTTTTTATATTTCTAGGGTTTATAACTAGCACTCCCTCGGTCCCAAATGTCCCCCACTGTAATGCCTCATGACGCTGAACGTACTCGAATAAATAATAATAATAAAAAGTCAAAAATAAACTATTCCCACTTTTTTAAGGTAACTGCCGAGTTTCAGTCACGGTGGAAAAAGAAAGAGGTGCCTGAACAAGGCCCGCCAAGGCTGCAAAGTTCAAACGTCTGCTCGGGCTTCGCTAATCTACCGCCAGGGGCATTGTCGGTTGAGAAGCCTTCGCACAAGCGGGGGCCTTGTAAAGGTGTACGCGAATAAGAAGGGTTCCTCGCGTGGCTCTCATCGGCCCCCTGATGCCCATTAAGATGCCCATAGACACGTTGCTCCATCTTATATTAACTGGGGTTGCGTGGACATTTATAGAGCGTGTAGCTGGTCAGCCATTTCAAAGTTACGACGAGTGACTCGCTGTAGATGAGCGATTTAGCCAGTGCAGTGCAACCGCTAGCCTGGGGTCTTTAACGTGCACCACGCAGTAGTGGTACACGACCGCACGCCGGTGCGATGCTCATCCAGATCGAAACGGACAGGAGTGATTAAACCCAGGATGCCTAGGTTCTGCAGCGCAAACTTTCGCTCCAGGTGCTCCGAGCTGGTGTGCGCTGGCCCACTCGGCCACCGATGCCCCCTCCATCCAACTCACGGCGTTTGCCAAAAGTGCGAGCGAACCTTCGGTGCACAACAATTGTTCCATGTCGATGCGGCGTTGTTCAAACACCTCTCTTCTGCAACCAAGATTTCAATGCTCCGAAAAAAAAAAAAAAAAACTAAGAACGCCGGTTAGCCAACTTTCTTACAGAACAAGCGGTGCTCTGCCGGAAAGCTTCTACCCAAAAGTGCAATAGGCCGAATGTTTCTCACTGATTGAGACCCACCCGAAGGCGGGAGTAGCATATCTCGCTTGCCCTCAATATATAGTGACGCACAGATTTCGGGGCTTTCGATCCGGGCGGTGTGTCCAGGCAGGCTATTTTGAGGAAAGTGAAGTGCCTTTTCCTACCCGACACAACGTAACGGTCTCTGATTGATCTCCCAACCCCCAACACCGGGAGCCTCGGAGCTTTTTGGGACGAGCTCGCGCCGTATTCTTAGCGTGGCTAAAGTGGAAGGTGTTGGGTCGAAGCCGAGAAGAGCGCGCGGCTGTTCCGAGTCCCTGGCTGACTTCCCACAGAGATCGGAGGGAGCGGAGGTGCCAGAGAATTTTCCAGTTCCGCGTTTCAGCCGCGCGCCTCTTTGCAGAAAGACGAGCAGCCCGCGTGCATAGCAGCAGCCCGACTCACTCGGCTCCTACGGCGCTGCGTCGCAGGCAGGCTTCGCGCACCTCGGTGGGGAAGTCGGTGTCCGGGTACGGCGTGTCCAGGTACGAGTACGCCTGCGAGCAGAGATGAACGCCACCCTGCAGGATCGCCGCACTCGCTCGACCAAAACAAGATATGGAGTTGAGATACCAAAGAGATAGCGTAGAGCTGTAGGAAACTTTAGCCGCGGTTAATACACCGTACAAAAGACCGTCTCCAGACACTCAGTCTGGTGCGAGTTCCTATACCTAGTCATGTCACATTGGTCAAACAAAAACTGCCTGCAGACGTGTTCCAAGCGAAGTAAAAACATGCTTAAAACATGATTGAGTCCGCAGATAATCCTGTCAATACGTCTTCAGCGCGAACATAGTGTGTCTCGTATGGGGAGTGCGATGGTGGCTTGAGTAAACCGGTTTCGCGCTCCGATAACGAGACACGATGACGATACGATGCACTTGCAAAGCCACCGGGGGAGTATTGCTACCGGAGTTATTAGAACGCTCAACTAAGACTCTTTAACATCGCATCCACGACCATCGATCCGACTAGGGTCAGTGAGACTCCACCGCCGCGCATGCGCAGACTCCGTAGAACTCACCGATCATGTCGTGTCCATTTTTTTAGCGTTAAATGGGAGTTTTATTAGATCGTCCCCATAACTCCGGTAACGTGCTCTGCTGACACCTTTGAGCAAGCATTGTATCGGTACAGGCATTAACGGATCGGTCTACTGTCGAGATCGGTTATAACGAAGTCAACGGGAATCGGAAATCACTTCGCTATATTCGCTATTTCGTTATAACCGGCTTCGGTTATAACGAAGTGCAAAAAGGAATGGGAAATCGTGATCGATTTGCTGTAGCCGCTATTTCGTTATAACCGACTTCGGTTATGACGAAGTGCAAAAGGGAGTGGGAAATCGTGATTGCTTCGCTGTAGCCGCTATTTCGTTATAAACGACTTCAGTTATAATGAAGTGCAAAAGGGAATGGGAAATCGTGATCTCTTCGCTGTAGCTGCTATTTCGTTATAAGCGACTTCGTTATAACCGGTCTCAACAGCTCTAAAACTCACTAATAGGGAGTGTTTGTATCCTCCGATAACGGTACCCGATGACGAAACGACGCACGCGCGAAGGTGCCGCCGGAGTAACGGGTATCGTTATCGGAACGATTTACTAAAACTCACCTTTTCGTATATCGGTTCCGCCGTCCCGCTACGCACTGCGCAACGAAGACATCCCTACTGCGCATGCGTGTATCCCTAAACTGAGAGCGCGGTGAGTGCGCTAACCGAACCGATCGAACGCTTCCCTTTTCTAGCCTGACCTTCTGAGCGTGCCTATGGGCGGGAGCCTGATCACATGGCGAAGATAGACTGGTCCAACGAGCACCTATAGCTTCCGCAGCACTGTCTGCGTAGGGGTGAACAGTCGTGCGCGAATAGTGGATTTGGAGTAAGCGAAGTGTGGTTTTGGCCAAATATTTTTGAATTGAATATCGAATAGTTTGTCCGGGCCTTTCACTTTACTGCACCACGCGTAAACGAAAACCCAGCTGAACTCGAAAAGGTTGTTCCCGAACTCCCCAACTGTCCACTTCAAAGTTCAGTAACTTTTTAATACGACTATTTATAATGGCATGTAAACGACACATTCGTCCCAACAATCCTAATTGAGAAAATTTCTAGATCTGATTGCTGTGTGCAAATACTCTTTCCTAAATTTAAAATTTGAAAGAAAAAAAATCCCGAACAATGAACGCCTGTTGCGAAGACATCGCTAGAATATGCGGGCAGACACCGAGGGAGAGGATGAGCCGAGAGAGCGCGGGGGAACCTCAGAACGCCGAGCTCTGATTGGACGGATTAGTGGGTAGACCTAAAGCTAGCTGCCATTGTCTCCACTGCACTCGTCGAACGCGTTAGAATGCGTCCGCTTTTTCCTTTCTAAACCCACAAAAGCAACTTTTTTTTTGTTTTTCGTTTTTTTTTTTAAGGAAAAAGACAACATATATTGGATATTCTTTTTTTCTTTTATCTGAAAAGAAATGTAGTTTTGGGTAAAATGGCAAATATTAGGCTAAAAAATAAATTTGGACAACGCTTCGCTGGGCCTATATATTGGTGTAACTAAACGAGAGATCTAACGTCAAACTTTTAAGCTATGGTGCAGCCCAGATACGCCTGATCAAGGTCACTTGGGAATCCTTTCACTGTCCCCAAATATCCTTCCTTAAATCTCAAATTCGATTAAAATAAGAAACAACATAACGACCAATCAGGACTTGTCTCAATGTTACAGTAGCCGCTGTTTTATTTTGGAACGTTCACTGCAAAGTAGGGTGGTACGCCACAGCACTCACCGAGTTATTATTATTATTGTTGTTATTATTATTATTTATAAACTACTCGATGCGTGAGCGTGCATCATCTCGTTCCAGAGAAGTGCTTTCCGTGTGAGCACGCGGCTGCTCTGCGGCGAAGCGAGTTGCGCAGGATCGCGATGTGTACCGTGCTCTGCAACTGTCGCTTCTCCGCAGTACATTCGTGTGCGGTGGGAAACGCACACAACGAAGCCTACTAACCCGGTCGACCGGGCCACGAACACGGAAATACTACGGAGCTCTAGACTGCTGTCCATCAAAGTTCGATTCAAAGATAAATTCAAATACAAGGTTATTCGAATAAACAATCGAACATTTAGAAAGGTCGCACAAGGCCACTGTATCGACCAGCGTGGCGCAGCAGCTAAATTAGTTTCAGTACTAGAAAAATGATTACTTCTTTTGCGCGATGTTTAAACGAATTATTTTTTTCACATTTGAATTAAATGTACTAGAAGGTAGAGCCACTGACGGGTCTTCTCGTTGCTCCGCCTCCAGAGCTTGCTTGCTATAGTTCCTGACACGGTAAGAACGGCGGGGCGTCTCGCGGCCTTCCGTCGTGCTTTGACAGCGTGAGCACGCTCGAGCCTCACGACATGACGCCGAAGCGTTATCGAAGGTAGAAAGCTCGCGCTGCACAGGCGGAACTGCCGAAACTCCTCGCTGGCGTCTTCACCGTGTCAGTGATCTTTCGTAACACTTCGGCGCCTCATGCACTCCGAGCGTGCACGCGCGGCCACAGCCCGACGAAAGACAGCGAGGGCGTGCTTGCAGGCCGCGCGTCCGCAAGAGACGCGCCCTGTCGTTGTCAGCCCGCCCGTGACTATACGGCGGGGCGAGCACTTTGAAAGGCACAAATGGCGCAGTAATCGGACCCCCGCAAGTCCACCCCAGGGTCCTTTTTTTTGTGTCGTACGCGTGGCAGGCACTGGCGTCATATCAGCGGCCATTTTGAAGGACCTCGCTGCAGCGCGTGTACCTAGTGCAGCACAGATTCGCACCAACGACTGTGTCATTCTCGGCAAGAACGACTGGGAACGACGATTGGTACCTAAACAAAAATAAAAGTGGGAGAGAGAGAGAGAAGAGGGGGGAGCGATTTCCCGCATAACTCAGGGCGTCTACATTTCGGGCATCCGCAAGAGCCGACCGAAAACGCCGATTTGCCGCTTCCGTCCCGACTGACAATAGCCAGGAACAAATACAGAAAACAAGTGAGGCGCAAGAACGCGGGACACGCGTTTACGACAATTTCGTCCGTTCAAGTTCTGGCGACCTCCCCCCGGTAATCCTGTAATGATAATAATCCCCCCGTCCGTTCTTCCTTCCCGGAGTAGAAGGTCGTACTTTGGGGTGCTCGGAGGTTTCGTAACACGAAGCAAAAAGAAATGGCCTCGAAATTATACCGTCACGAAGTTGCCTGCGGTTAACCCCAAAGGCTGGCAGGAATCGGGGGCCCTCCGAGTGCAGCTGCCGTCCAGCCAGAGTTTTCATCGAAAACACTAAACCGCCGATCGGTAACGCAACAGAACGATGAACTCCACAAAATATGGCACGTCGCGTCTTTGTCGTGGTGTAATATCAAGGATAAAAGTAGTTTCTTTATCATTTTCTCCTTCGCAGAACTTGATGTTACGGGAATCGCAGTGTTGCAGTGTTGGCGCATTAACGCGCGGGGGAGGGGGAAGGGGGAGGGGGGCACTTTATAGTGCATATATTCAAACGAGGCTCGTGGATCGGACGCGAGCATCGCACGAGTACTTGACTCGCGCGTAGCTACGATGAATGTTAGTGACATGTGCGAGTTGAAAGGGTGAACGCTGCTCGTTTTTCTCCGACTTTTTCTGCGATCCCGCCACTCCGCGGAGAGGAAAAACTAACACCTGCTTCGTGGAATATGAACGTCAATAATTCATCCTAAACGGTGTTAAGTGAACGTAAAAGAACATGGTTACACCGCTCCGCCACTTTATAAGGCAGAAAAGCATGCATGCGCGAAGAACCATCCGAAATTCGGAAAACGGCAAAATCGTTTCGCACTAGTTTCAAGAACCGAGCGTAATGCACTGAACGCAAACATGGATTCGGTAAAAGGATTAATTACGACTTCCGTACCAGAAATGTCCTGGTGTGGTTAGTTTAAAAAAAAAAAAAGAAAAAAGAAGTCTGGAACTATTTTTTTTTTTAAGTTTCAATTTTTTTCGGTTGGTTTGCCGCTCATCGGTAGGTAATTTTTTCTCCACTTTAAGCGAAAGCAACGGCACAGCTAAATCTCTTCCGCGTGTTCTTTAGAAAAAAAAAAAAAAAAAAGAGAAGAAAAATTATTTGTAATTATGTTCCATACATCTAAATGAAAACATGGGACATTGTTTGAATAATTCAAAATATTAAACGACAAACGATGCGTACAACTAAACCATTTCCGTGCTAAAAAAAACAAAAACAAAAAAACAGAGAGAGAGAGAGAGAGAGAGATGTAAATTCTGCGACATGCACGATACGGCTCAGCAGTGCACGTGCCCAAGGTGCGCAATGAGCGCGACTTCAAAGTCCATTCCGTCCCTCGCTCACCTGTGGGAAGTCGTCGATGCCGGAGCGCTCTCCGGCTATCGTCATGAGCACACCTTCGCGGGGAACCTCGCGGCGTCCCAGCTGAGCTCAAAGAGCCGCACGAACAGCGAACTGCTCGCAAGAACAGACGGGGAAAACAGCAACAAAAAAAAAAACCCTGTAGCTCCAACTTCTCCGACTAGCGACCGTCGTCGACGCAGACGCCGGTGCAAAGCGGGAAAGCGGCGTTCCTGAGCGGGTGCGCTTCTGGTGGCAGCGTCGGCGAGCGCATTGTTCCACCTGCGACGCCCGTCGTCAGAACGGTATTAACCAATTCCGGGACACGCCGGAGTGACGCATGGCGCCGGTTTCTCCCTCTCGGCACCCCAGAACGTCACGGTTCACGGTGTGCGAGCAACAAACGCCCGGTCCTCGTCGCTTATTGCCGGTGGTCTCTCGCCGCTGTTGGCACGGCCCGCCCCTGGGACGCTGCGGAGAACGCAAATAACGCAACAAAAGGTTTAATTTTGGCAGCCCTGAACATCCGGTGGGGCCGTCCCGGCCACTCTGCTCGCTCCTGCAGCGACGACGTACTTCCTCGGCACCGCGCGGTAGAAAAGAAGCAGACGACGCTGTCAGCGTCGTCTGCTTTGACGCGTCTTCTGTAGTTTTCGGCGTCGGTTCCGAAGAAAGGCTCGTTCAAAAGCGCCAATGGCGAGCGAGAGGCTGTCGGAAGCTCAAGACCAGACAAGAGATTAATCGAGGCTCTTCCCGCACGAGCTGATGAGCATAAACAGAGAAAACTGGAGGCATGAAAGCGGCCATTCACGGCGCGGCGAAGGTCAAATAGCAGACGACGCCGCGCTGCCGATGTCGTCTGCTACTCCATCCCTGGCGCGCAGTAGAGGCAGCGGCCGTGGCCTTCGCGCGTATGGCACGGACACCCTAAAAAAAGCCAGGCCCCCTCTGGACTACTTTGGCGGTCATCGATTTCTGGGGAACGAGAGGGGGGAGGAAGGGGGGGACTGATGCGCTGAATCACGGCTCTTCGACCCGAAATAAGAGCCGGACATTAGCGCTCTGTGTAGACGTGCGTGGCGTCACGGTGTTGATGTCACGGCTTTTCATTTGCTGGCGCAAAAAAAAAAAAAAAGAAAAGAATTCCCTTTTTTTCTTTCTCTTCCCCATAATTAAGACAAAAGTGTGGCGTGAGCACCCAAACGTCCTGCTAGCACAACTTGAGCGCCGATCTAGCCGACCATACCTGCTAAAAAAAAAAAAAAAAGTTTCTATTACGTGAATATTTGCCAATTTTTTTTGTGCTTTTGATTAGTATTTACAGACTGTGATCAAAAGCTAACTCAAAATGTCGGGGTCTCACAGTTTGTAATTATTTGTGCATGGTATTTTCGTAGGTCCCAAAACAGGCCATGAGCAAAGCATTTACAACAAAGCCAAAAATACGTTTTTTCCCCTAAATTTATTATAAAAATAGGTCCTCATAACTGAACTCAGGAGACAGTTCCACAAAGCTACTTGTAGATAACTTCTTCAGCACCATCGTGTTGGGCTGCAACTCGTGCTGCGACGAACAAGAAGTCGCTCAGCCTGAAACAGACGTGCACCTTGTGAGAAAACATTCCATATGGCACAAAGATAATGCCGCAACCTAGCAATGTTAAAGGTGCCCGGATGAGCTCTCTGCAAGTGCTCACCTGTTCAGGTACCGCATGACGACGTCATCCACTTCATTGTCATGAACCAGCGTGCTCACCCTACCAAAGAAACAAGTCACTCACATATGTCACTAAAAAAAAATGTTTTCAGCAAAGCAGTTGGAAAAGACATTGCTCGGTGACAAAAATAATGTGATGAAGCCCAACGTTCTTGGTGCAGTTGTAAGCATACACTGAAAGTCATGCCCCATAGTGAATGCCAAGTGAAAACGGTGACTGTGCAGACAGTAGCCAGGAACCACCTTAACACAAATATGAAATTCCATTGCTGTCCAGTGGACTTCTTGTCATGACCAATAACCCTTACCACCACATTGCATCAACAGAAAATGTTCCCACAGCTGACAGATGGCTGTATATCGGAGGTAGCGTAGAAAATTATCAAAAGAAAAAGACATATTACCTCCGTTCAGCACGCCGACACACGGACCGTGCTATGTGGATTGACGAGCTTGATGGACTGCCAGACTGGACAAGAAAGACAAGGCAGAAGATTTGTTTAGACAAACATTGCCAACAATGTGGGAAACGAGAAGAGTATTTTGAACGCACTTCAGTAAGGTGCCACATTTACCCTTCTCCCAACTATTCACAAAGAAACAATGGCGACAATCTGCTTGCCATAGTTTTCTTGCCTAACCAAGATTTAGAGTAAATGTCAGCATTTAAGTCAGGCTACCGAAATAGCCTGCACTAAACCTAACTGATTCTACCAGAGTTTGTTGTACAAAAGAAGAATGAGTTAGCAGGCGAGCTGGTAAATCTTAAATATAACTATGGTTTCGTGTTTTCAGGGTTCTATTTTTTTTTTTTTTTTTAGAAATCAGGGGTTTATTTTTCCCTACAGATTCTGTGTTTTTTGGTGTCAATTTCCAGGGTCACAAAAACAATCAATATTGTTTATCGAGACTTGTGTTTCAGAAAATAAGACACGGGAATAGGATTTTCCCATCCTTCAGAGAACATCAACTATGAACTATATACTTAGAGAACGACAAATGCCGTAAAGAAATGAAAATGGGTAGGAGATGTCCTGTGTAGCTTTGGCTTTTCTTAGTCAAGGACAGCTCCAATTCGGGGTGTTTTGAATCTTCAATGGTTTCTATAAAACCGTCTCGGGGGCTAATTTTGAGGTTTATCGGTATTTACCGAAAACACCGAATCCTAAATATAACTCAACCTGAAACCCAAAAGAAGCAAGCAGGTACGATGTAAAATGAATGACACAGACTCTCTCTCTGTTGACAGAGTTAACAGAGACAATGTGTGTGTGTGTGCATTCTTCTTTTTAAGTGTCTTCGTCCTCCTTCCCTGGTTTAGTCATTTTTAAGGCCTGGTTAGCTCCCAGTCAAAATATATTTACATTCTGTCCCCTCAAAGACTACAGTAAACGAAGAGCAGTAAGCAACTGTTTGCTTGCATTCTCTACCAGCGACTAGTTACGGAACTCATTATCAGCATCCCTTTATTGAGGGAGTACGTTTGTACTACAGCACACACTAAGGTAGTACATTAAAAGTGCAAACAGAGAAGTTTTATGCTTTCCCCATATGTGATTGTCATAACGACAGCTGGTTAAAGGCAGACTTCTAGTCAGAAAGAAGGGGAGGGGTTGAGCACAACAGGCAAGTAAGATACCCAAACGACAGTTTCATGCCCATTGCGGATCACTTTGCCACAAGAAGTTCAGACAAAAGGGGCTTCTTCTCTCTCCCACTGATGAACGCGAGGAGGAGGGTGAAAATATTTTCAGTCATGCTGAAGGAGAGTCGGCAGGCCGGCCTAAAACAACGAGGCTACTATAAGGAGTGCCGGAGCCTGTTCCGAACAAAAAGGCAAGCAAAACTACCAACGCTCACAGGTAGGATGAAGTTCCTGAGGGGTTTGAGGTTGCTGGTATGTCCGTCTATCCACCGCTCCAGCTCTTCCACGTGCTCCGGAGGAAAGGCCGTTTTCACTGGGGCACGAGAGGTTTGTCTTGTCAAGCGAATACCCCAGGTGCCTCGTGGGGCAAAATATTCGTCGGACGTCCCTACCTCTCTGTCCTTCCGACGAAGACGACTTGGGGGTTGCAATGGAGGCCTGCAGGTCCTGAAGGAGGCACTGCACCTGCAACGCAAAGAACAGCAGAAGGTGGGGGGAAAGGTCAGCATTTGGCCGACAAAGCTGCCAAGCAATGTCAGGGCGTAGTTGTAGTACCAAGAATTTTTCAAATAATAGACTGACGAAGAGAGAGTGCAACCTGCCACACTCGGGAGGTATGTTTACGGGAACTCGCACATTACCCTCCTTTGAATTATTTAGAGCGCCGCAAATGTAATGACCAGTGTTGCAGAATAAGCAATTCCATTCCAACTCCATTCTGGCCCCGAATTAGGGTTATTAATAATCCTATTCCTTTCAATTTGTAGGTATGGAGACACTAGGCCATACCCACTCCAGGATTGGCTCAGCCTTTCCATTGCATTCTTTTTAATTCCGTATCTCTGACGGTAACCAGGGCGGTGGACAAGTACTGGAGCACCCTATGTTGGCAATCTATTCCCTAATATTTTTTTTTCTTTTTTTAATTTCATGTTTTGAATGATTTAATGGTAAAGGATATAAGATTTAAGATAAAGGAATATAAAGTTATATCAGCATTTTGGTAGTATGCTACAGCGTACCTACACCACAGTTATTCATTCAACTTGAACAATCAAAATGCCATCATATTAAAGGTGCAGACAAACATAAACACTTAGCTAAATCACACATTAAAGTGCTTAAAAGTCTATATTGATAACAAACAAATTAACTATTGACTCCCTACGAGTCAATAGTTAATGAAAGCAATGGAGGTCCCACGCAACACATATATATACTTTTTTTTACTACTTTAGACAGTTTATTAAATTTTGATCAAAAGAGGCCCGTGGCTCCTCATTCAAAAGTTTTTGTTTCTTATCTCAAAGAACTTTCACAAGAGCCGCGGCACTTTTTTTTTCTCTGAAGGTTAGTCCTCATGGCCTTTCTGCCTTTTTCTACCATTCCGGTTTCCACCGTTTCCGTGCAAACACCCATTTCTGTAGCTTGTTGACCCCCAGATGGGGAATTGGTGGCCAAGTGGGCTAGCACACACCAGCTCAGAGAACATAGGGCAAAAGCTCATGCTGCAGAACCCAGGGATCCTGGGTTCAACCCCACCCCTGCCCGTTTCGATCTGGATGAAGATTGTACCGGCGTGCGGCCGTGTACCTCTACTGCGTGGTGTACGTTAAATACCCCAGGCTAGCAGACTAAGTTCAGGCTGTATAAACATACCCACACCCCAGTTTTTTTGGTTTTTTTTTGACCCCCAGAGAAAAAAAGGCTCAATCTTCCTGGCGGACGCCGATTGGGGTGGAAATTTTCTGTCTACTCAAGACGACAAATACCCCAACGATTCCCGGTCTTCTAGGTTAGTAGACACCATGCTCATTTAACTAAAGCCGAGCAATGGTCACAGAGAGCACTCAGTGGTACTCTAGGCATTGAAAGTGTGATCAAGTGTAAAAGGCCCGGAACAGAAGGCAAAGTTACAACCGCCATTTTCTTTGCAAACGGACCATATGACCTTGAGTTCTAGGAGATATATATATGACCAGTGTGTTTGCTTAGAAAGGTCCTAAGAATGTCTAGTTTCTGCGTGGTGAGAAGTTACAACTTTTTAGTTTTGGTTGCATCACTGGGGGCACCACTTTCATTCTTGAAGCAGCATGACCCGGTCAGGTAATCAAGCCGTCAAGCAGAAATGCTACTTTAAGAGGCACTTTAACCGTGCACCAGCACACCCTAGCTGAAGGTCAACGCAGCTCGCATAAGCATGTGCTGAGTGCTGCACACTTATTGCATGTGCCGATGCGCTGCGCACCGAGATTGCACTGTGAATGGTTTTGTTTTGTATCGCTTACCCTTGCCTTGGCCCCTAAACAAGCTGGTGGTATTGTAAAATAAATAAAACAGAACCAAGCCCATTCTATTCTAGGCAAAAGGCATCTAATTCCACTCCCCATTCTAATACCCCCAGCACTGCTGCTATTCCATTCTGGCTCCAAGGCTACAAGCACAGACATGTTGCCTTGAATGACGCTTTCACTGTAGGCACGGCAGTCTAATAGGGAACGCAAGGGGCGACGGTTGCCCCCCATAGTATTCTGGGGGCAACCTATGCCCCACAATTCCAGGGCTCCCTTATCTGAAATTTTTTTTGTGTTTGGACGCACATGACTGCAGGTTTTGTGCAAAGCGTGTTGTTCACTCTTGTAGCTTCTGCTTCACTCGCACTACTAGTGAAATGTAGTATATATCGATCCTTACATAAGGATGTGAGACTTAAGGCAACAGCCAGTCTCGTGAAGCATTCTTCCCACCTCCTTCAGAAAGACACATCTTTGGAAAAGTTATCCCAGGCATATCGGGCGATGCTATCAGACGAGATCACCTACCGTCTTGAGCTGGTCACTGAGCTCTTCATGCTGTAGAACTGCCCTAATGTAACCAATGTGCGAGTTCAGTTCATCCGTCGTACCAAGAGCCTCAAAGACAGCGTCGTCTTTTCTCCGCCTCTGACCGCTGAATGTCACCGACGTTCCTGAAAGAGCCCATCCCAAGGATAATAAAAGAGAAGTTGACGAAGAAAGCGGACAGAAATCAAATATTCAGGCCTCGCACGTGACACCATTTCTGCATGTTGGCAATTCTAAATAAATTGATGTGAAAAATCAATTACTGAAATCAAAGCCATGTTGGGAACTACTTTAAAATGTAGGCAACTATAAGCAAGAGGGCCACAGTGAGCTTTTAGTTTTTTTATCCCCCAAAGGTCATCCTGGTGATATCCCACGCCGGCCTGGCGATAGTCACAAAATTGCAGAGGGGAAGCAAATTGGTTTAGAAGGGCGAAGGAAGGAATCTTATTTTTGGTTTTTAATTTCTAGGCTAGGTGGCGTAAGCTACCGCTCGTTATAAAGGGTACAGGCGTTAGCATCCATCCATCCATTCATCCGTGAAGGCAACGATCTTGAAGTTCGAAGTTGCAACTTACAAGTCATGGAGGTAGGAAGCTTCTGGAGGCGACATGAAGTGTGGAGGGACATGCCCCCAACGATGACCAAAACCGAGAGGAAACGAGAACCGACTTGGTGCCAACAGCTGTTTTTGGTCACCCACCGACTGCATCCTCTACTTCCAACTTCACTCGGGATTGTCTCGTTTGGCTGGCTACTTAAACTGGCCTGAGTCGGTCTGTCGCCTCCTTTTCTTCCTACCTCCATGTTGCAAGTGCAGAAAAGCTGCTTTCAGTGATGCTTCGGCGTGTGACGTGAACTTTGGTCGTGTACGCTTATCCGAAGCATTACGATAGGCAGGAAACTCGCGCTACCTTTCACATTTAATACCTACGACCAAAATACTATATTAAAACTTGTGTCACGGTCGAAATTAACGAAATGTTGGCTAAGAAAAGTTTAGTCGGGGGAATGCTCGACGTGGATGAGCTACAGAACCGTTTACGTTGTCGTACGACTGCAAGCAACAAAGTACGGCAGGTAGCGCGTAGACAGCGGCGTAATAACGTCACCTGCAATGTAATTATAACAACTTTTGCATTAAACCCGCAATTAAATCGAGGGTAACGTGCCTTTATCTCCAGTACGAGTGTAGATCTTGGGGTGCGCCGGCCTGTCGCTGTCGTCGAAGGGGGAAACAGAACGAAGAATTTCAATTCCGATTCTAAGGACGACATGGGTTAACAACAGTAAACAGTTGATCTCGCTCACCTCATCCTTCGCGCACCCATGAAGTTAACGAGAATCGACGAGGTACAGATGCGCCTCACGGTTAACATCCTGGCTTGTAAACACAAACACGAGCAGGTTGGCGTATGGGTTTGGCTACTGGCTCTCAGGTTGACTTTGGATTGACTCTGAATCGACTCGACTTTCGTGGATTGCTAGGCCAGCTAGGCTACCAGTTATGACGTCATAATATAGGCGCGCATTTTGAAAATGTATCTAAAAATTTTTTTTTTTTTAACATGAGATTGCGACGGGAGCGGTCGACCGGTCGTGTTTGCTTGCGTCGCTTCGGCGGGAACTCTCGTGTACTTACCGTACTTACTACTGAAGAAACGTTCGCGCGTCGCAAGCAACAAGCTGTCGGCGATCGTTGCCAACCTTCTGGGTCTTCCAAAACGTTTCTACCGTGCACCTTCCGTAGGAGTGCAATGCCATCCAGTGTTGAAAATCGTGGTTAGCGCTCGGGGCGTGCGCAGTGGCGACGATGCTACTCTCTGCGTAAGCAAAGCGTAAGCAAAGCGTGCGCTATTCTAAAACTGCCCAATTCGGTTTATAAAAGCCTTAATGACAGATAAAAGGCTGTTGCCCATTTTATGCAGGCCCACTGTACCTGCTCCTAATAGAAATAATTAGTAAATCACAGTAACTGTACACTGAATTTTGGTCCGAATGTCTCGTCAGTTAATAGATGGAGGGTTGCACACTTGCACAATTCTTTTATGTGTTTTCTTCAAATGGCCCTCGCATAACTTCGCTTGGGAGGGAGCGCCAGAGCTCAGCCAGAGCTCAGTGGCTCTAGGGAAGAGCATACCTTTGTGTCCCTCTGTCCGACGAGAAGTGATTGCAGTTTGCGCCAGAGCATTTCTTTCTCGCATCGTGTAGGAGCGGCATGGGAGGGCCGTTAAGCACACAAGCTAGGAGGCGAAGCGAGGCGTCACGTCTATGGAGAGACAGGCGATTCCACCCTACACCTCCGAGAAGTTCGGAAGTGTCCATATCTCTTACAGTTGGAGCTGTGACTGCAACTGGCAGTGCAAGACAGCGTACGTAGGCAGCTAACCGTAGTACACTTTCTAAAGAAGCAATCGTAGCGACCTGCCGAGGGCTCCATACAAACGAGCAGTACTCAAGCTGCGGAAGCACTAGTGCAGTGTACGAACTTCGCAGTGCTTTTGGGCCAGTCTCCCTTGATACACGTTGCACAAAGCTCAGTGTACGTGGTGCCCTGGAAAGCACCTCACTAATGTAACAGGGGGAATGAAAATGCAGATCTAGCGTGATCTCCAAAAGTTTTGTTCGCGATGTCCTTGCAATTAGGGTGTCACCGATAGTAAAGCCTGGAGGGGGCAGGGGCTGTCGGTTGGTGGCGAGTAGCATCACGGAGCACTTTGCAGTGTTGAGGGGCAGTCGGTGTATCACGGACCATTCTTGCAGCTTGCAAAGATCCTCCCGTAGTTGCTTGTAAGGGCCTATGCCTCTGATGGGCTGAAGTGTTGGATCATCGGTGAAGAGAAATGGCCTCGATTTAGGAGAACCAATCACATCATCAATGAAGATGTTAAAGAGGGTCGGGCCCAATGCGCTGCCTCGGTGGATGCCAGAGATTACCTCTAGGGCCTCGAACTTCACTCCTTAGAACACAACTCTCTGGCCTCAGCCTGCCAAGTTATTTGCGATCCATTTGAGAGTGGAGCCCGCTACGCCAGTTTTCAGCAGATTCCGCAGTAAAAGGCTGTGGTCGACCTGGTCGGATGCATTTAGAATCTAGTTGGACCAACTCGCATGCCGTGCAATTGTCCGGACATTCACTTACTTCGTGCACCAATGTGGCCAGAGTAAGCTCGTACCTACGGCGTGGGCAAAAAACCAGTGGTGGGCAAAAAGCAGGCTCCGTTCCTTTAATTGATTAAGTATTTTTGTGTTGATAATGCACTCCATTGTTTTGCACACAATTGATATAATAGAGATAGGGCGGTACAAGCGCACAGATTCTACGGAGGCACCGTTTCCTTTGTGCACTGGCTTAACCAAAGCCGATTTCCACTCGAGTGGCAGCGACTCCTTTTCAAGCAATGCAGAGAGCACGTTGTTGAGAATCGGTCAGTTTTTTGTTGCACACACTTTGTAGAACGCCGGGGAGATACCATCCGGCCCCGCTCGGTGGGCCGGGTTCACAACTTGCAGCGCCTCCCAGGCGTCTTCACAAGTTATGTCTAAAGGTGCGAGGGCTCGGAGGGTGAGGGAAGGTCTTGCAGATGGGGATGAGCTAGAAGGTCGTCCTGCTGCGTCCATGCCGACGCAAAATAGGCACTGAAGATGGCCGCAGTCTCTTGCGGCGTTCCAACTGCTTCTTCATTGTTCTCGAACACAGGAGCAGAGGAAGTCGTTTTGTGCCACTTCAAGCAGGAGCAAAACAGTCTTGGATTTCAAACAGTCTTTTCTGCAATCGTCTGTACATAGGCCGTGTAAGACAGTAGCATTTTCTTCTTCAGCTCGCCCTGGACTTGGCGAGAAAGTTTGAGGACGTGCAGATCTCCAGCTTTCAAGTCAAGTGTGCTGTATCAGGCAACGGGTGCGTTTCCAGTTCCAAACACGACTCCAATGTCTCGCAGTGGTATGGCCGTCCGTCGGCGAACATTCTAGTTTGCAGTCAGCGATTTCAATGTCCAGTGCACAGCACATTACCAACACAGGCACGAGCCGGTGAGAGCACCCGACCCTTTCCAGAAAAAAATAGCCCCCTATTACCCCTATTAAGGAATTTTACGGCAAAAATCCAGACTTCTACTTTCTACCCTCGTGTGCTAGTTTTGCTGCGACCCACTAAGTGTGGGTCACAACAAAACTAGTTTAGCAATCTTTGAACTGTTTGTACACTTACATTCTTTTTTTAATTTAGTCATAATTTTAGTAACAAGACCTTAAAAACAAAAGGCTCGTATGGTTTCGTGTCACAAGTTTTTATCCCTCAGATATGACTACGGATACGTTGATATAAGATACCCCAAGCTTATTTTTGGTCAAAAATGATGGAAAGCCAAGCAGCAGACATGCAACCGGAGAAGCCACAAAGCCCAAACACTCCAGTTGCAATTGTTTTTTATTCGGCAATTCTACATCCAGCAAATTTTCCAGCAGAGGACAAGGAACCAGTGACAGTCTGCATTGCGAAAATTGCATGAGATAAATTTTATGCTTTCAACCGGAAGAGAAAAAAAAAAAAAAGCTATTTTGAAAAAGAAAAACAAACATATCTTTACTAAGTAGAATTCTTCGTTTTCGGGTTTTATTTTCACATCCACAACATCAATACCAAAATGGGGAACTTTTTATATTAAAGTTATTGTACCAAATTATTTTTAATTTTTATTTAATATGTTTTAGACTATGCCCTAACGGAAAAGCACGGAAAAGCCCCAACAGGAAAATGGGCAAAACCCATTAAAGACTTTGGGAGCTCTGAACCGCTAAACAAAGACACATGGAGGACAACAGGAACACAACCATAAGAATGAGATAAAACTTGGACCAAATTTTATTTTGTTCCGATGGTTTTGAAAACGGTTGATAAAATAGTCGTTGCCAAAAATAAGACCCGAAAGACGAAGGACCCTATGTATAAGTACTGTACACAAAAGAAAGACCCCCCCCCCCCCCCCCAAAAGAAAAAAAACAGCAAGGAGAAAAAAAAATAGTTTGGCAGCCTCCAATTGGAGGCATCTTTCAAAAACCTATCGCAAGGAGCATTCCTATAAATACCTGTAAATACGGCACACACTCACGCAACTTAAGGTTGGAAAGGACAGACTGTGCAATAACTGCAAAAAAGGAAAAGAAAAAAAAAAAAAGAAGCGGCTACATTAAGGTTTACGGGTTTCGCTACGACTACTATGTGGGACAGTGCTTTCACACGCGGTCTACGGAATAGTTTACCTTTTTTTTTTTTGTGTGTGCAACACACGGGAAAGGTTTCCATCGACGTCGTGAGCGTAGTTTCAGTTCTCTAAAGACGCGCACGTGAGCCGGAGACGGGCGGCCGTCGCCCCGTCCCCCGGAAGAAAATGGAACGAGTACCGCCTAACGAAAAACGTGTGCCCCCCAAAAGAGAACCCCAAAGCGCCTACCTCTGCTAATCGCGACCGACTGCAAGTTTTCCCTGGAAAGTACATATATATATATATATATATATAGCGTATAAATAAAACCCAACTGTTGGCGCAAGAACGCGGTTATTTACAAAGTAAAAAAGTATTATACTAAAATGAAAAGCACACAAATAAAAAAAAAAAGACAAAAACACTCCCTCGAATGCTTTAAACTCGCATCGCGTCGTATGAGGCAAACCGCCAGAGGGATCGTCAAAAAAAAAAAGAAGTTTTCTCCTCTGGATGGAACAGAGGACCCAATGCGGTGACTTCGCTACTAGTGTAATTTCGCAGGTGGTTCGCATCTCGCGGTTTCGGCTCCAGCTCTCACCAACCACCACAGCCTCTCTAGAGACGCCCCGCGTCCCCCAACGAGCGGTTCGCGGCCGCAAAACCCCGAAAAGTGGAGGTTATTCCCGTCCCCAAAGAAAACGCAGACGAGGCGCGGCGCCGGTGACTTGCGTGTTCGTTCGAAGCGCGTGGCCACCAATCGTCCGGCTCTCTCGGCCCGGCGAGGGGTCTTGGAGGAAAACGAAAGGTTGAAGCTCGAAAATTACGGCGACTCCCAAGGGGTCAGGTGAAGCGGAAACCACGAGACAGCACCCACGTCTCGGTGCCTCGATGGGCTCTCTCCACGACGGGTCCGAGCGGCGGGGCCGAGACGTTGCTCGAGCCGAGCCAAGACGGCCGCGGGCACCTTGCAGTCCGTTCTTGAGCCTGGCGGGGGGAGGGGGAGGGGGGGTCGTCGCACGCAGCGTGAAGACGCAGGCAGGGTGGCAAAGGCGGAGGGGGCCCTCCTCGTCGTCTCGGCGTGCGGCTAGCGGCATTCCCACACCTTCACCGTCTGGTCCACGCTGCCCGTCACCACGTAGGGTGCCGTGCGGTGGAAGTCTGCAAAGGCAGACAGGCACGCGGTCGTTCAGAAACGTGTCGACAGATGGCGCGCGATGGGTCGCGTCGAGATTTCGAGACACGCACTTATGAAGTTTGTGGCACGCCCCATTTTCTAAGCTCCCGTTCTCAGCGCACGTCGTGATGGGAGCTCGGCAAAGGATGAGGCTGCAGCTAAGTTTGGATGGAAAGGTGTCACCTGCTAGTATGGTAGGTGTTCTCGGGCAGACAGCATTTCTAGGCTTATTCTCAACCTTATTTGCCCGAATCTCTTTATAAATCACGGCAACTGACTTTCCAGGTGCTCTGGGAGAATGCAGATGTTAAAGAGTGACCTTACATTACTGACTGGCCGATAATTCCGACTTGCTCGATACTTCCAACCTGAAGAAGATACCGTGACTACCCGACAGAAATAGTGCATATTCACGACCAATGTTTTGGACAGCTTGAAATCCGGAAGTTAAATTTTTCTGACTAATTTGTCGCGAGAGATTCGCGAGAAACACCACCAAGATGCCGCCATATTAGATTCTATGTTGGCTGCACATCGATTGGCTTGGTTTGACAGTGCTACTTGAGTACTGCTAAGTCCTACCGCTAGGTGACACTACGCTACGGCTTTGTTTTTTCTCTATCTGCACATCATTATCATTATCATTTTGCTTTGTTCATTCGCCGTTCTGCAGTCGTGGATTCGCACCTTTCATCTCGTCTCGGTGAGGGATGTTTCCGGACTACACTGGCTCGGACATCATAACCCCCCCATCTGTCCTTCCGCCACCGCGAAGTGTCGCTAAGAAGCGCAGAAAGTAACTCGACCAAAACGCTAGAAAAGAAGGCAGCAATTCTCAAGCGAATAGAAAGGCTAGCTTTTTAATCTGCTGAATTTTCACACTGCTCTGTTATTCTGACATTTTTTCCGTCCCTGCAAAGTCCGAAAAATAATCGGCAACTGCATAACGCATGCTCAAAGTACTGAAGAATGGTAATCTGAGATTTATAAGTCAAATACAGCAAAAACCTGTACAGCTGAGCTCAAGTGCAAGCCGTGTCATCACTATAGGTGCCCCAGCAGTGGTACACCTCCACTGGTATACTCGCACTGTGGTATGCTTTCCACAGTGGTATGCACTAGGGGTGTGAGAATATTCAAAACTTCAAATACTTCGCCCAAATTGTGCCTGCTATTAGATTCACTCCACACTTTCACCGTTCAAAGTATCAAGTTCTTCGAATATTCGGAAGCTATGAATAACGCAGAACTTGCTCGTTAGTCTGAATTTGCAGTCTCATTCCCAGTTTGTTTTTGAACTGCGCAGTATTGTTTCAAGCTTGGCAGGCCCAAAAAGCCAACCTAAGTGCCCATTTCTGTTCTTTTTTTTCTTTTGTAAGAAGCACTGGATAGCCATTTGCACGCGGTAGCGCGATTTTTCTTTCACTCGCTGTGATGTCTGGATTGCAGCGAGTGCAGCTGCACGGCGTGATCGTGCGATCTCCGACTCCGTTGTGGCCCTCCGACCCACCTTCGCTTGTGTACTTCCGTTTAGCGTATTTACACGAATGTAGGTCGACCCTTTTTAAAATTTTTGAAAATCTGAAATCTTATAATCGAACCAAAGCATTCCACCGCCGGCAAAAACAAAACAATCGCGATATCATGGACACCTCGGCTTGTTCCGAGTTCAGCCGGCTGTACCCCTAGCATTACACTGTTTTGTGCGCTCATTTTACAAATTAATTATTTTTTATTTTTGCAAATTATTTATTTATTTATTTATTTATTTTTTATTTATTTATTTATTGATACTGCCGGCCGCTAATACGCAGCCAAGGCAGGAGATATACACAATAAAATGCACTTTATATACAATAAAATGCACGTTACGCGGGCGTAACCCGAATGCACGGCGGTGAACAGAGCACGGAGCGCCCGACTCCCGGGGGGTGACGACACTTCTCGTAAGAGCCACTCCGGAGGCCGCTGGAACCGCTGGAACCACTGATCTCTATTGTAGTAGGCTGGATCGCGGACCGCGGCCTCGGCAGCTGGGGCCGAGTGTCGCCACCGGCGGCCATTGATTCACACCAGCCAATGCATGGGGCTCTATGGGAAGAACGAGAAAAAGTGACGTTTTACCCTGTTTCTAAGCTGTTGTCGGCACTAAAACTTTTTGGATGCTTTTCGATAAGCCCGTCAAATAGCTTGCGTACAAACATTAAAACTGACAGCCCTCGCAGTTCTTATAAATAAATATTTTGTGGTCGAGAGTGACTCCACTGTATTGGAGCTCAATGAGGCGAGAGTTACCTAGAGTTACCGCGGAGTCGGTGGCGGTTTCGTTGAGTTCGGTTTAGCAGACGACAACTCGAAGGCTTTGCTACGCGGAATTCGCTCACTCCCGGAAAACCGCCGTCGAGATGGAACTTCTTCGTCATTCATCAACTTCTGGGCTTCCCTAAGGACGGTCTTATTGACGGCAAGTTCCTTTGTTTTCTCCACTACGAGAGCAAGCTTGCCAGCTCAGCCGCAGGTGCTCTGGTACGTTTGATTTTTTTAAATTGGCGACCAAACCTTTGACAAACACTGATTCGATCTCCAAACACCCGACCTAAGGATCGCAGCACACCATAAAATACTCGCCTCTGAGCACAGCGTACATGCTTCAATATTCTTACTTTTGTGTGTTTCTCCCATAGACTTGCGTATATTGCCTGGTGTCAAGCAAAGCCGCCGGTGGCAACACCGACGGGCTCCCGATCCGCGATCCAGCCTACTACAATAGAGATCAGTGGCTAGAACAGACTCACGGCTCGCTCGCTTGGCTCGCTCACCCCGCGGCTTCTCTTCGCAGTTTTTCGCACGATTCACTGTCGCACATCGTTTGATCGAGTACGAGATCATGCTGGTGCGCTAACTATGTTCATTTGTGTTGAAACACGTGATCCGGGCAGTTTAGGTTTTCGGCGCTCGTTTATGGCCATTCTTCACTCAGAAGCAACCAACAACTGCGCTGTTGGACGCAAGTTCGCCCCGTTGGAGTGGGTGATGCCCCAGTGGATCTGCGGTGGCACGGAATCTTAAAGTGTGACGGCAAACGAAGAAGCTTCCGCGGGCCAAAGTCTGGATAGGTGGGGATGCCTTCCGGAGTTGGAGGTCAGGCTTGCAACGTACGCCGCAAACGTGCGCAATCGGTCCCTACCCGTGATGTCCAACATGATCGCCGAGCAAGCGCGGAAGATGCGGTTGATCTTGTCATTTGGGAAGTGCGAGACTTCATTGGACGACGCAGACGACGTGCTTCGAGAACATAGCAGTGATGACGACGGGACTGACATCACCAGTGCAGATGAGTTATAGTCTAGTCGCGGATGGAGTGAGAACGACAGTGAGCAGCTTCAGTTGTCCCCACCTCCAGCGTGAACTGCCTAATTCCAATAACGCTTGGCCATCTCATGCACCTCGCACGTGCATGCGCAGCCAAAGCACGCCAGAAGGTATCGATCGCGTGTTGGAGGCTCGGCTTTCGAAACAGATACTTTGCTGTTCTCACGTGTTTGCAATAAAATGCGCATCTAAAAAAAAAAAAAAAAAAAAAATTTTTTTTTGTTGATGTGTGATGTGGGGGAGTCGACTTACAATCGAGTCGACCTACAATCGTGTAAATACGGTACGTTCACACGGTTGCGTTCGTCCCCGATATAATCTCCAACTCTGTTGTTACTTTTTTTTTTCAATATAGTTAATTTTTTTATAAGTGTTGAAAAAAAAATTCTAGTTGTGTTTTGATTGAGTATTCTCATTTAAGTCACATCAAATAGAAAATATTTTTATTTGAAAATATTCACATTCGAAACTCTTCATATTTGAAACTAATCATATTCTAAAATATTCATATTCGTAACCTTTACTATTTGATTCAATCCACTTCAAAGATTTTGATATTCGTACACCTTTGATACAGTCACATTGGTATACCCTCAGTGGCACGCCCTCACAGCAGTATACCCTTAGCAGTATGCCCTCCATAGTGGTATACACTCACAGAGGTATGCTCTTAGGGCTCACTGTGGCATACCTTCTCAGTTATACGCCCTCACCGTGGCATGCATTTCCTGTAATATGCTTTTGCTGCATAATGCCTTTGCTGTATAAAGCCCTTGCAGTAAAAAGCTCAGAAATATTTCCCCAAGGAGATCACGACTCGTCTTCAGAGTGGAATAGCTTCGGATTAAGGTGCACTTATCGAAATTCCCCGAGCGGAATGCCCTTGGTGCATTCTTCCTGGAAGACGGTGACGCACACTCTCACGGAGCGGCAGTACAAAGGCACAAGAGAGGGCGGGTCAAGACCCACCGAGGGAGGTGCAGAAGTGTGAGTGGGCGTCTAGGGTCTTGCAGCAGCGCTGGTGTGCCAGCTCCCAGACGCGTAGGGTCTTGTCGTCCGACGCACTCAGCAGGTACTTGCCCCCCGGGTGGAACTTCACTCCACGCACCCAGTTGTCGTGCCCAACCTGGGAGGCATGGAAGGGAACGGGTCACCAAACTCTCCAGCCCTTGCTTTGTGCCCAGGTCTTCAGGACAAAAATCAGAGGGGACAAAATCCTTCTCTTTCGTGCTGCACAAACGGTGCTGCCAGTAAACTTCCCGAGTAATGCGTGCACACTGGGGGATGTAGAGGAATCTAAAATTCTGCACGCCGAGCTGCACAAACGGGCCAAGTGGTGGCCCGTAATGTGCCGACCCTCGATAGGATATCTGTCGGCAAAAAGGACACGTGGCCTAGAGCCCTTCCAGCTCCTCGGAGAATGACGAAAAGAAGCTCGAGGCCGCAGTGCAGGGCTCATCAACCGACGTAGTGAAGGTTGCGACCGTCTCTATGCAAAGACCCCCCCCCGCAAAGAACGGTTACTGAGGGCACTGACCAGGGTGAAGAGGGCCAGGCCTGTGCTGACGTCCCAGACCTTGATGGTTTTGTCCCGGGAGCCGGACACGAGGAAGGGGCCCGTACCCTGGGCCCCCCCGGCCCCCGGCCTGCGGTTGCTGTCCCCGGCAGCCCCGCACAGCTGGGCGTGGGCGGGGGCCCAGGCCACGCACTCCACCACGTGGTCGTGCTCGCGCAGCTCCAGCTTGCACTCCTTGGTGCCCACCACCCACACGCGCACCGTCTGCAAGAGTGTGGGCATCGACGCGCACGCTTGTTCAAGCCCAACGCGCATTTTTCTTTCTTAAAACCTTTTCGTTCCAAGTTATGCGCACATTCCAAAATATTAACTGTGAAGGCAACGGGAGCTGTAGATCTCTCGTTTAAAGTAAACCGGACCGCCGTTTTGAGGCACAAAAGCAACTGAAGCTATAATGTGCGAGGTGCTTAACTTATGCTAAAGGGGGTTAAGCTCTCGTCATTATTCAATACAGCACGAAGGTTGTATTAAATATGAGCGTGACCGTATACAAGGAGTAAAATTGGCACTTGTGAACACCTTTTAGGAACTCAAAAACCTGGCTGTGTGGTATAAGAACCCCATTTTCGAACGACACCCTTTGACATAAAGGAATGCATTCTCCATACTGCTGGGAGAGGCATAGCCTGCGGTCGTTACCACGAGCAAAACCGTCCCATTCAGATGACGCCCGAGGCACCGACACCGCACCGGTCGATCGTGCAACCTAGCGGGCCAAACATTCGACGCGGCCACAGGCTGGCCGGGCCTCTCGTACCTCCGGACTCTCGGTTCGAGAGGAGGCACGAGCGCGGCACACCGGGCCAAAGTGAACCCACCTGGTCGTTGGAACAGCTGGCAAGCAGGGAGCCGTCGCTGTTCACCCTCACCATGCGCACCCAGTCTCGGTGGCCCGTGAACGTCCGCACGCAGTACCTGCGAGCAAAGGGGTTAATACAATCATCTAGAGGGATTTCGGATGCGCCTTAGAACGGCGGCGGTCCTGACTAGACCCCATAGCCAGCGACGCATCGATACATGCAAGGAAGCAAATATAAGTCACTCGCAAGGTTTGTACCAGTTTTTTCCGTGCTTTATTTCGGGCAAAAACACCAATGTAGCGCGGCGTATGAAAATAAATTGAGTCGACGAGCGCACAAACAACTTTGACTCGTCGCGGCAAAACAAATGCGCCAAACCTTTCGTCCGCTTTCTTTTCTTGCTTTCCCCTCGCCCTCTTTTTCATTGTTTCCCTCAAGACTACCCGCATCTGCATTTATGATTTGCCAAGCTCCACTCCCGTCCTTACCCCCCACCCACTTCACAGAGACAGGGCTTGTCGTTTGTCCAGACGAAATGCCCTGGGACAAAGGGCGTCCGAGAGTTGCATCTCCCGCCCCCGCTAACACTCGCCCATGGACTCCGTAGCCACCGACAAGAAGAGGACAGGGTCTCTTCAAGTGCCGTACGCCGTTCTTTCGCCGAGAGATCCCGACACGCGTTATTCGAGGCAAGAAGCTCGGGCTGGAGGCAGGACGACCGAAGCACCTCCCTGCCATCCTCATTCCTTCGAGGAGTATATCGCCTTCAAAGAGACATCCGAGTTGACTCCAACAGTGAGTGGCAACTGGATCAGTCGATTCGGCCGTCAAACCAAAGGCCGATTCACACACTTCTCTACGACAGAGTGCCTTAAAAACTTTTCTCTTACGACAAGAGGACACAGTGGCGCTATCTGTCGGGTAGCCGTGGAACGCTCGCCATTTCTGAACGTTTACTACTTTTTTTTTTACAGTCATTCTTTCTTTACCGGCTTCAAGAACTTTTGACAATGTAATGAACGACCGTTTCTCAAAGATAGTATGTTTCATCTCTCAAATACCGCGGAACCTTCACTCTAGTGAAACGCAGTTCCAGGGCCACCTCATGGATGGCGCCGGCGTGCCACCGTGTTTAGGGTGCCTACATGATTGTCTGTCTGAGGGTGAAGACATCCATTGTTGCCCTGAATGTGCCAGCGTGGGACGCTCTCACGCAGTCGGTGCGTGACTTAAGCAGTAAAATGGCGTCTATGCATTAGCCAAAGCTACGCGCTCGAGCTGAGTGACAGCAGATTGCACGCGCTTCAAAATGCATAAAAAAACAATTGGCGGAAAAGTGGCTGAGATGTCACCACTCAAGCAAAAGTGTGTGTGTGTATGAAGGCACTCTAACCGTGTTCTCTCGCAATTGCGAGAACCCCATCGTAAGCAAACGTTAAAGGGATACTACAACGAAATTTCGGCACTTATTTTTTTGGTTCATACATGTTCAAAGGGGCAGTATCACATCAGACACACCAATATCTTGTTAAAAAAGACACAAAAAGAAATTTTAAAACAAATTAAATAATTAGCAAGGAGCACCTCGTGGATGTCGCTAAAGCCTCGTTTGCAATGCCCGTCTAGGAACCATGACAGGTAGTGACGATAGCTGTCTCACCTAGAACTGTACGTGCTTTGAACCTGACGTCATTCCGACAGCTCTATAGCCAGCACAAAAGAAGAAGAGAGGGAGGAACTCGCCACTTAACGGAACTCTCTTTTGTGTGTCCCAGACATCGCTATTCTCCCTCTATAGCTTTGACCTAAATCACGAAATATTGAGCCCGCAAAAAAATAAGTTGTTTACAGTATTTCAAATTTCGTTAAAGTACCCCTTCAAGCGTGCAAACCGACCTTAACGTGCTAGTTGCGATGTCAAACTTTCTGCCACAGACGTCGGCTCGGGATCGTGCGGGAACACTGGCTTCCACTAGAAACGTTCCTATACCAGTCTCTGGCACCAATCATGTGGCGGGACACCCAAAAGAAAAAAGAAAAACACTCGAAGTGCAAGCGAACTACCTAGGTTCATCAAAAAAATAAAATCTAAAATGAAAAAAAAAAAAAAAAGACACGGTGTGAAACGAGGGAAAAAGGGGAACAGACAATGTTGTGTGCAACCCCCCCCTTTTTTTTTAGTTGTCCGTTCCACCATTTGGATCATGCCCGCACAGCAATCTGTGGCTTGGCAAGTCTGAAACTGTCCTAAAAACCAGAGAAACGCTTTACCGGAAGGGTAGGGCACGGCCGAGAGAATTTGGGTGTTCGAGGAACGCCGCGGGGGACCCCAGGGAGCCGTTGGGCACCCAGAAACCCAGGGGAATGCGAGGTCAGTGTACTCACCCGGTGGCCACCTCCCACATTTTGATGCTCTTGTCTCGAGAGCATGACACCACGTGGTCGCCGCTCGGGAGGAAGCACACCGACGACACGTTGTGGTCGTGCCCTGCGTGCGGCGCCAAACAAAAGCGCGGAGGCGGCAATCAACGGAGCGCCTCGCAGGCTCGGGAGTGCTCCCGTCGGTGCCAAAGTCACATCCAAAAAAACCTGACCAACTTTTTGCTTCTTTTTTTGTTGTTGTTTGTTTTGAAAAGGTTGAAGCATTTAACTGGCTTCTCCATCACAGACGTTAAAAATGGCAATTACCGGTGAATCCTCAAAAGGGTAGCGGACGTTTGTTTTAGAGGTATAGCATGCTCGTAGAACGCTTCACGAGACATTCATTGGTCGCGATTTCTAACGAGCGTTGTAAAAACTGTAGCACGACAGAAAGGCATTGAGTCGGATTTCCTCAGAGTGAATATACTCGAGAGGAAAAGAATGTCTGCCAGAATGGGCAAGATTCGAGCATCTGAGAAGAGCCAGACGAAACCTTTTTTTTTTATTCCTTACACTACTACCGCAAGGGCCTAACCGCCGACTCAGACAGATCTTTTACGTCGGCGGTTTCGCGGAAATGGTGAGAATGGAAACTGGGCGGCCAATCTCCGGACGGACCGAGCAAACTCACCATGCATGGTCCTGAGGCATTCGTAGGACTTGAAATCCCACAGCTTGATGGTCATGTCGGCCGAGCAGGAGGCTGCAAGACGGACGGTTCTATCGGACGCCGATCGGGCTCTAGAGTCGCCACGAAGAGTAAACCGACTCTCTCGGCAGAAACAGACCCAGATGTTAAAGGGGGGGTGCAACAATTTTACGATTAAAAGAATTTGTATCTCGTCATTTTTTTATGTTGCTTATCGTGTCCCGGAGGATACAGAAAACACCTCCTTCATTAAAAAATGACGCAATTCCGCTGCATAATTGCAAAGCAAAAGTGTAGCTTTTTTCCCCCACCTGCAGCCGCGAGTGGCAGCCAAAGGAACTACGGCGAAAAGCTTACGTGACCTCGCTCGGCTCTAAGCTGCAGCATAACGCCCGCTAATGCCAGCAGAGAGAGGGAGAGGAAGCGTCCTCCAAGAGAGCACACGGGAACCTACACGGTGCCCTGAATTACCTCACTAGGAGGGGGACCAGGTGCGACCCTGAAGACTGGGAGCGAGTTGAGGGGTGCCAGAAATGCTAATATTTATCTCTTTTTGTACACAACAACTAGGACACGCAGGCAAAATCGATTTACTGTTCTTTACTTTAGAAGTGTCGGAGGGCAACTTCCACAAATGTTTGACCGAAGGCCGGAAATCGTTGCACCCCCCCTTTAAGCGCTTGCGTGATCCAAAAATAAAATAGTAAAAGAAGGCAATGACTATCCTTCCAGTTCTTTCTTTTTTCGAGGAGCCACTCATTGATTTTTTCATGCGCAATATTAATTATAATAAATAAAAAAATCTTGACAAGTGGCTCGGGGAAGAAGAGACACAGTAAGAACCCTGGAACAAGCAGGTACATCTTTCTTTTTTTTTTCTAGACAAACTTTCTAGGACTCATTTTCTCCTCTCTGGTCTCACGACCCCGTGCACCCTAGTGGAAGGCGGCTGCAACTCTTGGTAGGCGGGCAAGGTTTCAGGGTTCTTCGGGAAATCGATACTGTGTCCCAGAAAGGTAGGCGGCGCTTCGGGAGCAAACGGTAAACTGGGACATTACGATGGCTTCCCCTTTCCCCAACTACAAGGGTGGAAAAAAGAAACATAGGGGACAGAGAGGAAGGCACAGTTTCATGGATTCCCCACTCAGAGGTGGAGCGGGAGAGGACGTCAGAAAGGAGAAAGCGAGCGGAAGTGGAAAGCACAAAGTGTACCTCAGAATTTCAAAGGTTGACGTGCAAAGTACCTCCAGCAAGGCTGGATACCTTCCGACAAAAACAAGGCATAAATCCTCTTGGCCAAACCTTTAGAGGACAGCAAAAAGAAAGGCTACTCACCCAAGAACTGGCCAGTGTGGTCAAAGGCTATGTCCTGCACAGAGTCCGTGTGTCCCTTTATCGTCCGTTCGAAGTCTCCCGTCTCGTAGTCCCACACCTGCGTCCAAGGAAGCACCAGGCAGCCCCGTCACTCGGCCCCAGTTCATGGGCTCTGACGGTGCAATTTGACGCTCCAGAGGAAATGCCCAGCCGCCAGAAGGCAACGGGAATATTCACGGAAACAACAAAACCTTTGTGGAAAGGTCACACAAAACCTGAGCAAGAGCAGTTTTGAAATGCAGTTTCCACATAACACAGTGTGTACTGGGCATGAAGTCGGGCACGAATTGATTTCCTTACACAGCTCCTGAAGTAACTTCTAGCGGATAAGCTTCAAGAAATCAATGTACCATTGGGTTCTTTAGGGATTCTCAGTCCCAAAAATATGGTACACATTGAAAAACCAAAAGGGGTTTCTTCTTGCATGCTGACAGTTACGTACCGCAAGCCTGTTACAAAGACAAAGTTTGTAAAGTAGCGGGAGCGGTAAGAGCCGTTCCTAAAAAGGCCCGATAAAATGACAGAATTTTAAAATATTGTTCAAATAAAGTGCAAAATAATGTGCCTCAAAAGAGATAGTTCTAGTCATGTGTGAATAGTGGATTTTGAGTTTAAAGCGAAATCGAAGCAAATAGTGGTTTTGGCCGAATATCTTTTAATCAAATATCGAATAGTTTCTGCAAGCCTCTAACTACCGTTGCACCATGCTTAAACGAAGACCCTGCTGAAATCGTGAATGTTGTTCCCAAGCTTCCACTAGTCCATTTATAAGCTAATTTCAATCTAACTACATTTATGAACAGTAATCTCAGAGTCCAATGCCTTCGGATGGCAAGTATGTGATAGACGTGACATAAAAATAAAACTATAGAGACGTGCAGCGACACCTAATTGAGTGGAGTTACAAATCTTGCTATGCAAATATTCTTTCTTCAATCCAGAATTTGAAAAAAAAAAAGAATCATGAATGCAGGTTGTCAGGGCATCTCTGCCTAACATACACTTTTGCATAACAGACACAGTTTAATATTGAAAATTGTACTGCAATGTAGATATTAACATTCCCAAAGTTTGCTTATTTTTAAGTACACCACGTGCATCATCCCGCTTTGAAAGTGTGTTTTTCTCCCAAGCACGCAATTGCGATATTTAAACTTTTGCAAGCGGTGACTGTGGCGGGTTGCCCTGTTGAGTGCACTTCTTACCGAGCACTGGTGTACTGCAGAGAAGTAACACCCACGAAGCTCGCTTTCACGGGTATTACTTCTCCACAGTGCACCGGTGCTCAATAAGAAGCGCACTCAACGGGCCAAACCCGCTGCGATCAGCAATTAGAAAAATATGAATATCGCACTTCATCTTGAAGCGAATCTCGAATAGTATACTATTCGAAACTACTATACGAAATTTTGAATATTTGCACATTAGATATTTCTAAAATGATCTGTTACAAATGGAATCACTACAAGTGGACTACACAGTACAACACAGTTAACAAAATTTTCTTGCAAAACTAAAAGGCCACCACACAAAACTATGTGTGCCATGGAAACCTAATCTTCCCCTAACCAGACAGATTTCTGTCGAAAATGTTCTCTTTCATGCCATAGAAAGTACTTGTGCGCAATACCATACTGGGACAACAAACCCTGGTGCTCGGCAATAACCTGCACGATTGCGCTGGTTCACAGAGCACCGTTTTCTTAAGTTACGAAGCTTATGCACGTAAGTTGAGATACGACTGCAAGTCACTGGCACACCCGTGCTTCGTATTCTGCGTACCAGTCCACTCCTTTACTGGTTGAAACGCTTCATACAAACATAAATGCGCCAATCACTTCCAGTCGTATCTCGTGGAAGGTGCACGCAAGCTTCGCGACAAAAGAGAGCGGTGCAGCGTGAACCAGTCTTTACGATGCAGAAAAAGCATTGACGCTGCATCCGCAAGAAATGTTTCACGCAGCCCATGCCATCTCTCACGGGCTGCTTTGGCACGACTGGCCAAGCAGTTGTCGGCATGGTTGCCAGCGACCAATTAACGAGCTCCATCTCCACATCCCGGCAGACAATAATCGGCCTGCATTTCTCGACCGATGGCGGAGGAGGCTGACACAAAGTCCCTCGATAAAATCCACGCTTGGCGTTTCTTACAAGCACTACCAACCATTGTTCAAAAACGCAGCAGACACGTTCCACGAGCAAGTGCAAGTGCCACGAGCAAGGGTTGAGCGAGGCAGGAGTCTCGTGCATTGGTGCACTGGACGCTACTTTTGAAACGCACCCGTCGAGAAGTTTTAGGCTGACACCCACCTTGATGGAGGCATCCTCGGAGGCAGACACCACGACGCTGTACACCGGGTGGAAGAGCACCCGGGTGATGGGGGCCCGGTGCCCTAGCAGGGCCGACCGCTCGGGGGGCCGGGGGATCCACTCCATCGGGGAGCGCTTCTCCCGACTTGGGGTGCCCGAAATGTACTCCTTCTCCGCCTCGGCCAGCCGGCCCTCCAAGTCCATCACCTAGGCAGACGCGCCCACACGCCCACGTCAAGACTGCGTATGGATGTTTAATACCCTGGGACACAGCATAATGTTGTGCTAGGCGACGCTGGAAGAAAAACTCAATCCCAAACTGCCTTGCACACCGACACTGCTCTCGTTTGCTTGCTGCTCAGTCAACTATGTTAGGCTTAGGCTACGTCTGCTCCATGCCCGTGGTCTGCTTCGTTTGCCCGATGTCGCGCCTGGCTTTCAATACGATCGGCGCGCCCGAAGAAGTTTCTATGCATACTCACAGTCACGGCACGAAGGAAGGCAACGAACGCAGCATTCTCAGCGTTCGTGCTTGCGGCACCCGATATGTTCACTTTTCAAAGACACGCTACGATGACTCGCTCTAGACGACACTACCAGCACGCTGTTTAAAGCGTGCTGGTAACGTCAGGAGTACTTGGCGTCCCGGTCACATGGGGGGGTGCCACTGATAGACGTGCTGCGCTGCGAAGTTCTACAGAACAAACGCGTGATTAAAAAATTGAAAATGAAAACGATGAGTTTACATTGAGATGAGGAGAAACACAACGAACACAAATGGGCGCAGCACGTCTAGTGAAGTGTGAAGTGAAGTGAAGTGAAGTGAAGTGAAGTGAAGTGAAGGGGGGGGGTGCCACCTCTGGCGGCATCCCCCCCCCTTTACTTTACTAGTTGAGATCTTGGAGAGTGAATTGGGGGATGGGAGGCACCTCCGGCAGCATCTTCCCCCCTTTACTAGTTGCAATCTCAAGGAGTGAAGGGGGGGGTGGGGGGGGGGGGGGGGAGGCTAAGAAATACCTAGGCCACGGCTCAAGCAGGTCGGCGCTCAGGCGGGCTCCAGACGGCCAGTCACACCGCCCATTGGAATATCATTATTTCCGAAAGTACCAACCCAAGTTTTCACCGTGCAGTTTAATTTAATTTAGAATAAAACATATTAGTAATATTTATTAACATAGGAACCCTTCTCAAGAGAAACTCTCGAGACAGTAAACATACTCTTTCTGACAAAAAGGAACGAATCAAGAAACATACAAAACGAAATGCTCGCGTGGTACACATTGTAGGTTTGAAAACAACTCCGCTGAAGTTCAGTATTACGCAGTGTCACTGCGTTGAAACAAAAAAAAAAGCTACTTGCACAGATGTCATAAACGGTTCATGGTAACGAAATATACAGCGGCACGGGCCAGAGTTTTTAGTTTTTCTGTCTTGCCACAGCCTCACCTTCTTCTGCAGCCTGATGACAGAAGTCCACTTCTTCTCGAGCAGGCCTGCATACTTCTTGTCAATATCCCCCGGCTGATTGCAGCAGAGAAAAAACAAAATGGACAGACGCCGCATTACGTATGTGGACAGGGCAGGGCAGGTAGCCGAGCCTCTGATGAACCGCTTCACCACAAATACACTCACAAGAAAGAGACTGCCTCAGTAAGCAAGATAATGCGGGAAAAGTCAACGAAGACAAGCCAACTCAAGTTGGATCCAATGTATGCTAGTGCACATACAACAATGAAATGCATCCAATATTTTTTTTTGTGCTATTATTGAAGTCAGGACAATTACCACCTCTATTCAAGGCTATAGCAGCAGTGACAGATAAAATAATCTAGCTCCATCGAGCAGAATAACTAGCAAGCTTTAGTACCATTGAAACAAAAGCACACAAGCTGAAATATACTACACACAAAAAAAATTATAATACATTTTTTATGCCTGTGTGAACCAGGGTGGCAGAAGCGAACGAAAACAAAACCGAAAAACGAAAATGGAAAATACTTTTGGGTGGAACGAAAGCACAATTGAAATGTTATTTAATATATCGGTCCAGAGTAAAAATGAAAATTTTGTTTTACTAGTTTTCAGTTAAGGGGAAAGTTCAAATAATTCCGTATCTTCTGGTTCTTGAGAGGAACCAGAAGATTCCCTCGAGTGTTTCTTAAGAAAAAAAGAAGCCGAGGCGGCAAGAACCCTCACTTGACAAGTGTGCTAGGCCCACTGGAGATGGCATGCTTGCTCGAAATGCTGGATATGGAGCCACGCGCTCCAATAACCATAAATGTTTTGACATTTTAGGAAGAATAAAGGTAATGGCAATCGGAACTGTGCACTTTAGAGCAAGAAGCCCTTGGCGTACCGTTCACAGGTCAGCATGGACCGGGCATTCTCCGGGCTCAAGTTTATTTTATCGGAACAGAGGTCTCGCATTTCACCGAGTACACCCAATGATGTGCTGCTTCTGAGATCGTGCTCAGTGGCTTGAGCCATTCTTCCTCACGGTGTGCATTACCCAGATGCTTCCATCTTCTATTGTTGCAATAAGAGTACACTTGGTAGAGATTTTCAATTACCTACCTTTCGATAAAAATAAATGTTTCATTTTCATCTTTAATTTTGGTTCTGAATTTACTTTGCACACAAGCACGAACCATTATGGACCATCATTCTTTTTGTTCCAGAGCAAAACCAGAACGGAACTTTTTCTTTTTATAGAACGAAACTAAAACCAGAACGAAAAATATTTTGTTTTGACAATCTGGTGTAAACACCCACATAAACTACTCTACGGAAGTGAGCATAACATCTTCATCCTTCGTGAACAAACAGCTTAATCATTTTAGCTTGGAAGTAAACCAGACAATGAAAAAGATATGTATTTTCAGAATATCAGCATACTATACCCACATTGTCACTATTGCCAGAGTACACACATTATATGCTGTGGAACCAACACTGCAATAGTTCCCCCCCCCCCCCCCCCCCCCCCAAAAAAACACTCACTGACTGACACAAACATGACAAACGAAATGACCTCCACAAATATAAGCACCATAGATGAATCTTTACCAAGCAGTTTGGATCTGCAAGCCGTAAATAAATGAAAAGACACCTCGCTGTTCCCAATGAGTATCAGGTGTGCCATACTCTACTACTTCTACAATCAAGAGCTGCAGAAACAACAAGTATGGCGCATAAGGAAACTCCTCAAGGTGTGCTCTCAAGGTGTACTCACCATGTCTGTCTCTTTCTTAAAAGACTCGAGAGCCTCCATGAAGCCATTGGATGCCAAGTAGTCGGCAATGGCCTTGTTGCTGCGAGTGAAACAAACCACCAATGTCAGCTTGCCTGCTGCGCCACTTAATCACCTTCAACCTCTTGCACCCTTTGAGACACGCTCGGAAGTGTTCCTTGTAAGTAAATTCTACTGAAGACTTACGAGGCATTGTTGTCACAGGCACAAACACACAAATCAACCCTCCAATCCCTTATAAACTGTACGCACCATAGCTTTCGTAAGCGGTGCATGTGCATGGTGTTGACATTAAATCGGTGCACCCTGTTTAATGTGATGTAAACAATTTCATTTTGGCGAGCACCCAACTTTTTTGCAAGATTAATGGTTTAAAACATTTAGCAAAAAACACTACTACATGTACACATCACCTCACAGTACCAAATACACAGCATACTACCCCCAATCACAAAATTTTGTGCCTAAGAAATTTTCGCGAAATTCACACTTCACAAAACTTGCCAAATTTAGAACCAGCGAAAACAGTCGTTCTCGTCCGGTTCTGAACCATAGACCAGAGTTTTATTCTTTAAGGTGCATTACAAGCTCACTGCATGCTCAAGACAGACACAAAAGCTTCTAGATTTAGAAATAAAAACTCGTTCAGACAAATTCTCTACACTGCTTAATGAAAGAGCACCAAAGAAAGCTTGAAATTAAACTGCACGAAATATGAGACTATTTTCTATGAAAAGGGCAACAAAAATAATCCCTTCTCTCTCGTCAAGAAAATTCAAACTGCTCTTAAGTTCAATATACTTCCAAGGATTCCTCTTCATTCCTAATACAATCTCCTATGCAAATGAATAACACTCTCAATCCTCTCCATCTTAAGCGAATGAAGTCGTACGCTAAGGTTGCCATTTGCAAGCATGTCTTAATGAACTGCTCATTAACATCTAAAAGAAAACACTCTCCAAATAATGCACAATTAGCAAGAGTGATTCTTCAAAATTTCTGACGAGTTGTTCGGCGATGAATATTTGCACAAACTGCATGTCTGTTCAGCTCTTCTATGGTGGTTACAGTGACTCTCCATCTCATTAACATTATAGATATAAATATATATATATATTTACACACAAATGAATACATGGTGTATATATCATATGTGAACCTAAGAAGGTGAAGTCACTGAGCCAAATGTCAGAATGCAATTCGCTCGCATGTTGCAATTTCAAACTTGTTCATTGTAAGCAATACTGAAGGGGTGAACATGAAGTGAATATAATAACAACATGTACGTGGAGAAATTCATGTGAAGATGGTCACAATGTAATCACAACTATAAAAGTGAAAAAGAAAAAAAAATTATTAAAAACTTTGTATGGTCAGTAAGTCACAATGTGGCCCTGTAACAGTCCCGCATTACTGCAAACAGCCAGCTGGTTTGTTTGCGGAATACAGTGGCACAAAAAACAACAAACATCCCTCTTAGTCAAACCTAAAAATGAAAAAAGCTGCCATATACCAAAATGAAATGCAAAGAAAAAAAAAATCAAGGTACTGTAAAATTTTGCACTATGTTCAAAGGCTTTGCACAACGACAACCTCGCTTCCTACAAAAGAGAGTACTACGTCGGACACGGAACCTGGCCCCACCACCGCCTTTCAGCCCACGTGGTCAGAACAAGCGTGAGACATAAAACTAAACAAGGACACCGCTACAAAATAGAATCTTGGTCAGAAACAAAGTGCAGTTTCACCCAGAAACTCGGCTAGCAAGCTGGCTGACTGACTGGCTGGCCGGCCAGCCAATGAAAACAACAATGCCAACAGCTCCCGCCATCCCCTAATTTTGTCTTTACTTCTGTCCCTCTCAGGACAGATAAGGCTGCTGGAAGAACGGGGCTTTTTAAAAAAGCATTGTCTCGGCCAACCTTTCCCACGCTTGCAGAGGACAAAAGAAGCGGGCGACGAGATTACACCTCCCAAACTTCGATGATGATGATGGGGGGAGCACACCACCCAAACACAATGGAGGCCAAAATTGAGCCTCATTAAGAAACACTGGGAGAGTAGAGAGAGGGGGGGGGGGGCTGTGTTTATCCTTTCATTTTGGGTCACTCTATGGAAGCCTGGCAAGTAGGCCCCTCGATTTAACGTCGACAAGCACACCAGAAAGTGATTTACGGCCAGTGAGATATATCTTGCTTACTTGGAGCTTTTTTTTTTTTTAGAGAGAGTAAATAAGAACAAGGAGTTCATGCCTATTTGAACTGATCAAAGGCCTAGTGTTTCTACAAAAGAGAGGAATATTAGATAACAAATGTGTGCTTACATGCAGAGGAAGTGCAGTGACCTTAAATGTGGTGAAGTAAAAAAGTAAATAAAATACACTGTGCATGCAACAAATAAGTTGCTTTTGATGAAACTTGTTTAGTTACCTTTTAGTGTATCCACAACCTTTTTCAAATTGTTGCGCTACACATACAGTACAGTACACTTGTTTTGTTTAGTCGAGACCCGACTAAAGCTCGAGCAAGATTTGGATGTCTATAAACCGAAGCTGCAGGACCCTGATACGTTCTTGAAAGACGTCAGAAAACTCCTCGAAACGCGACAGAAAGCAACGAGGCTCGCCCCACATCATCACAAAGCCTGCCCGCAGCAACGATGTCCCAAGCACACGAGGAAAATTTATAGAAATCCACTTTGCAAACGTGAACCCATCCGCTGGCTCTGCTCCAAAGCACACACACGCACAGATACACTGGCATTTCCGCTCACGACCCGACAACCACCCTCCTCCCGATGCTTTTACTTTTTTGAAGACTTTTGAAGTGTCGCGTCAGGGGGACAATCTTCGGAACGCGCTTCGCTTCATTGATCTGTTCCTAGATCCGCTGCCCGATCCGCCTCCGTGCGTGCACCACACCATCGCCCCCGGCGACCGATCGCCACGCGAAGGTGATAATCACCCAAAAAAGAGAAGTGACTTACAGTTCCTCCCTCTGCCTCTGTGACAACACCATTCTCATAGTCCGGGGGCTTTCAGGGGAGGGGAGGGGGGCTGGAGCGGCGTCGCTTCACAGATCGTAGGAGCTGGGCGGTTCAAGGCTGTGGCCTTTACCTTGGCACGGAGGTAAAGGAAAAAAAAAGAATAATAAAGACATCATTGTGGAATTAGAGCAACCCGGGAGACATTGGACTTACCAACATTGTGCACCGCGAGAAAAAAAGATCAAAACAAAAAACATCTTCCACACTGATCAAACGGTCGCGCTCGCTCGCAGTATCGGGTCAGCGCTGCACTCTCTTGACCGTAATTAGGCGTAAAGGCGATTTGACATTGGTGCGAATTCGAGGCACCGCTTTGTCGTCCGTCGTCTCAGTTACGCAAGTGTGGGGCTGTACTCGCGCGACTCCCGTACACTGTCCCCAAACAGCTGCTCTCCGCACAGACGCCAGCGATGGCAGGAGGGGCGAACTCGCCGTATTCCCTCGAGAAAGATGTTTACTCCGACAGCGCGAAAAGGGCCCGCTGTCATGGGGGGAGGGCCGCTTTCCGGCGGTTCGTCGTCGGTCAGGACGACGAAAGGACGACGCCACGAGTGAAACCGAGGACATCACGACCGTTCCTCGAGCGCGCACGAACAAGAAAATCGGATTCCAGTTTGCGTAGGCAGCTACTGGACAGCCCCCCTCAGCAACGGCCTTTAAACTAGCATCGTCGTTCAGTTGGCGCCTCGCGACGCCGAATAGAAACCTGACGCGCGTTTGAGATGACAAGTGACAAACCCGAACCTGGCTAATGGAAAATACCTCCGAATTAAATAAGGTGGAAAAGATGTTCTTTGAATCGAGTCCCATGTCCGAAAAATTAGGCTTAGGACGGACCCGTTCCCATCGAGGAGACCGCACAAACACGAGCCGCGCTCGGAATCGCGCCAATGCCAGTTTTCGGGCTGCGGTCGAGTCGAACCGCGTTGAATTCCGAAATCGACTTACCTGGTGCTGTTCGCTAGTTCATTCATTCCCTAAAAGCAGATTTAAAGAGACAAGCATTCGGTTGTCACCACACTACCCACAATCCCGTGCGCCGGCCCCAGTAGCACAGCGCACTCTCGGAAAACATCGTTTGACAAGAGAAAGAACGAGACTGACGAGATGACAAAAAATCAACGTTGCAAAAAATCAATCGTGAGGGTGAGGGCGTAGAGTGTGCGACCGGCGCGACGGCGGGACGAGGATTTGTTTGTTTACGGTTCAAAGGGCAAATCTATAGCCAACGTTTATACTTTCATCTTGTATATTATATAATCACCAGCACTAGACGCGGTACCGCGGGCCTCCATGGTACGGGCTGTTGCCTTTCTGCGATGCCGCGGCTCTCCTGAGCAAATGAAGATTATTATTATAATTATTAAATGTGTACAGCATTTATTAAACGAAGTGCGTGTCTTTTGTGTCGCCAACTGGCCTCGGCGCTTTCGCCTTTGGTTATCCAGTGCGGCTGCGTTTTGATACCGAAACTAACTGGCTCGTCTCAAAATCGAAATCAGAACTAATAGCGTTGACCTGGTTGCGCGCGTTGCGCGTCGGCTGCGTCGGCCCTTTGAAGAGACTGCATGAATTGATTTCGTAGCGTACAGTGCCAAGATAAACTGCAGATGCACCCGTAGGTGGTGTGTAAGGTATACCAGAATTTAAATAATAATGTAACCTGAGTAAAAATTATGAAAATGAAAACACATTTCTTCTATCTACGGCGTCCGCTTGCAGAAGACATATGTCTGAACGGCGCAAGTAGTTTGTAAAAAAAAAAAAAAAAAAATAAAAAACTTGCTTAAAAAAAGAAATATATATAGTTCATAATTGATTAGTATTCAGGACTGCACTTGAATTGTCTACCAGATTTCGATCGTAAAACTCAAGATTAGAGATTCTTTTCATTTTCTTCGGAAATGAACAAAATCCTAGAGCTAGAAAAACTGCTGCTTCATGGGTCATTTATAGATAACATTATTTTTTGTTTTGCTTTTTTCCCGCCCCTCAACTATAAAACATTTATTAATAGTGCTGCGACCGTCAATTTTCCCTCATGTACTTGTGAAAGGGTATGTTCTCACCTCATAAATTACTGGCAAAATCCTCAACCAAAATTAACCTTTCGTAATATAAAAAAAACTGCTGCACTAGGTTTATAAAAATATTACTCGAGCCATCCAGGACTAAACAGAATTTACATATAACAGCAAGCAATAGGCCACTTTCAAAAATCCCTCCATGCAACACTTCACACGTTGCACGTTGGGAACCAGCCACAGAGTAGAGTGGCATGGTTTCGGTTTCTATCAAACAGCTACTGTTTGTACTCCTGCAGCCAAGCACGTGAACTTCCAAGCCTGCATAACTTTTCTTTGCGCACATGCGAACGTGCTTGCACAACAGGGGCACCAGCAGGGACGTTGCAATCCACCGTTCTATGTTTGCTTACCTTTGCCCAATGTTACTAGAACCACTCAGTTGGGAAACTGCCATAGAGCCTGCTTTAAAAAAGTGGCTCCGTTCCGTACTCAACAACTGAGCTAATGGCAATTGCAACGCCGCCATTTCACCTGCAGCGTCCACTCTGGGAACTGCACGGCTGGACGTCGAGTCGGGCAAGGGCCAGTGGCGCCATCTCGCAGGGCCATCTCACAGTAGCTATGTAAAGCAACTTTCATGCTTCAACTCGTCGCTAAAGGGTGGCACTGTCATGGCATTTAGCTCAGTCTCGGTGGACACTAGCAGTTCAGGTTTCAAGGGCGAGTTTCCCAGCTGAGGGTCTTAGAAACGTTGCCTTCGCCAAAAATCTGGCACATCAGAAAGCACACAAACAGTGCCAAGTGTTTTTTTCGGTATCTCTCGGCAATGCCTACAGTACTGTACACTTGTAGGAAGTTGCAGCAATAAAAACGCAAGCAGCGTGTTCCGTCTTGACACGACGATCATGACAAAATCTGAAACTGCAAAAAAAACTAAATGGCCAACTGGTACCCAGAATTCATTTTGTGCCACCGTGCCACCAGGGGTGCTTCAATTCGGGAAAAGGTCTATGGGACTTACAAAAAAAATGCAAATATAAAACAATCTTAGAGATTTTGTCCTCTGTGAAGGCGACACTTCCGCAGTTCGCAATGTTCCTTTGTGGCCTGTATGGCCTTTGGCCAAGGACGTTCTTTTGGCAGATGTCGATATCCCATCAAACAGACCAGCCAATAAAGAAGGATGGATGAATGGATGAATCCGGCTGAGCCCTTTGGATCGGGCGGTAGCTATATCCTAAGGGCTCAGCCGGATTCAATCACTTTTCACGATTGAAGTGCCACCTATAGTTCTAAAGACTCATGATACACTTGTGAAGCTCTTCAACCAGTCCACTAGCACTGTCTCCTAAGCTTTCCATTTTGGACGTAAATAAACAAGGGAAGCCAGACAACAGACCACTAAAGGAAGGTGAGTTTATTCTTAAAATACTGGAGTAGCTGGTGGAGGCTTTCACGTTCCCCCTCCCTCGTCTGAAGCTGGAGGTAGACAGAGTTCGCTGTCCTTCGCACGCGGACGTCACAGCTCAGGAAGAGAGTGTCCTTGGAGGACTGACTGTCCTTGACTGGACCCCCGTCTTCTTTGGCTTCGACCTCCATCACCTCCTCTGTGTCATATGCTGCTTGTTCTCTGGCGCTCGCACGGTCTTCGCCGCCTGGCTGAGGCACTTCAGGGTCAATTTCAGTGCGAGCTTTCTTGCATGACGCTCCTATCGTCTGCGCCTCTTCTGACAGTCGCCTCTTCGTGGCTTCTTCCGTGCAACTGTCCTCCGGCTGTTGCTGCAGCTCTGGATCTGGCTTAGAATCTGGCTCCGGTTGTGACTGTGGCTCTGACGCTGTCTCCGGCTGTGTCTGTTGCTGCTGTGCCTTCAGCAGGCGCTGCATCTCCCTGCGTCTACGCCGCTGGTGCGACCAGGTGTTGCTCTCTGCCTTGACCCACAGGTGACACATGTTTTTGCCGTCTGCTATCACCTCAAAGGGCACCTGTGGCAAAAACAAAGGATAGTTTCCCCATCTGATACCCTTCACACTAAAAAAACACCTGCGAATAACGAGACTTGCGAGTAATACAGGACAAAAAAGGAACCTCTTAACCGCCCATTAACAGCGCTTAACAAAGTCACGACTTTAAGCATGGTCTGGGTCATTAAGTCGTTCCATTTTTGTTCCTTCCAAACTCAATGTAGTGAACGTCATTTATAAGATGTTGAACAAATTCAATAGCTGGAAAACACTGTCAACCCAGAGGCAGTCAATTAATTAAATTGCATAAACTGCTTTCCTGGCCTTGTACATTGCAATTTTCCATAAATAAGAGAGTACTTGGTCAATCTACCTTTTATTTCCTTATTTTCTGCATGTGTCGTTATGTGAATCAAGAGCAGAAAACGAAATCAAAACCATTTTTCTGTGGCCAAGGGTTCTGCTAAGCTCAGAGAGAAAGAAAAAAAATAAATGGTTGTTTTGGAAAGATTGGCAGCCTCAAAACTGGTGCTGCCTACTCCATTCAGCTGAGCTCATGTCTCAGAAAGTTAAATAACTATGTTTTGTGTCATTGAGGTAACGTGACTTCGACTCTACTGGACGGAGGAAACAGCAACAGCTTCCCTCCCCTTATCTCTCCCTAGCACTGTTTCATATTGAAACATGCGCGAAAAAGAACCACATGCCTTCAGTTGTTGAACTAAACTATTTTTGCTTTTGTTTGACCACAAGCTAAGTGCATATGGGCTAACAACAACATAAATGTTGGGCACCCAAAGGCATAAATGAAAGCTAGACTAAACCAGCTTAGTCAAAACAAAACATGCAAATTAAGCAAGGAAACAAGCTGTATCGTCTGTTGTAACCAACATTGTTCGCTAGCATTCCACACGCTTCCAACGAGGATGGGAGCGGATATGACTGCCTTAGCGGTTTTCTCACAGACCTTCAGCAGTTATGTGCGCAGCTTTCCCCGTGGCCTCCCGCACCTCCAAATTTAAATGCAGCTATTACTGTTACAGTTGTTTTTAAAGAAATGATCATTAAGTTAACATGAAACTGACAGCTATGTTTTCCTTTCAGCTCCTGCTCCCCAGTCTACAGTGAAGGTGCCCATAGCCAGGGGAAGGTCTTTGCCAATCTGTGGGCCCAACCATCCTTTCTCACCTGCACTTCCTGCAGCAGCTCCTTGATCCTGACAAAAAACCCCGGCACGCAGTACTTGACCCCCTTCAGCTTCCGGGGCAGCGTGAACTCCAGAGGGGGCTTGCTCTTCAGACGTCTCGTGCCAGGCGCCTGCAAACGCATCCCCGTCAGACCCTTTTTGCCTCACCTTCATATACCGCAACCTGGTCACAGGCTGTGCTATACGCTGTTCGAAACTGAAACAGTTTTTGCTGCACATCAAAATGCCTCGCCCTCTCTCAAGACGAACCGGTTGCGGGTAACTCTATAAATAGGGTGGATAAAAGTATGCCGAATCCATTTTTGGAAATTCGGTTTTAACCGAAAAAGGTCAGTTTTTTAGCACCGCGTCAAGGTGGGTGGCGGAAAGAGGGGAGAAAGAAAGAGGATTTTGCAAGGTTCGACATTGTGTGACGTCTTCATGATTGCCCTCTTTTAAGGTTCAACATGCAACAAAAGAGGTCTTGGATTGGTTTTCAGGGGACACATGTGTCCTTTCTGTGATCGGGCTGAGTGTGTCAAGTTCCTGGTCCTAAAAAAAAAAAGTTCAGATGTGGGCTAATATAAGGTTTTTCGCTTCATGCACTCTCAAAGGACATCAAGGAAAGCTGTCAATACCTTTCTTAACACCCTCTCTCAAACTTCCCTGTGGTTGAAAACATAAATACAATGGATTTTTTTTTTTTTTTTTTTTTTTCGTTCCGCTGGTTTTTTTTGGTCATCACCTTGGACAGTCACGTCGTCAGAATGGGAAGGAAAAAGCGCGCTGAAGATTATGCTTCGCGAATTCCGCGATTCTGAGGTGTGTCCTGACGGAAGTTGCAGCAAAGACCACGTATGTATATGTGCGTTATTCTTTGAGTGGTCACAAGTATCACAGCTACAAGGATCATCTGATCCGGTGTCCGATGGTGTATCTTTCATATTCACCGAAAAAAACCGGTAAACTTCGATGGGGGAGTACCCAGGGAAAAAGCCGCTTTTATGCAGCTTGACGAGCCCTTGATACTCCTAAGAGGCAGGCAAACGATGACATGACGGCACGACACTAAAATTACATTACTAAAAATATTTAAAAAATTATTATTTTGTTTTAATTAAATAAATTAAATAAAAAGTTAAATAGTTTAAATAAAAAATTAAAAAAAATATATAAAAAATTATATAGATGATGTACGAAATTATACAATGTTAAAATATGGCAGTTTTGTTTAGTGAGATGACATCAATTTCTATGGCAGCAAGATAATTTAGCAGCTCAGGCAGTGTATATTTAACTCTTTGACGTCCCAAGTTAGCGTGTGGTTGGGGAATATGCCGCGGATGTAGTTTTTGACGAGTTTAATGTACTCAAGTGTACAAACGGAGGTCAGCGAGGTTTAGGAAAGTCCAGAATTTAACTTTTATGACAGACTGATATGTTAATATTATTCGTGGGGAATAAATTTTTTGACACATCGGCTATTAATTACTGTAAACGACTTAATTTTCGCAAGGACCTAATTTTCGCGAATCGCCTACAATTTGCGAAAAATGGGTCCCGCGAACAATTACGGTAAAATGTAAACACATTAGAATTTATATTGAGATCCCACCGCGTCGCGAAAATTAGAACCCGCGAATTATTCAAAAACTTCAGCTTTGACCTAAAAGTTGTTTACAGTCGTAAAAGTCGTAAGTCGTTTTCAGTATTTATTTATAAGATAGAGGTAATGATGGGGAAGTTGAAGAAACATTATCTACTGCTCAAAAAACTTTTTTTTTTTTTGTAACACTAAGTTTATTTAAATTTGCTACACCAGTTGACCTCACACTAGATGTGCATAATATAACCTGGGATAGAAAAGTAATTGATAAATTTTGAGTTTTATACTTATCGGTAAAATGTTTCTATATTCATTCATTACGCCTACCAGGGTTGGGCAGTATCGCGATACAAATGTATCGCGATAGTATTTCAGGAATACATTTCGTATCTGTATTTCAGTATCGCGATACATTTTTTTCAGCAGTATCTGTATCGAAATACATTTTGAATGTTTCTTTGTATCGCGATACAATCAGGGTGAAATGTATTTCGTTACGTTTCTTGAGAAATACTCCCCCCCCCCCGAAAAAAAAATCCGAACACTTTTTTTTTTTACTTCTGAGGGCACCAGGGTCAAGGAGATGCTGGGGTATCGGTACCATGCTGGCGAAGGTTCCTTCCGATTCTCCAAACTATTTTGCTATGCCTGCTCTTTTCTCTTCTGAGAACTGTTGTTCGGTCGGGGACTCGAACCAGGTGGCGTGCCAGGAGTGGAGTCAAAGCATCTTGCGCCGCAGGTCCTTAGGTAGGGTTCCTTGAGTCATTGTTTACCGGCATCCAAAGCCCGCTGCTAACCGTCTCTCTTGCCTTAGCGTACACAGTACACCCATTCGGCAAAGCTAAGTCACAGTCCGTTGCAGCACGAGCCTGGCGGTGGTTGACTTAAAATAGTAGGATAACTCGCGCAGTGAAGTTCAACAGATATTCGAATGCGTCTGTGGCTGCGCCCATAATATTGCACGGCTCAAGGGTACGTTATCAGCCGACGTGAAAGTGACCCGCTGCTCTGGTGATCCGAAACCTAGAAAAGAGGTCAGACGTGGCTTCGCTGTGCCGACCCAGACTTCGTACACCTGCGACTCGTCTCGAGCGCGCTGTTTCTCGGAGAGCTCACCTCTGCCGGCAATATCAGATCGCAATCCACGAGGTCTCTATTTGGAATATGCAAGGCGAAACTTGATGACTGCAATCCATGCGTCGGTGGCGGAGGGTCAGAAGGAAGGATCTTCACAACAAGGATGCCACCGTATTGTTTTTTCAACCGTAACAGAAGATAAGACATGTGTTCCAGGATGCTTCAGGTGGTCCACCATTCTCGAAAATCCTGCACGATCTTCAACGAGGTAACCGACAACGAAAGTATGTATTGTCCTTTCGTACAGCAGCGTGTTAAAGTTCCATGTTCAAGGCCACACCTACAGAAAAAGAATACTAGTTTATTCCACCGTGACGTCATGTGATAAATGTTGATAGGGGTGTCCTTATTTGACAGGGGCGTGATGATGGGATTTCAGATGACAGAGAATTTATTTAGAGGTCGAAGTATTTTCGCATCCCTCGTCAGACAGACAGGATGTCAGGGAAGGGACCACGGTCAGTCCTTGATGGAACGTTTTTCTAAGCCCACTGAAGACACCTCGTCGTCCGAAATCACTACCTTCAAGGCAAAGTGCCAAGCCTACGGAAAAGTAATTTCAGGATCAAAAACTTCCACTTCCAACTTCAAGCTTCATCTAATTTGGTCTCAAATAAATTTGAAAAATGTATTGCAGTATCAGTATTTCTGTATTTGTATTTTTGGCCTCCCTAAAATGTATTCCTGTATTTGTATTTCCAAATACTTTTTGCCACTATTTAGAATGTATTTCCGATACGTATCGCGATACACTTTTACAGATATATTTCAGTATCAGTATTTTAGCTTCTATTTTAAAGTATCCCAGTATTTGTATTTCCAAATACATTTTTGAGTATTTCTGCCCAACCCTGACGCCTACTATATTTCTGAAAGCTTACTACGAATGTGCGCAATATGCTAATAGACATGTTATAATAAAAAACTACACAGAGAGTTTTTACATGGTCAACAAAGAAAATACTAATATCAGGACAATATTTTGAGGGGATGGATAGCCGAGTTTAGTTAAGCCGAGTTTTTGATGGTAACTGAAATATTACAGCCTTGCTTTTGCTAGCATTTATATGTAGGAAGTTTTTTTTTTTTAAACAAATTTTTAAGTTTGATAGGACACTATTTGTTTTGCTAATAAGCTGCACACTACTCGTATCCAAATAGTTATAGTAATTATGGGAAATTATGTCAAAATAACGGCAGAGAGTTATGGGTATATCCATGCTTTGTACGTGAAAACTAAGTCGAGGGTTATAAATGAAAAGTGCCGAAAGAAACCAAGAACCAAAGAAGTGACACCACACCGTGCTTCCACTGCCCGTTTTCTGTGGTACCTTTCGTTTACAAGTCATGTGTAAAATTAAAATAAACATACCAATTATGGTGTTAATGCAATTAATGCATAGCTCAGTTGGTAGAGTGCTCCCCTAGAAATGAAGAGGTCCCTGGTTCAATACCAGGACCAGGCAGATTTTTTCAGTATCGCACCAGTTATCTAGCTGTGTTTGGAGATTTGTGTTTGTTCTTTGTCCCCACTTTTTATTTCCCTCTCCAAGGATTGTTATACCAATTACCTATTTTATTGCAATTCGAGGAATAGGCTAGAACAAGGCATACAAAGCTCTTATGGTAACTTGCAGTCGTATCTCGACACAACGTCGCCGATTGTTACCCTGTGAACCCTCTCCGCTACGAGTTTATGCAATCCTGGAGTTGGTCGCAGAGGATCCGACGAAAAAGACTAGCAAATGCAGGCGTAGCCAGCATTGCGGTGACCTAGTTTCCGCCGCGGCAACCCAAGTTTCTGTCGACTGGCAGAATGCGGCCCGAGCTGGAGCAGAACGGATGTCTGCCGCACCCGCCTCTGCTGCCGTGCCACCGCCAGGAATCCACATAATCACGCAGTTGAGTTGTCACCGGAGGGAAGTCGAACGGTCAAAACGAAGTTTCGGTGAGCGCAAGAGTTGAAGACGAGTTCCAGGCACTGCGGTGCAAGGCAGAGCAACGCGTCCGAGCGTGCGCCCGCAGCCATGAGGACGACGACGCACTGACGACCAGACTAGAGAAACGGCTCACGCTTGCGAGGTCGGCATCCGAGAAGGTCCAGGCCACGCCCCAGCGCATCGTCTTCCCCTGGCAGAATTCCGTGGACGTGCAGTTGACCCCCTGGAAGAGGAAACAATGGCGTGACCCCCTGTGCCACAATGCACAACTGCGCGTCTGGTCATGCGACATCAATTTCCCTGCCTCATTTTGACGGGAAATTGAAGTGGTGTATGTATAGGTCACGTGACGTCAGATCCCGTGATATCAATTTTCCCAGTAAATGTAGCGGGGAAACTGAATTAGTGTTCAGTTGCCCCGCTTTCACTTTCCCCAATGAATGTGGTAAGTGAAAGGCACAACTTCACCTGCTCGTTCAGCTCGGCCATGACCTGCTTGACACTGCTCTTTTTTCCCAGCATGACAGTGTAGAGGCTGCAACAGACAACCATAAAAGTCCAGTGTATCTATTAAAAAAGCAACATTAAATAAAAGATCCAGGAAGAAGCAACAGTCCAAATGGGCTCATACTTGTGTATGAGCTTGTTATTTAAGTATTTGTGTGAGTCAACACTGTCTCTAGCAAAGGAAAGGAATGAAATATTTGGTGAGCTTTCACTTTATAAAGCTTACACTCATGGCAAGCGTCAGGCAAAAAAGGTTCCGGATAAGGGGACGGGCACGGCCCAAGCGACGCTTTGATTTGTTATCACAGCTCTGCACAGATAGGAGCGAGAAGGTCTTTTAACTGACATTTGATCTGGCGAAAAGGCCGAGAACAATGTTGGAGGTTTTGGATACAGCCACCACAGCCTCCCTCAATCGCCACCTATGGTCCATATTTAGTTGTCTCCAAAGAGCCAATCTTTCCTCTCGGACGTCGGTGGTTTCGCCTTAATGGCGGCGTTGCTACATCTCAATTTTACACTGTTGCGTACGTTGTGCCACGGCCGCTCGAACCCTTCTACTCCCCCGGTGCATACTTGAAAGCATCTGAGAAGACCCTTTCCCTCTTGCGTAAGAGGAAAAGTGGGCGTAACCAGCAAACAGCATGGTGGGAACCGCGCCGTGCTCAGTTCAGTCCAAACATTTTGGTATGCATCAAAACTGTAAGTACTAACATATTTAAAAAAATGAAAAACGTTTACAACTTCCTGTAACGCCAATTTAGAGCGCAGCTCTTGAGGAGGAGGAAGGGAGGCTACTGAGGAGAGGGTATGCCCCTCCTCCTCATCTGTACCCTCTCCTCCTCCCCTCCTTTTTTCATGCGTGAAACGCGAAACGTCTCGTGACGTTTCGGTGGAAGTCACGGGGATGTTTGGACACGTGATTTCCATCAAAGCGTCACGGTGACGTTTCGGCACCGCGCCGAAACGTCGCGTGACGTTTTGGCGCGGTGCATTATGGGACGTTTCCCATAATACACCATGCGGTTACGCCGACACCGACGGCAACGCTGCACAAGCGGGAAACAGGCGCCTAAGAGCTGCGCTCTAATATGATTTGCAGTTTTCTGGACTTTAGAAACCAGACCCACCGGACTTTCTCGCGGAGTCCGAGGCTGTCCTTGAGCAGGACGTCCCGCACGAAGGCCACCTCTCCCCCGGCAGGCCACACCTTCTCCTCCTCGGCCCCGGACATGTCCGAGGACGGAGGGGTGCGGCCCTGCTCCTCGGCGCGGCCCTGGGCATCTGCCTCCTCCGGGCTCCCGAAGAAGGGCGGGTTGCAGACGACAAAGTCTACTGCCGTCGAGTCCCCCTCAACAGCCTCGTGAGCCTCCCGCAGTGACCCCACGGCTACCACTGCAATGGCCGAGCCAACGGCGGGAATCGGCGAAAGGGGCAGGGACTTCCGGCGTTCATTTTCAACCGGATTTGGCGCAAGGAATCGGTTTTATTTGATATTTCACCGAGATGAGATCGGCAATTATGGGATGCATACTCAACAATTTAAAGACAAAGAAAGAGGAAACTACAAGGAAGACCAAGAAACAATAGAAGGAGGAAAACCGAATGACCACAAGTTAATTTAAACAACAGCCATAAATTTTCAAACCACCAGAATTTTTTTCTTGTTTTTTTTTTTTTCATTCGTTTTTTGGTTTTTTAGCAAATTTTTGATCTTTCTTTTTCTCTGTCGGTTTATTTATAATCCGATTAAGTCTGCAGTGCTAACATTAGAGTGGACTGAGGCATTTTATTTTTTATTCCTTTACCAGTTCCAACTCAGTTATATTATACGAGGCTGCAGCAGTGGCCCGTGAAAATGTAGAAGACAACATATTGGCGAGGAGATCAAACTATAGGGGGCGCAGTTTCGTTATCATCATCATTGCCACAAACAATCGCTGTGTGGAAAACAACACCAACGCCAGCACTCGCCACGCTTGGTCCAGCGAGTGCAACCGATACGATGTGGCTGGCCCGGCACACCTGCACGTGACCACACATGGGCATGTTTTGCCTTCCAAAAGGCCTTCAATGACATTGAACACAAGAGGGGACTAGATTGTTTCTATCAAGATGCATATAGGAGAAAAGACTAGTGTTACATATCCTTCACGAGACTTGCATCGTCTTCTTCCATGGTAGCGAATGCACCACTGACTGCGGTCGGAGGGTTTGTGTGCCACACAGCGTTAGTTCCCAAGGCGGCCGCTAGGGAGCGCCACTTTTCGATCTACTCCCCATTAGAAGTGAGCAATGGCACACAGAGCAGGAGAAACTGCACAAACAAATCTAAGTGCAAGACGAGCTGGAGTAAACTGAACCTAATTAGAAAGAACCCCGAGCCTCAGGCAAAAGAAGGGCAGCACAAACGTGCAAACTTTGTGTTGGGAGTTTGCATTTGTTGTGCTGTCCCTCTTTTGCCCAAGCCTCGGGGTTCCTCGCAATTAAGAAACTGCATCTTCGGGCTCTCTTCGCTGCAAAGGTTTTTAAAAAATAAATTGCCCCGAGCAAAAAAAAATTAATCGCCGTAGTCTGTGACAGAAGGACAACACGGCGTCTCTTTCGAATGCCCGTCCTCCATCATGCACTTGTTGCCTTCCGCCATGCACTTGCTGCGCCTGCACACTCGAGGCTTACATAATGATGATGATCATCATCATTGTGTAATGATGACCACGTAATCATGTAATGATGATGATGATGATCAAGGAAGGAAGCTCGCGCCGGGGGTGGAAGCGTCCTGCTAGTCTCATCCCATCAAGGACTCCACAAAATCTATGGGTGACGCCACACACCCGGCCAAACATATTTCTAACGTGCCGAGAGAAGACACGGCGGGTAGTAGATCTCCGCCGTATGATTGTGTCCTAATGCGGAATCTCTTTTTTCGAAAAGAGATTCTAATTTTTAGCTTGCTCGTCTTTTAACTTGACTTTGCGTTTAATGAACGCCTTTCACTCATTTGTTACCTGTTCATGTTGCACAAACGAGTTTTCTTTCATTATAACTAACGGGGTGTACCCACTCTGATGCTTCGGTGCCACTGGTTGTCTTTGCAAATAAATAAATAAATGCAGCTTCAACGTGCACTTCTTGCCCTACCTTTGATGTGGTTCTCGAGGTTGTTGCGTTTCACGTTTTCCGTCGCATGGGCCAGGTTGACAGGGTCCGTCTCCGTGGCCGTGAAGGACCACCCGCACTGCTTGTGTCCCAACAGGGGCAGAATGCATGACGCTCCCGTGCCTGCACAGGGAGGAAAAACGCGGTCGGCGAGGTTCCTTTCTCGTAGCACGTCTGGCAGAATCGCAAGGAACACCTTCCTCAAAAAACTTCAATCAATAAAAAAAAAAAAAAAAAAAAAATTTAGACTAAGAGTTTTTTTTTTTTTTTTTTTTTTTATTAAGCTCCTTGCATCAAATCTACTTTCACAATCACCAATGAAACTGACAGAGTAGCTCCTGATTTATGCCTTTCACTCCGGGACCAGTCTTTCTCGATAGAATAAAAGTATGAAGACACATAGCCACTGCACGGCGAGTGGAAGTCCAATGCGTGCGAGTTGTACACAGAAGTAGTCGTACGGGTCTGACAGAGCTCTTCAAGCTGAGTGTTGTATACAAGGCTTTGGCACTTCAAGTGTCCCCCTGGTTAATTGTTACAATGAACCGATTGACCCTGCTGAGATCCCGAGATCAACGTACCGATACAGGGCATGGTTCATTTGACACAATCCTGACCGAAACAAGCTAAGCAACTAAGGTAAAACAGTGAGACAAGTCTGCTTCTCAGTAACCCAAAGGCCTGTGCGTAAGGTCATTTCACAGGGCTGCCAGCTATTCCCACTGATTACTTATGTTATTGCACGCACGAAAATGACCAATTTCCGAGGCAAAAAAAGGCCACTCACGCCGCGCAACGAAAATGCTCGATATAAATAAATAAAGTCAGTATACACAGAACGTGTGTCCGCTGCATCTTTCGGAACTAGTGGTGGACATTGCAGTTTTTCTTTATTTTTCTTTTGTTATAGCATGTTGTTTTACTCTAAACTCTGTCCTTTCTTGTGTGATGGTAGGCACGTCCTAGATTTGACTAGTTTTGTCTCATAAACTGTTTAAAAGCAAACACTGAATGCCGAATGCAAACCTCGGCATTGGGCGTTCACTTTCGAACAGTTACTAGAGACAACCGTGGTAGAGGCAAAGACAGCTAGCTCTGCATCTGCCCGCTAATTGGTGCAGTGGTAAAACGCCGATCTAACAATCCAGAGGCATCCATTTTACCAATGTCCATTTTAGCAAACGCCGGTTTAGAGACGCCCTTTATAGACCGACACGCGGGCTTGACGTCATGAAGCTGTGGCGGCGCTGTGATCGCGCCGGAGCCGGGAGGTGTGGGCAGAAGGGCACGCGTTTTGCACGGGTGTAATAGCATTTCAGCATGCTGCAAAGCTGTGTAGCCATTAATTGCACCGAAAGGTACAGGAAAAGTAGCGGAGTGAGTTTCCCCAAGTTCCCGGCTGACTCTCAAAGGCGCAGAAGGTGGATGATATCAGTGTTGCGGAATGGGCACCCCCATTCCATTCCAATTCCATTCCGGGAATTAGAGTTTTCGATAATTCAATTCCTTTCAACTCCTAGGAAAGGGGACACCGGGCCCATTCCCACTCCTGGAATGGCTGAATTGTCCCGTTCCATTCCTCTAATTCCTAAACGTAAAAATTGGCCTTCGACAGCTACATTGTGCAATGTTTCCGGCATAAGCAGCATAAAGCTAACATTGTCAAAAGCATAGACTCTTGCAAAAAAAAAAAAAAAAGCTAAATGCTTCAAAAAAGCACTGATCTTACTAAGCTCACTGTGCTGGATTGCCTGGGGTGACCTGAAGCGTCCGCAGCGGTCCATCGCAAGGTGAAAAAAGGTATGCAGAGACTCAATTCAAAGGAAGTGAGCGGGCATCCGCTAGCTTGTCTGTAACCCCAACCCACTTGAATGTAAAATATATAACAAAGAAAACAGGCATCGGAACAAAGGTCAAGTAAAAGGCGGACTTACACGTAAAATTGCAGTATATATAAAAAAAAAAGCGTCGGAGCAAAGCGCAAGAGGAGAAGTGAGAAGTGAATCTCGCTTTGTTTTAATGCCGAAGCAAACCCAGACTTCGCACTTCAAAGGAGTGCGCACGAATGAACGTGGAAGGCAGCAGGGTTGACCACCTGCTAAACGCTTCTCGAACTACAAGAAAACAATAACTGATCATCTTTCTGCGGCGGCGTGCGAGTCAACGAGCTATCAGGGCTGTGCGAGTTATGAGTCGCCCTTAGATCTCAGTCTGTGAGCGCGCGTGCATTCTCTATGCCGTCGCGAAAAAAAAAAAAAGGAATACAAGAAGCACGATGAGGAGCTGTGCATGGCGGCTTCTCTTTTTGCCGCTTCCTTCGTTTCTTTTGCTTGGCGCTTGGTTTCTTGTTTCGCTTTCGTGTAACACCAGTAAAGCCCGTCGTCTGTGCGTCCGTGAAAGGCGCCACCGCCAACCCCTCCCCCCTTTGGTCTTTGCTCTGACGCTTGTTTTTTGTAGTTTTTTTGTATTGCTAGCAGTTTCCCGCGCATTTTTTTTCTGAGCAACTGACTCGCTGACTGGCTCCGTTTAGCTAAACGTAACCACTGCCCCCCCCCCCCCCCCCTAAAAATAAAAATAAATAAAGAACCGGGCCCCCATTCCATTCTGATCAAAAGGCATCTAATTCCATTCCCATTCCATCCCCCTCATCGTTACCGCCCATTCCATTCCGGGGTCGCAAAAATGCGGAATGATCCCGGAATCATTCCAACACCGGAGTGGCAACTCCGCAACACTGGATGATGTCCATGAATCGAAAATAATGGTTGCCTTGCGCGAACGACCGTTTGTGCGAGAAACACTTTCTTGAAGGCAAGTGTGGCTTCCGTGTCAATCTCCGTTCCGAAGCTTGCTTATGTGCAGGGAAACCGATGTCTGATCAAGACCACCCAGATTTTGTTCTTGCGGTGTTCGTGCACAAAGCACCGGCCAAGTGCTTGTCGGTGGCTCGCTACCAGCGTTGGTGGCAACACGTTACAAGTAACGACGTTGCCAATAACACGTTACTTTTTTCTATAACGTAATAATGTACTCGTTACTTTTTTCAAGACACTAACGAGGAACATACTTACGCTACTTATTTCGAATAACGCGTATTAGTAGTTAATTACTCGTTCATATTCTTCCCAAGACCTAAAAAAAGTAATTTTTTTTTTTGTGCTTTCATATTTTGTTTTACCTACAGCCCAGACGCAGCTGACACTACGAGCTGATGGGACCAATCGACAGTGTCAGAAATACACCATCATGGTGTCCGTCATGGTTCTGAACGTGATCTACCATCGGTGAACCAATCATAAACAAGACCCAGTGACTCACTCTTTTGATGCTGCTTGGCTGGTCCCATTAGCTTGTAGCTTCGGCCGTGTCAGGGGCACTGATACATCAAAACCATATTTCTCTTTATTATCCGAAACGATTGAAAACGATGCCGAGACATTACCCTTGAAATTCGAAACTTGGGAATTCAGTATTTGTGAAGTAAAAAAACAATTTCCAAATCCCGAATTTGAAGTTCCCGCGTGATGCGCACCAGTGCGGTGACGTCAAAGATTGCAAAGACCTGCAAGTCGACTTTCTTTCCCGCCTCCGCTCCAAACATTGCCACCGCAGCTCGAAGCGAGGAGGTGAGGAGAGGGTGAGAAGGGCACCGGTGGACTGGCGGACCAGGAAAAACCGGTTTTATTTTGTGTGTCGAGCGCCGCATGTTTTCCGAGGGAGGATACAAATCCAGGAGGCGGCATCACACCAGACTCCGATTTTTGGCATTTCAAAAAGGGCCGTAGTGCAATCACAATTGCGTTAAAAAACATGTTTTACTATTGCCGTTATTAAATGTTATAGAAATGTTGCCTACAAAGCTTCTAAATTTCATGATTTTTGGGCATCACAAATCAAAGGAAGCAAGGAGGTGAGAAGTGGGAGAGAAAAACGGCAAAAATAAAAAGGCACATGCGCGCCGTGCAGAATTTTTTTTTTTTTGTTATGTGGTATTTTTTTGCGTGGCTATGACTACAATTTGCATTGTTTTAGACAATAAAAAGAATACGACCTTTGGGGTGTCAGTGCCCCTTAAATGAAACGAAGTATAGGCACAAAGTCATTAATTATTGCACTACATTCCAACTACCTGCAAAATCTTGCTTGTCCTTTCCCCATGCAAAAAGTCCCACTTCGAAAAAACCCCAATGCCTACGCCCTTTGTCCCAAAGTAAAAAAATGCTGCAGCAAAAAAAAACAAAAAATTGTTACCGTCATTTTATAAATAGAACTTTCAGCCTTTCCACTCTGGTGAAGGAGGAAGACAGCGAAGCTCTACTATGGTGGGACAACCTCAAGGACGCTGCCTAGAGGATGACGCCTAGGACCACCTCAAGGACTTCTTGGGCGACCTCAAGGACTTCTTGGGCGACCTCAAGGACGCCGCCTAGGACGACCTCAGGGACGACGCCTAGGACGACCTCAGGAACGACGCCTAGGACCACCTCAGGGACGATGTCTAGGACGACCTCAAGGTCGGCGCCTAGGACAACCTCTGGGACGACGTCTAGGATGACCTCAAAGACGACGTCTAAACGACCTCGAGGACGACATCTAGACGACCTCGAGGACGACTTCTAGGACGACGCCTAGAGAAATTCAGTTTTTCCACTCTGGTTTTCACCAGAGTGGAGAGGCTGGAAAGGTTGCAGCCATCTATGAGCGACAGCGAGAACCAGACAACCGTTCAGCCGGTTGTCTGGTCGCCGTTGCCGCTCATAGATGGCGGTAGCTGTCCAGAGTTTTGTGTCGACATTTATTTGGTGATGGACACTGTCACGAATCGCCGAAATTTCTTCTTTTTTTTTTTATGTTGTTTTGTCGTTTTTTTTTCTGCATTTCTCTTGTGGGGGTGGTATGTCAGAATAGGCCGGGTATCCCGAAAAGAAGCGACCAGGGAGTCGGGGACTTGATCTTTATCTCTACTCCGCCTTGTGTACGCGGCGTACCGAGAACTGAAGGCTTTCTGTGTGTGTATTCTTTTATTGGGCCATGCCGAATGTACGGAAGGGAAGCTTGCCGCACCCTGGTTTTCTTTACTTTAAAGCCGTTTTGTGTAGGCGTCGCACCCTGGACCGTAGGTTTATTTTGTTTGTGTGAGGTTTGTGTGAGGTCGCGCCATGCGGGGATGCCGAAGGGGGGCGGTCGGGGGTCTGGCTCGTCAGCGGAAGGGCCGCTTTCTTTACGCGTCCAACCGAGGGTGTCGGGTGACCACGTCCCCCAAAAAACCTCCCAGCGACGCTGTTGAAGCTGGATGGAATGTAAAAGTAATTTTCTGTTTGTTTGCTTGGTTGTTTGTTCTTCTCCTGGAAAAACGAAAAGGAAAAAGGGAAAAATTTGCGAAACTAAGAGTTCTGATTGGAGCCAAGAAGCTCGGTTCTGATTCGTCAACGGAAGTGTCTTCAGAATGCTGCTATTGCTTATAAATAGAAGTGAACTGGCGGGAAAAGAGGCACGGAATCCTGAGAGCAGTCGGAGACGCTGCTCTCCCGTCCAGCGGGCGTGAAGACGACGGGGATTTGAGCCCGCCGTTGGAACGTCATTGTTCTTCCCCGAGTTTTGTTGGTTTCCTGTGAAGTACCGCGTGGTGCTAGTGTTGCAGTGTGAGTGCGTGAGAAAGTGCGCCCGAGAAAATCGTCCGACGGACTGGACCAAGACCACAGAGGAGGCGTCCAATTCCTGGACCACCGACGATCTGGCAGATAAGACTTTTATTATCACTTGATTTTTGTTGCGCCCGTGCGCTTCGAGTCTGCGGCTTGTATTGAGCGACTCTTCGGGCTTTTTCTGTATGTTCGCGAGCGTACGTTGCCTGCGGTTTTTGGCGAGAGCTTTTCATTGTTGTTTGAAGTTAGTAAATATTTTGTGATTTTATCCTTTACCCTGTGGTCGCCTCCCTTGCTCACTTTTACACCAGGCGTGGACCTAGCGCCTGTCAACTGGTCGAACATTTTTTTTTTTTTTTTTGTGTGCACATGAGCTGTGGCCTTTGTCTTTTTAATGTTGTTTCAACTAATTTACATACTGGCCCACGAACGTTTGTGACAGACACGAAACTGGGGAAACTAGCCTTTAACAGCTCCGCTGTAAAAAGTAATGCAAAAGTAATGTGCGTTACTTTTAACGGTAACACTTTCCTTTTATTTTAAGGTAAAGTAGAGTTTCGTAACGTTTCCGAACACCACTCGAGCCAAGGGCAGTCTGCTCTGATATCCACTAAAGTCACTGGACCCTGGGAAAGTAGCACCACTGCCTTCCCTACCTGCTAGCTGGACACAAACAGATACTAACATACAGGCGACATAAACCTCGCAAGGCAAATGGTTAATCTGTTTATGTTGCATGGAAATCGCCATCTCGGTCCATTCAAATCTTATAAGCTTCCAGAGGGTCGTTTTAAACCAGCCATGCAAAGATCACCATGGAGCATCACCGTACGGAAGCGTTCCTCGCCAATATAAGCGTGTTTGGTAGTGAGTATGCAATCATGCCCATCTCCACAGATCTCTTACAATTATATTGCACTTCGTGCGTATTTTAAAACAGTACACTAATTTTTTAGTGCCTCCAAGCACCGACACAGCATGTGGTGGTGGTACGAAGATGTACCCTTGTTTCGCCGGTGTGTGGACAGCAAAATCTTGATATGCGAGAAACGCCTCCATAAAGCTGCCCGTCACCAGTGAATTTAGATCGCCTCAGCAAAAACGGAGGCGTCATGGAGAAATCGCTCATTTCACGGACCAAAATGGCAACCATACAGGGAGCTTGGCGCTACATTCCCAGGATCCGGTGACCTTAATATCCGCAAGAGACCGGAGCCGCGCGAACACGGTGGGTGGCAACAAATGCGAACGGCGCCGTCGTTTTCCGTCCAGTAAATTCGGTCGGCGTCAAGAGTTTTCCGCAAGTGTGAACGAGCCCTTACCGATGTCGATCCCCACGCCGCTGTCTTTGTCCGGGAACAGCCGGAGCAGGTCCTCCAGCCAGAGCACGTAGTTGAGTCTCTGCGGCACGGCGGGCACCAGCCGGTCTGTCGGAAGGTGCACGTCCAGCTCGAAGTAGTGCTTGAGCAGCGTCCCGGACAGCGCGCGCTGGGACTCGTGGTTCTTGAAGTCCAGGCGGACCTTGCCGCTCAGGTCGTAGATGACATGCTTGCGGAACTCCGGGTACCGCACGGCCAGGTCCTTGAAGTCGGGCGGGGTCTGGAAAACGTTCCGGGGGTGCATGTATTGGTTGAGCGACATGCTCATGCGAACTGCGGCCGGCGACAACGGAGGATGCTGGAGAACGTTCGTTACGTCCACCCGGTTTAGCGCGCCCTTATACGCGCTTCAGAAAGCGTCAGTGAAGTTAAAAAGTTAAAATCGCGAGGTGTGAAAGCTAGTTTAAACGCGTCAAAAAGTAAAATACAGCGCGAACTGGCGCAAACGACATCTCACGCCGCCATGTTTTTGAAGTCGCTGTAAGCCACCTGGTGGCTGCCTAGCGAACTCAAATAAAAAAATAATTAAAACAAAATCTTGAGCCACTTTAATTTGGGAAGCTGGATAACCATAGAGTTACTAACAATAAATGTAGATGACCAGCGAAGCTGTTTAGCACGCTACACAGACTTGACACAGAATTTTCTTGATCGATGGTCATTATTTCGCGTGGACGACTATCGCCGCCCCGAGGAGCCGGAGGAAACTACCGGGTGATACAAGGAGACGACAGGCTCTTTAAATCGACCGGAAAATTCGGTTCCCTAGGGTGCCTACATGTCTGTCTGTCTCAGGGTGAAGACATCCATTGTTGCACTGAGTGTGCCAGCGCGTGACGCTCTCGCGCACTCGGTGCGTGACTTGGGCGGTAAAATGGCGTCTATGCATTAGCCAGAGCTACGCGCTCGAGCTGAGTGACATCGGATTGCGCGCACTTCAAAATGCATAAAAAACGATTGGGCGGAAAAATGGTTGAGATGTCACCACTCAAGCAAAAGCGCGTATGTATGAAGGCACTCTACGGTTCCCTAACCTATCGCGCTACGACTTTGTGCAGCGTTGCCCACAGATGGTGCATTTTTTTTTTTTTTTTTGTAAAATTTGCAAAGAGTGAATTTACCTGAGGAAAAAGTAAAGACAAAAAGGCTTAGCTCCTATGAAAACGCAGCGACGCCACCGGTCTTCAAACAACATGGCGTTGTTTCGCATGGGACACAAGAGATGGCGCAACGAACGCCGCCAACGAACGAGCATACGGCGCCGAGAGCCAGCGTAGCTTTAGCAGTCAATCTTTTCGACTCAAAAGCAGCGCGCGTTCCGCAGGCGGCGACAGTCGCAGAAACAAAAGCAGGCACGGTAACAACAAGGAACTGCAGTTCCTTGTCCGCTAAATATGACGGCTCTCAACGTCGTCTGCTCGTTCGTTGGTGGCAGTTGGCGTCGCGACCGCTTGCGCCATCTCTTGTCTCCCGTGCGAAACGGCGCCGTATTGTTTGCAGACCAGTGGCGTCGCTGCGTTTCCATAGGAGCTAAGCCTTTTTCTTTTAGAGCGCAGCTCTTAGGCGCCCGTTTCCGGCTTGAGCGGCGTCGCCATCACCGTCGCCGTCGGCGTAACCGCGCGGTGCATTATGGGTAAATTTCCCCGCTAAATCTAGCGGAAAAATTTACCCGCTATAGCGAAAAAATTTCCCCGCTAGATCTAGCGGAAGAATTTCCCCGCTAACCCGTCTTGGCCTTCTGCAACCCTTGCAGAAGGCCAAGACAGGTATTGATGTCACTGGCTATCTCTTTATTGTTGAATCAAAGACACACTGGCTGGGTGCATTGTTCAATCCCCACCCCCGCCTGTTTGGAAATGCGCTGTCCGGTAGATCTGGAAGAGCATCGTACCCGCTTGCGGTCGTGCACTACGCAGTAGTGCACGTTAAAGATTCCAGGCTAGTGGTTGTGCTGCACTGGCTAAATTGCTCATCTACCGCTGGGAGAAAAGTCGTCCATTGAGGCACACTAAGTTCCATGCTGTATAAACGTACACATATGCCAATTTTTGTTTAAAGGGTTCAGTTGCGTTTATTTTGTACATTCCTTTGATCTCACCAGTCTAATCAGTCTATCTAAATGACAACGACCAAAAAACTTCAATGCTAAACATAACTTACACTGTTTTTAATTTGGGAGTCGCTTCACAAACAAAACTCAAACCTCAGATTAAATGGACACAGCCTTAACTCCAGAGCGCCAGGCATCAGAGCTGTAGCAGCAGAAAATCTTGAAACTCTTGCTGTCACCCGGGCCTGTACCATGAGGCAGATGAGGAGATCCCTTACGAGACTAGCACTTTATTGGAACAGACCACCTACATGGCCATCATGCCAGTGCTTGTTCACCAATCTTACATCCTGGTTGCTGTATGATGCAGCCTGGCAGACCTCATATGTGGAACATGCTTCAGGATAAAACCTCATAGTCACAAATGCTCCTTCACGATAAACCTTTGAGAATTTGACGACGAGATTGAGAATGCCCGCTTCCGGTTGTCCTGCCTGCGTTACAGCAGCTTTAAGAAAGCTGCTTACCTTGCACCCTCAGAATGAGGGCTAGAAAACATGTTGCCAATCAGAAAAACAATGAACCCGATGAATAAGACCACCACAGGTTTCGAACAGCAAGCAATGCTTGATGCAACATTTTATTATTCTCAACAGTGTCTAACATACAACTGACTCGTTTGTGTGGCAAACTGGCTAGGTTGTTCTCAAAGCAACATATGGAATGCTAGGATCTAGACAAAATACAAAAAAAAAAGAAAAAAGGTCCAGCTTTACAAATGCTTTTCAACTATATGTTGAAAAACACGGACCTGCTAGTGTGGTGCACCTACCGTGGAGACCTAGTCACGAAAACGCAAGTCAGCTTGCCTAATTCCAGGGTTTCCAGCCTTTGGGGTTCATAGCACATTCCAAGCCAATGAAGCAAAGATCAAAATGTAAAAAAATACCAGTCGTTTCAATGATTTCGAACATGTACTGCGGAACAAAATGCAATTATATTATTTCATAACCCCTTCTTTTTTTTTTCGAACAGCTGGAAACCACACTACCTACCAAAAACCTAAAAAAGAAATGATAACAGGCAAGTAAAGCCCTGCTGCAACTAAGAGAAAAAAATATATATATTTTTGTTAGCACTTTTACACCTTTCAGAAAGAGGCCCTTTCCACATGTTCATGGGAAGGGCAGCATTCTTGAACAATGATCAGTGGTCAACCACCGTCTGCCCCCTAACCTGCACTTCCTTGCATATAAAAGAATTAAGTATTCAACAATGGCAGCCAGTTGCAACACAGCTTGTACTTCCGATGCAGACGACGCCAGCCCGTCTGCTCTGGCGGGCACGTGCACACCTAAAGCCTCTAGATACGGTTTTGCTCACTGCGCTCGCCACAAACGTCGACAATCACTCGGAGCCAAATGCGAGGGACATCTGCCTCATGCAGACACCCAGAAGTATCTCTACAATCCGGCTTGCTGCCACGCCACCAGTTTTCTTCCCCAGGACTGCGCGAGGCAGATTCCCTACATGTTGACACATATTACTAGTAAAAAGAAATACGCCAAGTCCTCGACACACCAAGGCGGTCCAAGCAGACGGTAAAGATCGTCGCACAAAGAGTTCTCTCTCAAAAAAGTTACAACGGAAGACGTTGGCGACATAGAAAAGAACCTCCAGGGGAGGGCTTGCCCACAGACAGACTCAAGGCACCGTTTCGTTGTAGACTGCCCCTGCGTTTTTCTCCCGTCATCTGGATATCGTGACTAGCGCTACACTGACTACGTCATCGGAAGGGTATAGAGCTGGGGCAGGTGGTGCGGGAAATCTAGGACGCAAAAGGCTGCCGCTAGCATTGGTTGAGGGCACTATCACACTGCCGGGATAAAGCTGTACAAATCACATTAAACGCAGATAAAAAAAAATAAAGGTCACACCTACGAGATAGTTTTGGACAACCAACAAATGGTAGGCATAGACTAATTGCACATGGTTTCACCGCGCCCTTATCAAAAGCTTGCCCGTATTTCGAGCAACGGTCGACAAAGGTTTGAGGGACTTGCATTTTTAAGGCAATGCGACCCACTTTGCCGGCACCTGGTTCACCTCAATCTGCCGTAAATATACATCATAAAAAAAGAAATAACTCCATTTGCCAGCAGACAGAAATAAAAAAAGGGGAAGTTACTTTACGGAGTAAGAAAGTTGATTTTACGCAGTACGCTCACAAACCCGAAATCATCCACTTTCAAATTGTTGCGCATTACCTCGCGAGGTTTATGCGACAAACCGTCTCCAGACGTCCACAGTTGTGCACACAAACGAGACCAAGACATACCATCTGGACCGCTAATTCAAATGACTCGCCGATCGGACGTTTAGACTCTACAACAGAAGACACCATATACTCGCAGTATATAATCTCTCGACCCTATTTTTTTTTATGGTCGGGGAGGAATTTGCTGCCAGTCTTTTAGGGTGCACCGAGACACCGGACAACCGTCGCGCACCTTTCTCCGCACCGTCAGAAGTCCACGAGCCACACACGCGCACACACGCACCAGAAAAAAAAAAAGCTACAAAATAGAGGTATTTTTTCGAAGTAAGAAGCCATTTCCACAAGCGCACCTCTTGCCTGGGTGACGTTGCAAACGACAAACATTTTACGACGCTACAGCCTGTTGCGAAGGGGTTCCTCTCCGCAGCTTTGGGCTCTGTCTCTTCCGAAGCAGGTGGCCAAGATTCGCCGGGAGGTAGGCGGGGCGCGGCTACTTTTTGCGCTTGGCCGCACGAGATTTCACCGACTGGTTTCGGCAGCGACCTCGGCCGTTGTGGGCGTCTCAACAACACAGTTCGATTCTTTGCCGGCGGTGACGGCGTGCTTCTCGACTTCGCCACTGCTCGCTTGTTGCTGGCGGCGTTCAAGCTCGGCCTTGAAGTTTTCAATGTCTTGAGGGCTGTGGGGCAGATCGCGCAACATTTGGTAATGATGAGCAACGCTGATGTGCCGACAGAAACCTAACGTCGAAAAGCCGATGTTTGAGCACAGATGAGACAAACAAATGCTTGTGTCATGTTTGCAGATTAAAACATACAACATGCAAAGACAGGACTCGGAAGAAAGAGGACACACAATCGCCGAACTTACAGCTGAGGTTTAATCGTCAAGGTGCAACCTTATATTTGACAACCAACCAACCAAAAAAAAAAAAAAAAACGCACCGTATGACACAGAAGTAGATTTCAGCACCCTTGTTGTGGTCACTGTCGTCGTGCAAGAAATCGTAATTCATTACCAGACGACAAGACAGATGGGGCGCTTACACAGTCTTCCCTTTAGGTGCACAATCATCTCTGCTTCTATGATTTCTCTGGTCAGGGCATCGCCACCTCTTCCAATGACTGACCAGAGAAATCATCGAAGCGGAGATTATTGCACATCTAAAGGAAGATTGTGTAAGTGCCCCATGTGTTTTGTTACCTGGTAAAGTACTACAATATCTTGCACGACAACGGCAACTGCAATGAGGGTGTTGGAATCTACTGGGGTGTCTGAGTGTGTGCGTTTTTTTCATGGTTGGTCATCGAATAAAGCTTCAGCCTTGACGATTGAACTTCAGTTGGGAGCTCAGCGATTGTGTCTTCTGTCCTCTCTCTGTGCACCATACGCTTTAATCATTGTGCCTTACCAACACACCCAAGCTTCCATTTTGAACGTGTCTGTAGCCTTATCTTGGGTTTGCGATGTCGGAGTATGTTTTTAGGCATCGTGCTCCAAGACCGCACAATGTAAGAAACCACTGTGTCGTTTATTTATTTCGAATACCCTCAAGGCCACGGGGGCCTCCAGGGTATAACCAAACAATCGGGTTAATTGTGCCAGATGCACAATTAACCCGATTGTCTGTTCAAATGAATCTGAATGTTTGCCAAGTTGAAATTTGCAGGTGCAAGTTTTACACAGTTTAAAGTCCGGACCCAACATTATCCCATGTACGGTTTCCACCCGCGGTCCTAATGAGCAGACGAGACCAGGGCCTTCTTACAGTTCACCTGCTGCTCAAAGAAACCATATAGCTTAGGTTCCAAGAAATGGTGGTAGAGCAGGACGCTTGGAGGCGTGAACAAAAAGCAGATTCAGAGAAGCACCGCGTTTCTGCATTCTGAAGCATGCTTACACAGAGATACAAGTCGCTGAAACATCCATGCTTGGTATCCCGCGTGCCAAGCTACTCCTTTGACTGGTTGCACTGCTTGATACGAAGCATGGATGCCCTGGTGAGTGGCGGTCGTATCGCGAACCTAAGCATACTCCAGCTCCATAATGCAAGAAAACGATGCTGCATGAACCAGCCTTTACACTCACCGGATTTGCACAAAGAGGATGCCGTTGATGATGTTGAGCATCTCGAGAACATTGCTCTGAGACGGCGCTTGAATCTACCAAAAAAAAGAAGAAAAAAAAAGAAGGAGAGGTGAGCAACATACCTTAATCACCGACATAAACCATAAAGTGTACAAGCAGGTTTCTTAACGTTGACAGTAGTGTTGAAAGTAATGCTCGTCGGTGTACAACTTTTGAAAGATAACAGGACTCAAGTCCAGGAAACTGGTAATCAAAACACTTCCACTTCACGTGAAGATGGAGGACCAGCGAAGCTGTTATCTTTACGACGTCTAGAACGATGCCTAGAAAACGACGTCTAGGACGACCTCAAGGACGACTTCTTGGACGACCTCAAGGACGACACCTAGAGGACAACGTCTGGACGCCCTCGAGCACAATGCCTAGAGGACAAGATCTAGGACGACCTCAAGGACGACGTATATGACGACCTCAAGTGCAACTTCTAGGACGACACCTAGAGAAATTCAGCCTTTCCATTCCGGTGAAAACCAGGGTGGAAGGGTCGCCGCCATCTATAAGCAACAATGGCAACCAGACAACCGGCAAGCCGGTTGTCTGGTTACCACAGTCGCTCATACATGGCGGTAGCTGTCCAGACTTTTGTGTCAACGTTTATTTGGTGACGGACACGAAACTGGGGAAACTAGCCCTTAACAGCTCCTCTGTAACAATTACCACTTTGGGTTACACGCCGTTTATGTCCACAGCACAGACATCATCTTCACACTGACTCGCCTATCAGGGATGCTTTTTGCCCATGCAATCGGACTGTAAATCCTCGAAAGATGTCTTCCTTCTGTCAACGCCAATTTTACCCCAATTCATGTCTCCCCATCTCCAAACTTCTTCAGCCACCTTCCTATTCTGCTAACATCAATATTCTTTCGATTCTGCAAGGTATACACACAGCATGTCAAAACAAAAACTCGCAAAAAAAAAAAATTGAGAACGAAAAATAAAGACTTGTTCACACACTTGCAACTTCTTAGGACCAAGTGCCTCGACACCTCTAAAATCTTATACAACAAGAGAGCGCACTGGCTCCACCTAGCGGGTAGCAGTGGAATACTTGGCAGTCCCACATATTTTCTACTTCTTTCGCGCGTCACGCTTTTTTCTTGGCTAAAACTTTCTCGTCAACGTTATAAACGACTGTTCCAAATGGAAGCTTGGGCGTGTTGGTAAGGCATTATGATTAAAACGTACGGCGCTAACGGACGCCAATGACACACCACCAGATCCCAGCACCATCATCGCGAATGCTGTCGTCGTGCGAGGAAATCTAACCCTTTACTAGATAGCGAAACAGACGGGGCGCTTAGACAATCTTCTTTTAGGCGGGCAATCATCTCCGCTTCTATGATTTTTCTGGTTGGGGCATTGCCACTTCTAATGACTGGGCATTTTTTAAAATATGCATCACACTCACAGTCACAACAATGAATGCAGAAGTGTCCCGATACCACCCTGTTTACATCTAAAGCCACTTTTATCCTACCAATCTGCCCATTCCAAATTGGTAAAAAGGGCATCGTGAATCTGTGCTTCACAAATGCTTCGAAGAAGTCCCGTTACCATCGAGCACAGGTTAGCTTTGACGCTCAAGTTTCCCGCCGTCGGATAGCGAAGTATCCAGAGCACCTACTCATGTCAGTTGCAGGCACTTTATTGAAGAAATTTAAAATAGAAGGTGGTGTAGACGTGGTAGATGCCCCCAAAGAAAAAAAGAAACAAAGTTGTTGTGGTTCCGTATTCGCATAATTTCCCATGGTTGTAAGAGAATAGGAAAGAGAGTGGACATCACCGTTGTCTTTTCTGCCCCTAACAAGAAACCTAACCTCTGCAGAAATGTCAATCTTACGGCTGGGGGGGTCTCCTCTAGGCTGTACTGAGCAGCATCAAAATTGGTTTGTTGAATGCACAAAAAAAATTGTTTATTCCATTCCGCTTTCCTGTGGTAAGCAGTACCTAGGGCAGACTGGAAGATGCTGGAACGATAGGTTGAGAGAACATTATTACAATGTGAACAGGGTGGTATCAGGACACTTGGGCATTCATTGTTGTGACTGTGGGTGTGACGCAGATTTAAAAAAAATGCTCAATCATTGGAAGAAGCAACAATGCCCTGACCAGAGAAATCATTGAAGCGGAGATGATTGCGCGCCTAAAGGAAGACTAAGCGTCCAGTCTGTTCCGCTATCTGGTAGAGTTCGATTTCCTTGCGCGACGACAGCATTCGCGATGATGGTGCTGGGATCTAGTGGTGTGTCACTCGGTACGTGTGTGCCTTTTTCTTGCTTGGTTGTCGTATATAGGGTTGTCTTGACGATTAAACTTCAGTTGTAAGTTCAGTGATGTGTGTCTTCTCTTTTCTGCCCCATCTGTTTGCGCTGTACGTTCAATCAATATAAAAGACCATTTCTCATAGGGCAACATACATTTGACCTCGCAAATACCACCAAACCTTTGCGCTGGTAAAGTGCAGTTTCAGGGTTACCGCATAGTAGATGACGCCAACGTTCCAGTGTGCTCTCTCGTCGTTGAGTGTGCTTCTTACTGAGGATTGGTGCATTGCAGAGAAGAAACATCCGCAGAACTCACATCCGCGGGTGCTGCTTCTCCGATCACCTCGACGTGAACGTCAAATAGCATATTATTCGAATCTACTATTCGAAAACTTGAATATTCGTACAATCCTGCAATGTACACTTCCTATGACCTGTTCGATTAATTCAGTTTCCAACGAAGAGTGCATTTCTGAATATTCAGTTGTTTCCCCTGGCACTTGGAGCATACTACCGATGACAAGCAAGGTTTTGTAAGGCGGGGCACGCGAGGCTACAGAGCGCTTCCTGGGGAAGAGGCCACCACGCACCTGGATGGGTGGCAGTGCGGCGGAGGTGTTCTTCTTGTAGATGTCGTTGATCTTCTTTTGCAGCACCACGGCCTGTTGCGTCAGGTGGCGCAGGCACTCCGAGCTCTCTCGCGTCTTGTCGTGCTCCTCGCCAAGCTGCAAGGGACGGGTCGCCATGAGCGACGCACCCATGCATTCGCCCAGCCATTCAAAAGTCCGGATCATACTTCCGTCGCCAGTCATGTACGACCTTCTTTGGTTTCGGCCGAAACCCAGCTTTACCCAATACTTGCGTCTTTGACATTTAAATCTCGGACCTATCAAAACAGAGTTGTAACCGTCCTCCCCCAGAAAATCGCTTTTAAAGACAACCTTTTAGATAATTATAAAAGCTATTCAAGATACAAATATTCTTATATCGCGGAACTACCTCACAACATTGAAAAACAGGATGAACTAGAAAGATACAGAAAAAATGGGAGTCGCAAAATCTTAGTTGAACAACTAGAGCAAATCACCTTATTAGGAAAATGTCGATTAAATAACTCTCGATCCAATTCAGTACTATTTTTCGTTTTATGAATACACAACCTAAAAACTCCCAAATCGTGGAATTGGTGGATGCACCACTCAGTTTTTCCAAAATTTTAGTTGCCAAATAAAATCAGGTTTAATCTGCCCAATGTTCCAAAACATAAAATGCACGCGCACACAAAAAATCCTATACTCGTTTTCACCTCAAGAACCATATAAAAAAAAAGTTTGGCTCCTCGCTGAGCATTGCTAATTTCCCCCTTTATGTAGAAAACTTAGATATGTGTAGGTGCCTTTTAGATTAGGCATATGTTATCTTATCAAGACATACATGTTTGGAACCCCAAAAGCATTGCTGGTTCCTCCGACAACCAAACCTTGTAAGAACCACTTCATGCGGCACATGAACAATGTGCAAAACTTCAAACCCAGGCTCAAAAAAAAAAAAAACAATTTTTTCCCCCATATTATTTAGCATTTACCCAACATCTGCTTGGTCGGTTTCACCATTTAGTTTGCTCTACAGTGCTATGTGTTGTCAGGTTTCGCATCCATGTTCCTCGAAACTGAAGGCATCTCCAGCAAACGATGCGTTGTGCAGCATTTCTTCGTTGTTGGAATATGCTTGCGATATTTCGTGCAAGCCCGTTGAGCGCTGCCATGTCGCGCTAGGCGCCGCAAAGCAGTGCTCCGAGTGTAGAGCCTCTTTGCTGTAGTGCTTCCCTTTCCCAACACAGTTCCTGGTCACAGGATAGGTTTGCTCCAGCCAGGGCCTACCTGTGTCTTGTAGATGGTGTAGGTCTCCTTCTCGTTGTGCAGGGCACCGCGGAAGTCTCCCAGGCACGACTGCGCCCGGGCCACCAGGTGGTAGCTCACCGCCACCTTCAGGCTGCGGCTGCCATAGAACCTGCCACGACACATCCGGAAAATCAAGGAATCGCTCCGATTATCCAGAAAAATGTCTAGTTTTATATAGCTTTTCGGGTTTTATACAAAGAATATACCATCCAGGCAAAAATCAGTCCACTTCCAGCTGGATTGTGGAACTAGAAATGAGGCAGTCTAGCTCGATTCCAGCTGAACCCAGCTGGAATCCACCTGGAGGTGGACCGATTTGCGCCTGGGAACAAAAAACGAGTCGTGGGTAAGACCAACCTCCAGTATGTTCAATTACAGTCTAAGCTCGTTATAACAGACCTTGATTTTGACCAAGATTTCGGTCTGTTGTAAAAGGAGGATGTTGTATGCAGATATGAAGTTGAGTCAATAGTATGTAGAGGAAAAGCAGCCGAACTTCACAGATTGGTATCTTATATCCAAATGTCTGTTGTAACCAGGTCTGTTGTAATGAGCTTAGATTGTACTGCCTAGATGCATGTTTTTGTTGTCTTAAAAACAGCAGGAACAAAGGGTTAGGTTAGTAGGTCACACAAGGAACCTTTTGTTCCAGCTTCCCAATCGGCTTTATGTTCATCCAGCGACTAGAAAGCACACATGGAACACGAGAAATTGCCAATGGGCTGGAGCGTGAAAACACTTGAACAGCGAATAAAATCAGAGCTGTCAAAATGTTGACACAAATGAAGCACAAATGCTCCAGATATTTCGGATTTTGAACAGAGCAGCACTTAATATGAATAACCTGAACACATGTGAATAAGATAGCCAGATGTAGACAAAGAAGCCTAAATATTTAGTATACTATTCAGGTTTATCGACTGGAAACCGAACCAATCACTAAACGCATTCAAATGATATTCAAAATTTCAAATACCATTTCGAAAACCAGATCTCCCGACCTACTGAGCAAGACGGACTCACTTTATGTTGAGCTGAAGGGCGTTCTCGAGGAACCGAAGGGACAGGTCATACTCTCCAACGGCGTGAAGTATGAGACCTATGTTGCTCTGCAAAAAATTCAAGGTCACACAGAGGTCAAATTGAGGTCCCTTCAAGGTCACACACACACATCAATGAAAGAAGAGCATGGCCCAAAGGTTTCTCTGAAAAACTTTGTAAGGTACTGAAAAAGATAAACCTGCAATCATACCTTGGCAAACCTCACTCATGAGGGCCCTCACTCACCCTCATCTTCACAGGTGAGGTGAGGAAGAGTGAGTTTCTGAACCAGGAAAATTCATGAGTGTGAGGGTGAGTGAGGGCCGTGAGGGCGGTGAGGGCCGTGAGGGCTGTGAGGGCTGTGAGGGCGGTGAGGGCCATGAGGGCGGTGAGGGCGGTGAGAGCCGTGAGGGCGGTGAGGGCGGTGAGGGCGGTGAGTGGCGTGAGGGCCATGAGTGCGTGAGTGGTGTGAGGGCGGTGAGTGCGTGAGGGGTGTGAGGGCCATGAGTGCGCGAGGGCAGTGAGTGGCATAAGAGGCGTGAGGGCCGTGAGGGCAGTGAGTGCGTGAGGCCCCCTTCAGATCGAGCATCTTTCTCAGCAATTTTGGTGTTAATGGCGGGTTGTTTTCTAGCTTTCCCTAGATCGACACGAATTGCTGAGATCGGGTCCGGCTCGAAATAAGCAAGCAACTCGGAGCAATTCAAATACGTTTGAAGCGGCTGCATCCAATCAGGGACGCAAAATTTTCACGTGATACATCTTGCCGGTGATGATGACACCGAAAGACTTGATTCTGGTTTGAAATCGCAGTGATGGAAGTGCAATTTGACCTTTTGGAGCAGGCCTTGTAGCAGGCAAAATGTTCTTTTGGAGCAGTTAGTGGCCATTTTGGAGCAGGGTCCGGCATATGTTGGCACATTACTTGAAAATGAAATAATGCTGCATTGCTATAGAAAGCCCATCTCTATTATTGGAACACAGCGCCTGTCGCCTTTTTAAGACTATAAAATTCAACAAAGTAAACGCAAAAAAAAAAAAAAATTTTATATAAAGTTTATCTGCTCGTCAGATAAAAAAATACAATTAAATATGTCACACTGAGTTCTGATGGTACAGGATACTAAGTTTTATCAGCATGCACTTCTTTTAAGGTATCTGCAGCAGCATCTAACGACCCTCACTGTTGCGGAATGTTTTAGTTCAGATTAGAGTTGTCTTTCGGGCAGCAGCTTCAAAGATTGCGGTATCTGATATTCGCTTCAAAAATTCCAATTCATTTTCGATGTGCTGGCGAAGTCACGATCGGATCACGGCGAGTTAACCCGTTGAGTGCGCTCCTTGGCATGCACCAACGCGCTGCAGAGAAGCGACACCCGCAAAGCAGACACCGCAGACGCGCGAGTCGCGCAGTGTTTTGTGCTCCGAAAAGGACGGTGAGGCTTTACCAGCACTACATCCAGAGTTTGGTGCAACTCATCTATACTTTGTTTCAGCTTCGGTGCGAGCGCAGCCGAAGCTACAAGCGCGCGCATGGAGCCCGTAACGGTGCCGACACTGCACGAGCCCACGCGCGAGTCAGGAATGCACAGAGCATTGGGCTCGCGCTAGCTTTGACTTCGCTGGTAGCTAGCGCACGGGAACAGGGCGGGCCAACATTAAAAACATCCACAAGCTCGACCATTTTTTTTTTAAATAGGCTGTTTAGTGGGATGGTTCTCCGCTTAGTCTCTGCGGCTTTGGTCTCAGATGTTGCTAACGTTGCTCCTTTCAATGATGATGATGATGATGATAATGCGCCCTCGCAGTTTCGGTTTGCGTAACAGTTGCGGCGCGGAGAATACCGCGGTACCACCACGCGCTCTGATAAGACTTCAATTTTTATTTTTTATTGCTACATCTCATCTCGGCGCAGGCATAGCGCAATTCTTCGGTAAAATGACGATTTGGCGCTACATGTAGCAGGATTGCGTCCTTGGCGCAATTTGGCGCAGTTGGCGCAGCACTTCCATCACTGAAATCGATCGTTTTTTGGAAATAAACTGTTTCAGAAAGGTGCATTAGTATTCTTAACGAGGTTTAAATGCATCAAAACACGTTTATAATGCGTAATTCTGTCTAAATAGGGAAAGAAAAATAAAATTTTCATGATGACGATGGCAAATTGCAGCAATTGGTTGCTGCGTGTGATCGCGGGCGGCCCGTGTTGCTGGTGTTGCGACGTAAAGTTTCTGGGCGAAATTGCCCCATCTGAAGCTGGCCTGAGTGGCGTGAGGGCCATGAGTGCGTGAGGAGCGTGAGGGGTGTGAGGGCCGCAAGGGCGGTGAGGGGCGTGAGGGCGGTGAGTGGCGTGAGAGCGGCGAGTGGCGTGAGGGCCGTGAGTGGCGTGAGGGCCGTGAGTGGCGTGAGGGCCGTGAGGGCCGTGAGGGCGGTGAGTGGCGTGAGGGCGGTGAGTGGCGTGAGGGCTATGAGTGCGTGAGGGCCGTGAGGGCGGTGAGGGCGGTGAGGACCGTGAGGGCGGTGAGGGCGGTGAGGGCCGTGAGGGCGGTGAGTGGCGTGAGGGCCGTGAGGGCCGTGAGGGGCGTGAGGGCCGTGAGGGCGGTGAGTGCGTGAGGGCCGTGAGGTTCAGTGAGGGTGAGTGAAGGGCTGAAGGTGAGTGTGACTGTGAGGGTGAGGGAGGGGCTGAAGGTGAGTGTGGCTGTGAGGGTGAGGGTGAGTGAGGGGCTTAGGTGAGTGTGGCTGTGAGGGTGAGGGAGGGCGACCTAAAATGCCGACCTCTGCCTGCAATGAGGTATAGACTAAAAAATACCCTTGTCATCAGAAAGATACAAAGTGAGCTGTGTAATGTGTTGTGCACGAGCGCAGAGTGCGTGAGGGAGTCTCCACACGCCCCTCCATAAGCCCAAAACATCGTCGCTTCTACGCACAAGCCTTTTCGAGCAGGACCATGCCCGTGTCATTGTCATGTCTTGGTTCAGTAAAGCTAGTAGCACTTCGCGTGAAGCCTATCACTGTGTTCTGTCGACCTGTACCTAACAGCGGCGAACGATCCTGTATCGCGGTAGCAAACATTGATTTCTCTCTTCGGCAACGGTGCCACGGCGCGATGCTGTTGTTTCGCGGCACTTTCGGGCGTGTAGCGAAAAGGTTTGGTCCATCCTCGCCGGCGTCGGCTCGTCGTCTCTCTCGTGTGGATACGCTTGGGAGACGGACGAACCGCGGACACGTCGTCACTTGATTGACCCGTCCGCGGATCAGTTCGTCGTGTGAATCGGATTGAGGGTAACTTTCAGATGCAATTCTTAGGCTTAACTGCAAAGACATTGATTTCGTGGGCGAGTCTCAAGTTGTTTAGTTTGTTGCAGAAAACAAAATCTGCTTGTCTGGTGGAGAGGAGAGCAATAGAACCACAAAGACAAAACTACACTCACATCCAGGACGGGCATCTCTGGGTGCAGCTCCCCGCAGACGAGGAGCATGAGGTAGCGTGCCCGGTACAACAGCTTGAGCGTCGTGGTCACTTGCGAGTTGGCAAAGCAGTACAGGGCCAAGTGGGTCTGCAAGACGCACACAACGCAAACAGTATCGACCCCTTTGTCCTCGCAATGACTTTAGACGTTCCATTGACAGGCATGTCTGTCGAGCAAGACCCAAGACCTATAGTTGAACACTGGGAACGTTCATGCAACGATACACTGGCACGCCCACGATGACAGATTCAGCATGTTTTTACAATGCTACCAAGTTCAAAGAAGCCAACAAAAATGCTCAATATATGAAGAAATTATGTGAAATCAGCTCACACAGCATTCAAAAGCACCAAAAACCTATACAGTATCGTGAACTGAAGCTCCTTGAAAAGAGCTAGAGCACATGCATTTTACCAAGGCCCGCCCTAGTTCTAGGTTGAGACAATAACTAACCAGGTGGCTTACCACCTCGATTTTTTGGGTAAATGGTAGATCTCTCGATTAATACCAAAAATCTTTTCATTCCTTGCTATCATCAGTACTAGTTAGTAATTGCTTGCAGTACAGGTAATTAGCAGGGTCCAAATTTTTCAGCCTTGTTCTGATATTTGATTGGACACTGGCCTCTTCGAATAGCGAGCAAAACTCACATATTCGGTGATAGTGTAAGGATGGTCGATGCCATTCACCCGTTCGCTCATGAGCACTGCTTTCTGCTGGTAAGCCATTGCCTGCAAAAAATGTAAGAGTGTTTGATACTGCCATCAGTAACAAGACAGAGAATAGCAAAAAGGATAAAGCGCAAAGTCAAGGCACACTCTCTGCATTTAATCAGATGAGCCAGCGAAGGAGCAAGCACGGAAAGATGGCGAAAGCCGCGACATTGTGCTTTTGGCGCCGCTTGACTGGCCTTTTGGCTCTTAACGTCGGCTTCGCTTCGACTTGAAGCCCCTTCAAATGGGGGCATTTGCTTAAATTATCTTAAATTACGTTAAGTCACTGGGACATCCGTGTTTTGTATGTTCCGTGCAAAACTACTATTTGAACTGGTTGCCATGTTTCATACAAAAAAGCACAGTTGTCCTGGTGACTTGCGGCATGACCAGACGTAAGCTTCCATAACAAAATGCAGTGTAAACATACGGTACTGTGCAAATGAACCTTTAAGGCCAGACGTAGTACAGCAGAGAAAACAAAAGCCAACCTCCACATAGCCACCCATGATGCTTCCTACGAAGCACAGACGTCTTGGCGACTAGCGGCATAAGCAGACGCAAGCCCCCGTAACACAAAGTAATGTAAGCATACAGTACTGTGCAAACATAGCCTTTAAGGCGAGGCATGGCACAGCAGAGAAAGTGAAAGCCCACATCCACGTAGCCTCCCATGAAGCTTCATACGAAGCGAAGATGTCTCGGTGACTTGCGGCATAGCAAACGCAAAACCTCATAACACAAAGCAATGCAAGCATATGGTACTGTGTAAACGGGCCTTTAAGACAAGAGATAGTACAGCAGAGAAAGCAAAAACCCACCTTCACATAGCCTCCCATGACGCTTCATACAAAGCACAGATGCCTTGGTGACTCGCGGCATAAGCAAACGGAAGCCCCCGTAATGTAAAGCAACGTAAGCATACAGTACTGTGTAAAGGGTCCTTTAAGGCAAAACATAGCACAGCAGGGAAAGCGAAAGCCCACCTCCACATAGACTTGCATGACTCTTCATGTGAAGCACAAATGTCTTCATGACTCGCGGCATAGCAAACGCAAGCCCCCTTAATGCAAAGCAACCAAAGCATATGGTACTGTGTAAACGGGCCTCTAAGGCAAGACATAGTACAGCAGAGAAAGCGAGAGCCCACCTCCACGTAGTCCCCCATGACGTAGTTGAGCCTGGCGAGCAGGCGCAGGCACTGGGCGATCTCCGGGTGCATGGCCCCGTACACATTGTTCATGAGGTTGAGGGCCTCGCTGATGAGCTCGTAGCCCTCCCTGAGCAAGCCCTGCTGGATCTTGCCCTGGCCCGTCAGGTAGAAGCTGTAGGCATCCGTGGCCCGGGGATGCACGTGCTTGGCCACAGGGAACACATTCACCACGTCCTCCTCGGTGAAGGGCGCCCTTGTGCGCTGCTCCAGGGCATACTCCCGATGCAGCAGCTGCAGGCCGCACTTGAGGCAGAGCGAGCGCAGCAGCACACACTTGTGCACCCCAAGCGACTCCAAAAGGTCCTCGAGGCACCCCGACAACACATGGGTGCCCGCGGGGAACTCCCAGCCGTAGTAGGAGTGCAGCTCCCCGCGCAGCTGCTCCCACAGCGACCGGGGGCTCAGCGTCGTCCACTCCGTGTTGTCTGCAACACGACCCAAGTGCAGGAATAAGAAGTTAAGCGTGTCTCGACTCAATCTGATCGACCCGGTGACACACAGAATGTGCCGAGAATGAGCTGGACACATGCCGTGCGCGACGTCACGTGATGTTATGAGGTCACGTGACATCAGGCTGCCACGTGACGTCCTAACTTCGAAGTCATTTAAGCAAGATATTTATGAGGCTATATTGCTTGTATGACCTTGGCAAATGTAACGCTCGAGTGTAACGTTTTGCTTTTTTCTTAAAACCGAGCCCTATGACACAATCTCTGTTAAAAATATAAATGTCAAAGATTAGAATGAATTTCTAGAGTCAATGTTTTTTTCCCCGATTCATCACAATGTTCTGCATACGCGTATTACGTCGCCATGACTCAGTCACGTGCTGGTGCTACGATCATCTAAACTGTTCATTGTCGAACAAAACAGGGTACTGCCGAGACCTACTGGGCAGAGCTGCACTCACCTAGCATCGAGAGGTTATGCCTGCCCTTCCTCTTGCCCTTCTTGCGGTTGCTCTTGAGCTGCGAACGTCAGGAGCACACAGTCAACACCCGTGCTTGTCACCAGGGTAAGACGATATCTCTGTCCACTTCCCAAATTAAAGGGACCACGAAACAAGTTATTTTAAATTTGGCTGGCTAGAGCTCAAAGTAAATGCTTCGCCTTCAAAATGCGCGAAACAAGAATCTGCCTTTGTTTACAGACGCTGGGTTTTGTGAAGAGTGCAGACTGATAATCTGCTTAATCGCGTATGTCAAAGGTTTAGCAGGGACAGGTCAAAAGTTTCGTTATTAAAAAAAAACAAAAAAAAACGAGAAACAAAAATCAGTTTGCACGGAAAATTATCGAGGCACTAGCCATAAAAAAAAAGCTATATATGCATCAACACCGCTTCTGTCGCGCTCCACAAAAAAAACAAAGTATCTGTGGCGATTTAAGAGATGAGTGGGTGGCGATCAGTCATAATTTTACGCATGTACTATTGTCGAACTTCCTTTACGATAAATTTTATTGTAGTACCACAGTTGCTCGTCAGTGGTGTCCTGGTTCATTTTTTACATTAGTGCTTCGTCTAAATTGTTCAGCTGTCCACACTAAGAACCCGGTGCAGCCAATAGCCACAGCGGAACACAATCCATCATCCGATTCTTATCTGCCGTCCATTTCACAGTCCATTCCACTCAAACAAAGGCGAAGGGAAGACTAAGCGTGCGTACCTCGTCCGAGGACACCGGTGCCTGAACGTTGGCCGAAGGTGCAGCCAGGAAGCAGTTGAGGAAGTGGCTGATGGCGGTGGCCATATTGGACGCATCCACCCCCTGGAGGTAGGTCGTGAGCAGGTGCTTGGCTGCCCGCGTGATCAGTTCTGCCACCGCCACGCCCTGCGCAACGAGCAGAGGGTATCTTAAGTCTTTGAACACGACAAAGGCTCGTAAATGGGAGGAAGGGGGTCTGCCTTCTTTACTGGGCATCTTCTTGGAAGGTAACATGAAACGAACCTGATGCAAAAGGATCTTTAAATCTCCTCATTTTAGGATATTAAAAAAAATGTTGGCTCTCCTAGTGGACATCAAAGAAGAACATATATGGTGTTCTGACCCCAGAACCACTAGGACCTCACTTGACTATAGATCGGCACATTCAAAACTCGTCAAAAACGGTATTGCCCTTTCATGCTTGCGGTCAGCGCTAACAAATCCTGCATCCACGAAATGAAAGTACGCTCCTCCGTTCGATTAGCCAGGCTCGGAGACTAACTTTCCCGACACAGTTATCACATCGGCATGTGACATATTAATCCGTAACTGGCAGTTGTAAATTTCTGTGTCCATATGTGTTCAGCGGGCACCACCCAATAATCCGTAACATCAAAGAGGATCCCAAAAAACAATGCAAAGGTAAAGATAAGAAAGACAAAAAAAGAATGTAACAGACATACCATATATTCACCGCCTTTCTCGTGGAATAAAGGGAGTCGCCTCAAAATATGGCGTGAACGCTGTTTTCTGAGCCCGCAACAAACCAAGCAGGATTGTCACCGCGGTAAAAAAAATAAAGTGCAAAAAGCAGTCAAAGAGACAATAATGGATGCCACGTTAAGCATGGCATGACGTTTGCGTCTTGCCAGAAAGGGGTTTAACCTACGAAATCCCATTCCCCTGCGGACACTTGCATATCGGACAGACGGGAAGGTGCTTAAACATCTGACTTCGCGAACAACACAGTTCGTAAAAAGGTGGGGCGTACTCCCATTTAGCAATGCACTGCCGCGACTGCGAACTATGGTTCAGAGACATAAATGTTTTGTATAAACACCAAGCTCAGTTGTCTAGGGGGACAGTGGAAGCCCACCATATAGCAAAAAAGAAAACTGCGTGCGTGAGCCAGAAATCTGTGAATGTGAGGAACAGTGAGATAACTTTCTAGACTTGGGATAACTTCTCATTGGAAAAAACAAGAAAGAAGCGACAACACAGTAAAAGAAAAAGAAGACCCTATATGAACAAGATTGCGTTTCTCAAAATAAGAAGTTGATGGTCAGTGACTCATCCTGTGTTCTCTCTCCTTTGTCCTCATATTTTTGCGCCGTTTTTCATCATAAATACATACCAACTATCCCAACTGTCCATTCTAACATTCTTAGTATACTCAGTCTCTATCAGCTCGGAAACAGATTTTCCAGTTGCCGGTCCCTGAACACTGAACCGTGGCCGAATGTTTCGACGCCTCTTGCATGCCGCAAGACCTATGTCGGTCACTGATGTGGAGCGAGAAATATTACAATCCTGAAGAAAACGGGAATAGTTACAAGAACCCGGCTACGGAATAGAGCTTTTTCGAAAGTGTGCGTCGTCCAATAGCAGTTGTGTCGATTCCCTGAGGCCGTCATACGTTGGGCATGAACTTTGAGCAGGCAATGGACGTAAGTGCTGCATCAGCATTTAAGCACATGCTCAAGTTCAAATGTATAAGATCGGTTAGGGCAGTAAGCCATGCCCAAAGTGTACGGTGGCCACCAGAGTTTCTCGATGAACTTTAGAAAAGGGTCTATTGCCAGCATGCTTGAGCAGTTCATCCCATACAGTAATGTTACGGACCAACATTTACGCACTGCACATAGGCAGAGCTTGTAGATCTACTGTCCTGCGCCGATAACACTCACATGCAGGTATTTGAGCTGTTCAATGGGTGCCACCATGTCAGCAAATCTGCCTAGGTACCTCATGTTGATGCCCCTGCAAAAAAATATGGCCACAAACCATCAGCAAATGCAAATATACTCCAAGAGCCAGTATATCTACATTTATTTGAGTACTTTTCGGAAGTATCATTCTTGGCACGGTGAGGGAGCATGTTAACCAGTCCACAAAGATAGCCCGACTCGAGTACAAGGACATTTTGAATTAGTGAACTGGTTCGTGCACCCCTAAACACCAGGTCAATGTATCCACCCACATAGGTGGCAAAACGTCTATGTTGTTGCAGTAATCCCTCGTCAACGAAGCGGCAAAAGAATTCGGTATAAGTGGTAGGTAATTCAATAAAAGCGATAGAGCAAAAAAAACAAAAAAACTAGCGCCAGCAGCCTTAAAGGTGGACGGGAACATTTCAGGACACACCGACCGTATGTTTAATCAAACAAACCTTGGTTATAAACAACAGGCAGCAGCTTCGCCGAGTAAAAAAATATTTTTTTAGTGGAGTTTGCTGGTCCCTCCCTGAGGTTGCACACGGACCATGCAATTTTCGACGGTTTCAACGTGGCTCCCCCAATCGTCCCACTCTCTCTCCCCTTCCCTAAGAACCCTTCCAGACGAATTACGTCCACCCACTTTTCTATACGATCCTCGCCTTCCAGAAAATACCTGAAGCAGTCTTTTCTAGAAAACTCTACCATCCCCAAAAAGGGTGTCATACCTACACGGCTAAGAAATAACCCCAGCTTTTTGCGCAAACAAAACCTTGCGTCGAAAGGAGAGTATGTTGATCTCAGCTAGTCCCTTCCTACAAAATTACCCCAAACGACTCGTCGCAAAGAAACGTCCCCACCAGCTAAAATACAGACCAAAACCCTCACCTGCTGTGCATGGCCTCGCTGAGGGTGATCCCGTCTATCGGTGAACAGGAGTGATCTGCGCAGTCTTTCACCTGTCGTACACAAAGACAAAAAAAGTCACCGCAAGCAACAAAAAGGTGCCTTCTGCTACCGTCCGGTGGCAGACCTACACAGTAGCAACCGATGACATAGCAACTATCCTCTGCTTTCAGCAAAAGAAAAGAGTACTCACGAATGCAGGCAGTTGGTCAGCCACCAGAAAGTCTGCCGCTTCTTTGACTAGCCTCTGCTCCTTCTTCAAACGTTCCTCCTGGCAAGGACAACACGAGACATTAAAGAGATTGAGCCTTCAATGGAGCCCTAAAGGCTGCCTTACAAGAAGAACAGCCTCGCTTGTTGGCAAGTAATTACGAAGGAGAAAGTAAGTGCCATGAACCAATACTAGAGCTTTCACAACAGCCTGCAGTGGTTAGTGAACAGAACTCAAGAACTGGAAGCCTTTAGGCCTTTTCTATGCAAGCAGGAGATAAATGAAGGGAATGTCCAGAAGAAGTGTGCAATACACTCCAAATAAGTTATCACTTCAATGTACAAAGCATCATCAAAATGTCAAGTGCGAAACCATGTAAAAAAAAAAAAATCTAATTTGTACAAGCACAGTGTAATAGAATAAAAACTCACATCACCGGCATGCTTGACACCAGGCGAAAACACGTCCGGGTTGAACCTAATGTCAAATTCTGAAAACGGAGCAAAAGAATATGGAGCAAAAGAATATTTAGAGGCCTTACGTGACACACTACTTTTAAATCTTTGTAAGAAAGGTGCAGATTCTGACAAACATCTAGTGCGGTGTCACTTACCATTATCCTTCAGTGACCCGACTCCCTGAGCTGCCTTTGCAATCACTTCCTTCTGGCTTGTGACTGTTAAAAAAAAAGTAACATCTAAAAACTTGTACATAGCACCATCGTGCTAGACTATATCAGTCACATTCACCAGATTTTTCCGACCCATTCCACCGTTGCAAGTCTTCAGTTACTTAGAAATTATCACCTTGGAAGCCAAAAGAAACTGTGTTTAGGAAAATCCCTTGCATAAGCAGGAGCTCTCAGATTTAGGATATACGGTGTGATTACATTGTGCTAATAAAAGACAACCACTGCTAGCCCAGTAAAAGCAGCAGGCACCCAAAAGGCTATCCAACTAGATAGCTGGAAATGGCTGGTGCACCTTCAGAGGAGACTCCGTTGGTGGTGCAGGTGTCTGTGGCGGTCACGGCTTCAGTCTGCTTCGAGGGTTCGTCTACCTTCGCCTCGTCTGCGAGCGCCTTGCCAGCAGATGCCTCCTTGTCTTCTTCCTGAAACCAAAATAGCCAGCCTCAAGCACTTGCCATCGAGATGGAAAGTACCAGACCCGAGCCCCCTAAGTGCAACCTTTGACGGCCTTAGCTGTTAGTTCTGCACCCGATAGACACTTTAGCCTGACCTAGTCGTCCTTAATTGCAGCGTCACAAGAGCTTCTAAACTACTTTGATGTGGTTTCAGTTGATGTCATTCACAGGTGCACAACCAGGAACGCTTGTCCCTCAACCTTACATGTTGTCTTCACTTCGTTTGTGTTCAGTTTCCAGAGAGAACTCTAAAATATCTCATTGAGGTGAAACCTCAAGTATCTAATGTAACACTAATGCGGATGTAATAACCCCGCCCACGGTGATAAAAATACTTTGGGTGACGTAAAACCACGCCTCTTCCGAAGGGGCGTCGTGGCGAAGATCAGCACGCGATTTGCTATACTGCCACCAGGGCACGCCACCAATGGCGTGGCCGTCCTTTTGTGAGCAGTAGCATGTGCTGGGCTGCAACGCTGCGCAGTTTTCTGCGGTTATTGTTTTGTTTCTGGCCAGATTTGGCTTCAGGAAGTTGCGAGCAATGGGGAAGAAGTGCTTCGTGCAACGCGGAATGCAAAACGTGAACGGAGAAGCAATCCCCTTTTGTTACTCCCAAAGGAGAGGACCGCCTAAATAAAGGTATGGTATGATGCAATCCCGACCAAAGGCCGCCTGCTGCAGCCGAGAAATTTCATCCGAGAGACACATTTTTAGTTGAGGTTTGTGGGCAAATCCTGAAAAAGCGTCTCCAAGGGCCAAGTTCTCGTAAGTGCCCCACGGAAAGCTGCTCTGGCGAAAGACGCAGTTCCAACAAAGTTTCCGGGCAACCCCTGCTACCCTACGAAGATCGAGAAAAAAGGAAAAGGATCCGTGGACTGGCAGTGCCCTCCTTGCAGCAAACGGCACTATTTTTAACACATTCAGTTTTACTTACCCTGGAAGTGCAAAAGTAGTGCACCATTACATCTTGTTCATCAAATGTTGCTTGTATCAACAAATTAGTTCTGTTCAATAAACAAAATTCATAGATTGAAGCATATTTCTGCCATGTTTCTGCCTCCTTGCGTTTGTGCATGGACTAACGTTCAATGAGTCCTGTCAGCGGTCAACCTCATTAGAGTTGTAGATAGACATTTGGGCATAATCACGTGAAAGGAAGAAGTAGCACGCTACCCAAAAGCCCCTTTCATGCACTAGCATGTAAGCTTGGTCATGAAAAGTATGCCAGTAATGCATTCTATTTATTTATTTTTTTAATTTTAAAGAGGGCTCGTTTGTGAAAACAAAGGAAGTGTTTTGCCTGGTGTGGAGTCGGACATACTAAATAAGCAAATGGCATACCGCCGCCACAAGTGAACTTCAGCGTCCCATCCCTCGTGATCGATTCTGAGCACTTGGCATGCCGATAGTGCGCTTGAATCCGAGGGCCTGCTCTATACACTTCAACAATTACCATTCCACAGCGTAGTGCGCAATCCTTACGGTGCAGTCCTTACGGTGCAGCCCATACGAGTTTTTCCCTTTATGAAGAAAGTAAGCACCATGTGCGAAAATGCTGAAAATGTCACCCGCCAGAACGTGTTCTTTCGAGCCTTTTATATAAATCAGGAATTCCCAGGGCCACTTCAAAATGCCATGTTTAACTGGCACGTTAGCTCATGCAAAGCTTCACTGCAGTCACTGAACGGTCTCCTCCCAGCGTAGCAGAAGCCCTTCGTACGCCTCAACAACTGTGGAGTCATCCGTTGGCGCACACAAGAAATGGGAATGAAAATTTGACGCCTCCGGAGACGGCGTTTCTCCACCCGAGCATTCTTACGCCATGCTCCCGGCTACCGGTCGAATCTCTTATCGTGAGCACGGCCCCCGCCATGAACAAAAGGAGAGTGCAATTTGTTTCAAGTAGCATGAGCTAGGAAAGCGTAGCCTCATAGAAGATGGACAAACTATAATAGAAGAGTGGCAGACTGCAAACAGAAAATGAAAAGCCCCCGCCCTTAAGCGTTGGCAAAACGGGGTCCTCACCTTGCTGGAGTCCTTCAGCAGTTGCTGCTTCTTGTCCAGACCACGCAGGTGGAAGGCCGCGAGCTTCATGAACAACACATACCTCGCCCTGAAAGCATAAGAAGATAGGAGAGAACCACCAATGACACGCGTTGGTCCAAGAAGGAGGGCGCATTCTCTCCCTCACGGCATTCAACTGGAGCACGTGCTAAGCCCATTGTTGGCACATGCTGACGACCTCTTTCTAAGCATGCTCGATTTACGATGCTAGTGCCATTTACGGGTCCTTTTCAGAGTAGTAAATGTCTCCAAAACAGGCATAAACATGGTCCGGAGAACACCCCTAGTGTGTCTCGGTACTGGGACTCCTACTATGGGTAGTGACGGCCAACATGCTTGAAGGAGCATTCTGGAAGAATGTGGTGCCTTCCAGTTCATCCTGGTATTGCGCCAACATGCTCTTTCGAAAACCTTCGCCGTCACACCAGTTAGTGTCGTGAAGTTTGTTGCTCCTCTTAAGAACCATAAAGTGCTCCTTTTATGTAAGAACTGTAGGCATTGCTTTTCGAAAAAGCTAGGACATGGACATATATCGTGGACTTGCATTAAACAGGAACGTTTGCAAAGCGCAGGCTGTGCACCAGAAATTGTGAACAAAAACTTTCAGCCTTTCCACTCCGGTGAAAAAGGAAGACCAGCGAAGCTGTTATCTTTACGACGTCTAGGATGATGCCTAGAGGATAAAATCAAGGACAACCTCAAGGACGACGCCTAGAGGACGACCTGAAGGATGACTTCTAAGAAGATGCCTAGGAAGACCTCAGGGACGACGTCTAGGACGACCTCAAGGACGACTTCTAGGACGACCTCAAGGACAATGTCTAGGACGACCTCAAGGATGACTTCTAGGACGGTTTCGAGGACAATGCCTAGGAAGACCTCGGGGACGACGCCTAGGACGACCTCAGGGACGACCTTGAGGACAGCGTCTAGGACGACTTCTAGGATGATCTCGAGGACAACCTCTCAGAAGACCTCAAGGACAACGTCTAGGATGACGCCTAAGACGCCTTCTAGGACGACGCCTAGAGATATTTAGCCTTTCCACTCTGGTGAAAACCGGAGTGCAAAGGCTGGAAAGCTTGCCGCCGTTGCTTATAGAAGGCGGTAGCTGTCCAGAGTTTTGTGTCGACATTTGTTTGGCCGCGGACACGACACTGGAGAAACTAGCCCTTCACAGCTCCACTGTAAAACCGAGTTTTATCGCTAAATTCTCGCTCCAGCGCAAAGTCCGAGCCTTTTACTGCTAATCTTCGCTGGCATTCCTGTCTTCCCTGACCCCAGTACACTAGAGTAGCCAACTAAAATAGTGTCCAGCCTAACCTCTCTGTCGTTCATTCACCAACGTCGCATGATCGAGCAGTCCTTAAGAAGTAAAAGTATGCAGGTGAGCTGGGTAGGGAACATCGCAATGTGAACCCCGAAAGACAAGGGGGCACTCACTCGACGAAGGCGTCAATCAGCTCCTGGCGCAGGCAGCACAGCTTGTGCTTGTGCTGCCTTGGGAAGCCGGCCTCCCGTGACTCCTTGCACAGCTCCACTCCGTCCACTGGGACAGAGCACAACACCCAAACTCAGTGAAGACACAAATGAAAGAAAATGCTTCTCTGTCCTTTTTATATAGTTTCCTATTGCATCTCATCAAATTTTTTTTTTTATGTTTTTTTAATGGTTAACAGCTATGTTTAGAGCATGAGAAGTCACACATATTCTTACTGGACTTTGTTTGAGTAAACATCTTAGAACCTACTTAAATGAAATCCAAGTCTTGATTTCAACTAGGTGTTTTAATTAGCCAGAAAATGCACTAGGCTTGTCATACTGACACATTTTGTACTTTGATGAGACCAGTCCCAGCAGATGTCTTGATGAGGATGTAGTAATACAGATTAAACAATAATAAAAATAAATAAATATTTATGCATTTGAAAGAATTATATTCCCCAAAACTTTACCCCTTCAAACTACTACCACGTAAGCATTCTTGTCCAGAGCTAGTTTCCATTTACAATTTTCACTAAACATTAAAAAAAAAGAGCAATATTTTAGGGACATATTCCCACACTGGCATCATTGCTAAACACTGTACTAGTACGCATCTAGCAAAGCACCAAGACCAAAGCTCCATGATGACATTTCCGGAGTAGAACTACAGACAACTTACGGATGAGATAGTTGACGTCGGGTGGGAATGTCCGGAGCAGGTCCAGAATGTAGTGTCGGTTATCGTTGCCGATGATACCCTATGCAAGAAGGAAGGCATCGTAACATTGTCGGCAGGAACCAAGGAAAGCAGCTGCCACACCGCTGCACAACTTCATTCCAGAAACTTTGGCAGCTGAACATACCTATTTTACAACCAGATAACCGAGTAAAATCATATTACCTTGCATTCTACCGAAGAGCAGAGTTCCACTTCTTCGCCTTTCTCGTTGATGACGCTTCAAAGACAAAAATCTCGGTTAGAGTCGGAACATACCTCAAGAACGAAAGTGAGTTTGTCAACAACGATGCTGAGAACCTTTACCTGTGGGGAAGGATCTTGAGGGCATTCCCGGCCTTTTTCAGCTGCAAAAAAAAAGCAAAGAAGATTAACAAACTACTGTCACAACTGCTTTAAAAAACACAACATCAACGAGCGAGGGTTAAAAAAAAAAAAGCAACACACCAGATTGCTTGTTAGGGTTACCTGGGGCTAGTCTTTTACGGTGCAGTTGATACAACGCAAAAGAGACCTTCAGCCTTCCTGAAGATATAGCCAGTGTCCCAAAACAGTGTCTTCCCCGTAAGATTGGCTTCCACCCATAAAAGTTCCTCTATCAACTTTACGAATGCACAGAGTTTGCCTGAGCAAAACGACAGGGGCATTATATGGTGCACTAACGAACCACGCACTGCAGAACGCCGAAACTTCATTGGAAGGAAGTCCCGATGGTGAAAGGGGGACATAACAGTTCCAGCCCAGTACACTGCCCGAATCACAAGTTACGAGCGATTTCTCGAAATTAGCACGATGGGACACTCCACTCCATCGATGGCAGATGTAGGCTCGACATGATGCCGCGATCCACATGTGGCGCGAGCCGTCTTTGCACGCGCACTGATGCACAACAGGAAGACCTCCAATCCTCCTGTTGTGTATCAAGGTCCGTTCACATCCCCTCGCGTTTGCTTACGACAGAGTTCTTGCGATCTCTTACGACGAGAGAACACGCAGGCACGCTGCCGCCATCTACGAGATGGACCTGGAACTGCATCTCACTAGAGCGAAGGCTTTGCGGTATTTGCGAGGTCAAGTGTATGCCCGATCTATGAGAAATGATCATTCATAACATTGTCAGAAGTTTTTCGAGCCAAGAAAAAAAAAGTAGAAAGTACATGGAAATGCAAAGTTTTCTACAGCTGCCCAAAAGACGGTGTGTTCGCTCGTTTGCAAGAGATCTTAAGAGGTTTTAAGGCACACGGTTGTAAGCAGTCGCAAGTGTGTGGGCCAGCCTTTATTGCCATGGCACGTGCCGTTCATGAGCACGTAAAATAAGCGAACAAATGGCTGAAAGAGGACCCTCACAATAGCCAAAGAAAAAGAGTGGATACTGGCTCGACCCGACGGCGCGACCCACGCATGGCACTAGCCGTCGTTTCCGTGCACAATGATGCGCAGCAAGGAGTTTGGAGACCTTCCTGAAGAGCACCATCATTGGAGGTCTTCCCGCACAACAGGAAGCTGTGCAATCTTCCTGCAGTGCATCATTACAGCAGCACCCGCCATTCAAGAGCACTTAAACAAATTAACGAAGAAGGAACAACCGAAAGGGAACCCCGAAGAAGAAGAGGGCGTCACCAGGTCAAGGTAGTCCTGGCGGGTGACCACGGTCTTGCCGAAGTCCACGGAGCCGTAGACGACGGACTGGTCTTGCTCCCGCTCCAAGATGCCTGGGATGATAGACTGGGCGGTGACTCGAAAGCCCCGGTAGTCCACCACCAGGGTGCCCAGGGTGCAGAGGCCGTCCACGTCCACCGCCGCGTACGCCCGCACCCCCTGCAGGTCGTTGCAGGGCGCCGCAAACGCCGCTGCGTCCCCGCCCAGCTCCTTGTAGTGGTCCCGCACGTCGAAGCCCAGGCTGAAGAAGATGTTGTTCCAGATGAACATCTGCATCCTGCGAAAGAATAGAAAAGATTGTTAGGGAAAGTTCGTTTTAGTTACTTCAATATACTACATTCTCCAACCAGAGACACAATAAAACTGGACAGAAAAGAAAAAAAAAAAAATGCATTGTAAAATATTGCGGGAGCACCCACTATTAATTAACATTTCCCAAACTTGAGAATTCTACAAATTATACGTTAAGTGCCCAAGTTGACCGGACAAGCGCCCATGTCTAGATTAACCTAGTTTTCAGTGGAAGCGGGGTGGGCACTTCCCCGGTATTTTTCGGTAAGAAAAAACGAAACTGTTCCACGTCACACAGTGCCATAAAGTGAAGAGACAAAAGGGCAGAAAGTAATGACATAGCACAAAAGAAAAGATACAAACGTAGCTATCGAACAAAGTCAGAAGTACTTTAAGGCTTTTAGAGTGGTGGTCCAGCTAGCTTTGAGTTTGGAGCAATTTTCGGAGCAGAAAAAATCTCGTTATGGAGCATGTTTGTATCAGAAAAAGTCGTCTTTCAGAGCAGCTTTAGAGCAGCACATACGTAATTTGGAGCGATTCAGTACAGTTCGTTATTAGTGATACCGGCATGCATTCATGCGATCAGCTTCGTGATGCCCATTAAAAACCCAAATTTAGCAGTTATGATGTACTTTAGTTGGTGACATGTTAAAAGTAGAGTGGAAGGTCCTCCCTCCTCCTTCAACTTTTGCAGAATGAATGCTGTAAAGCATTCGTTCTGCAATGATGCTCGTTCCAATGATGCCCGGCCGCAAGCTGGGCATCACTGGAAACACCGCGGCCATCTGCGGGCCGGACGGAGAGCGTCAGGCATTTTAATACGCATTTTAATAGACATTTTAACGAGTAGAGCGACCAAGGATTCAGGTCATTCGGCATGAAAAAAGGCAACAATTCGTAACCAAGCAGTGCCAACTGAGCATGCTAGCGAAATGGGAATGATGTGCGAGCACATTCGTATAAAACAGTGTCACGCTCTAAACAATGAGCACGCAGAAAAAAAAAGAATGACTTGTGATTGCTAATCTTTAATAGTGCACCTCGAAATGCAACTAAAACTGTTAAAACAGCGGCGCGTTAGGACTGTCGGTAAAATTGGTGCAAACCCTGTGAAACAATGCCGCGGAGCCGGAAACCTAGATTGGATTGTGACGGCCAAACCCCATTGGATTCCCACAGTTATCAGACGAAAATGAAAACTCTTCCAAAAACCATTTCGTTCGTAGATTTGTTCGCCTTGGCACAGTTTGGCGCAATTATTCCCTTTGGACGCAGCAAGGTGCAGGCAAGCAGGAATTTATCAATATGGCGCAAATGGCACAGCTGGACCACCCGTTTATATATAACCTAAACGTGGTGTGATGCTCCCAGCATGTCGCTCGTCCATGACGCTCATTCTTGATGCTCGTCTATGACTATGATGTTCATCCCTGAGGCCTGTTCGTGACAATTTTCTTACAGAAAACAACTGATAGAACACATTCTGAAATAAAAATTCCGTACTTGAAGCCTCCAAATTAGGAGTTTCTCGGATGAACCGAATCCGCCACATTCTTACTGGCTAGAAGTGTTTGGATTTCATCGAACTTTTCCGAAAACGTGGGACCCCGGTTACGACTAGAAAAACTCGGAAAAAAAGGCCGCAGGGGGCTTGCTCACTTGGTTTCCTCGCCAGGATTGATGGCCATGACGTTCCCGTCGACCACGGCCACGGCGCCCCGGGTGGCGGCCGCCACGAAGTCACTGTGCACTTTAAAGACGGCCCGCTCCCGCAGCAATCGCTCCGGCAGCGTCTTGCGAGGCAGCTCCCGCGTTGTCTGCAGTTCCTCGTTCCAGTCCCGTGTCTGCCCCGGGATGTGCTCCTCGTAGCCCAGCTTGAACGAGAAGGCTGTGGGAGGGAACGGCAGGTGTCGGAAATGCTCAGCAAGCTCAACTCCATTTCCTACAGCGACCGCATATACTTTGTTTCATTTTAGAGGGGTATAGAGACTAAATTCTGGCACCTATTTTATTGTCTAAATGACAACCATGTTTTGGCAACACCACGGAGACGCCCCTCTTTTGTTCAGAAAGTCTCGAAAACTTTAAATTAAAGTGAACAAAACGATCGCCAGATTGCACGTGGTGGATGTTTCCAAAGTTACTTGGAATGCCGCTACGCCTGAATTCCCATAAAGTAGCGCCACTCTGTGGAAGTACGACGGCAAGCTATGTCCGCACGCTCCCTGTCGAGCATGGCCGAACCGGATTTCTCTCCTGCACCTATTTAACACCTGTGGGGAGAGGAGGAGAGATCGAGGAGAGGAGGAGGTCAGTGAAGTTTGGGTGCAAATGGGTCACTTTTTTGCCTCGGCTGGCACTGTCCATCCAGTCTATGGGTATCTTGGATGGCTAGGTCGTCATGCGTTGACGCCACCAAGTGGCAAAGCTCATAACCATGCCAACCTCGCCCTAGCCTTGCCAATGCTGAAAGAATGGACGTTATGAATGCACAGCCTCCAGAGACGCGTCTTACTTTCCGATGGCTTCTCTTAGAGCGCTCACTAAAATCGGCCGTTTGAAAGATATAGCGATCCGTTCAAAACACAAACGAGCGAGCTTTCTTTACAGATACTCCTGATCATAATTAACTTATTTCTGAATGTGAGCGATCTATTAAGGGGGGATATGGCCTGGGACGGTCAACTTTTGAACCCTTCACTCAAATTGATTCAAAGTTTCAGGATGAATTGATTCCTATCAATGACGGCACCTAAAATTTCAGCCTTATAGGCCAATGCTACAACATACTATACATATCAGGGTCCAGAAAAAGGTGTCTTCGTTGTGAAATGTATCAAGAAAACTTAGTTGGAATCCACAAATGTTTGTTTTAGTGAGAAGAAGAATTTCATAGTGCAAGTTAAGCTAAGAACTAATAGTAGAAAATGCAATTTTAGAGATAAACACTAGCACCCAATAAGGACAAGAAAATTACGTGAATTTTTGTGCTTTTAAATAATTAGTTTTTATCATGAAGGATTCAGTTTTTTTTTTTATTTATTTATTTATGAGTACCTTAACTTGTTGGGAAATTTCAGTCCAGGACACCTTCGAATGAATCTTCAAACTTTTAAAACGTCAAATGACACATTTTCTCAAACATTTTTTCCTACAAAAAAGTGGAACTGAGAAAAATGCATTTGAAGTTTCAATTTTAGGCTCCTCTATTTTCCATGAGTCCCAGGTACACAAAATTCACCTGGAGCATAGCTAGCACCTTCCTCTTAGAGACTTTGTTAATTTCCTGGCAATGGCTACCAGCCTGCATCGTTTGTGGGCGAGCTAACTCTGGTAGCGGGCAATCCTCGAGAGATACACTGCCGAGAAATAAGATGCAAATGACACCAAAGAGCAGCAAAGTACCAATACGATCGGAAGTGGAAGATACTGTCAAAAGAGAGCAGCTGAAGATAGTACAATATCACGTCACCGCGCCAGACCAATCTTAAGTTCTGCTTCGGGTCTTAATTAAGATTACTCGTACCATATTTTCCGCATCTTTTGCAATTAGGTATAGTATATGGGGTTCTCCTGGACATTGACTTTTAAACTTGGGAAGCTTCTACAGACCAAATCTGAAGTAAATGGCACTTCCAATGAGGATGAGATGCTCTGACTATGATAAATCAGCACAAAGCAGCCCTAATCTAAAAGCTTTAAAATGTGCTCTTTGCTGACTCTAAGGGCTGCCGGCATGCAAAAAATAATTTTGTTGCGAGATAATTCCTGCACACTTGACTGAGCAAGCTTCAAAAACCATTCTTTCAAAGTTAATAAACATGAATATATATATATATATATATTTTTAAACTTTTTTCTACGGCAAATTGGAATTCCAAGGCTAAATACCCTTTAAAATGTTCATTTCAGCATCCCTTTAAATGCGAACATTAGAAGCTATTAGAATGGAAGCAGGAGCAGATCCATGCTTTCAACATTCCCGCCGAGTACACACACATTTGCAATGCAAGCATAATTCAGAAAATGTTAGTGCTTGTAGCTTCAGCTTCCTTCGCACATAAGGACGAACTGCATATCAGCACTGCACACCACAAATCGCAAGAGCTCAGTTTAGGTACTGTGCTCGTTCTAACGACTACCAATGTCTGCGCTCCCACTTTCCCACAGGGTGCGTGAAGAGGCAATGCTTAAAGTTCGAGGAAGGAACTTCACAAGGATGAGACTGAGACAAGAGACTCGCGTGCCCAAAAGAAGCGAAGCAAATTAGATGTTAAATCACACTTCTGGGAACATATACATTCTGCACCTTTTCATAAGGTGGGCGCTCCTTGGACGGGGTGCGACAATCAGTTATGCGAGCCATGGCGAAAGAGTAGATGAACGGAGCTCCTTCGTAAATGGTGCGGCAATTATGTAAGTAGCTACGGCGTACAGCACCCACACAGCCCTCAATAATCCCTTTGCATCACGGAACGTGCTGACAATAAGATCATTACAAACCAGACGCCCCCATCAAGCACGTTGCCCTAGGCAACCATTTTCTCTGCCTAGGGTGCCATCGGTTTGGGGCTAGTGAGTGGTCACACCCTTAACTACCTTTTACAGACACCTTTCGGCTCCAGCCGTCCTCTAGCCGAAAAAAAAAACCTAAGACTGTTTTATGAGTGACGGAGAAAAGTAGTTCCTCACCGTCCTCCGCCCGTATGGAGTCGATCGAATGCTCGGAAGGGGGCGCCAGCCACGAGTAGACCTGGTACGGCGTGGCCACCCGCTCAAAAGGGTGCCGCTGCGTCCGCTTCTTCTGGATCAGCGCGAAGTTGCGCTTGAAGGACGCACTGACCTGCACATCAGGTAACGAGTCAGCCTGACAATGCCTCCGGAGAAACGTCGCTCGCCAGAACGAGTCGCAAATTGAAAGGGACGAGTGAACGTCGAGTGCCGTCGTGAGGAAACGTAAAACTTCGTAGATTGCCGCAAAAACCTAAAGTTGTGAGACTCACCTGGCCAAGGAGGTCCACCAGAGAGTGGAAGACGTGTTTGGGTGACGATGGCCGAGGGTTGAACTCCTCTTCCGTGGATCTGCGAGGGAACAAAAAAACCAATTACTCCACTTGAAAACCTTGCATGCAATTTCCTCAATTGCCCTTTGTCACTCACTGCCTTAAAGCGGAGTACAGCAGATGAAAGTGCACACTGCTGTCGGGACAATACCGAAACCTCTTTCAAAGAGTTCATTGTTGGACAGTCTGAGAATACGAAATGACTGCAAAGCATCTAACGGGAAGAAGTCTCAGAATTTCCTCGCCTGCTTGCTGTATTTGCTCGCACATTTAATATGAATTTCTTCCAAAAATCGAGGCCTTTTTCAGGGGGTGTAACAAATATATTCGAGGAATTTACCAAATAAATGCAACAATAAGGAATAGCTTAATGTTAAAATAGGGGGCGATGCAAATTTCCCTTTATTAACCTAGGTGTTCGAATTATGCTCGGAATTTGCCATGGGGTCACTGTCACTACCAAATTTGCTTTGCCAAAACATCCCAAAAGCAAACGCCAGCTATATTCTGTTCTCGTCAAATGCTCTGTACCTTGTCAACAGATAAAATAGTCAATATCATATTAAAATTAACAAAATACCTGTTTGCTAGATGCTGTCAACATCTCAAAGTGGGACACTAAACTGGCATGCAAAATCAAGGCTTAGCAATCATCCAACAATGACAGTGTCTAGAGCAGCCGACTAATGCGAGCCAACATGCAACGCCGCACTACCGGGCATAGAGGAGAGCACTCACTCATTGACGTAGAAGCCCCTAGTTGATGCGGTGATGTGGTACCTCTTGTCTTCCAGCGTGACCACGTACAGATACATCAGGTCCCCTGCAGACCATTGGGAGAACTCATTCTCCGCTCACACACCTCCGGCAGCCGGCAAACACATCAACGTCATGCACATCTGAATTACCACGACTCCATGTGAAGAGAAACGACCTGCTAAAACCACGTTAAGCACTGTAGTGAAAAACGGGAATACTAAGTGGTACACAGGGATGGGCAGTATTTCAAATACTTTGTGTATTTTGCATTTGTATTTAATTACAAATTGAGTAATGTATTTGACGTGTGTATTTAAATACTAAAACATGGGTATTTCAAATACAATTGTAATTAAATACAATTTTGTGGGCAAAAATACATCCCTCAAATTTATTGTCATGACTCATTTTGCTCATTTTAAGACGTGTCCAGAGCAGGAAGAAAACTATGTTCTGCACAGAATGCAGTGTCTCTCAATCAAGCACAAGCGTTTAGTGACTTTGCAATTACGTTGCTAGTCCAGGGCAAGAATAGTGAAGAAATCGACGTTCACAGGCAGACTGGCTAAATAAGTGCCTGTGACAACTTGTGATGCTTTCCAGCCTGATTTCCATCCATATTTTTGCCTGGAAGATTCTAAATGTGCGGGTCGTCCAGATTTTCGTAACTGGTGCGAGTTGCAACAATAAAAAATTCTCTAGCTAGTGCTGCGCGTCTTGGTCGTCTCGGTCCTTTGTTGGTCTATACCAAAATGTAATCGACAAAAGAAGCTGCTTTAAGCTCTGTACTTTTTTCACCTATTACGTCCAAGCTGATTACATTTTTTTTGTGATTTTATTTCCATTACGTTACTAGAGCCTCGCACACTAACTCCCGAGTGTGCGATGCAAAATTAAAATGAGATACCCAGAAACCCGTTGCAGGTGCCCTGAAGTCGCCGACGCAAATTTTGAGGAATGTATTTGGAAAAGTATTTGGAGGAGACCAAATACATTTGGTTGTATTTGTATCTTGTACTTAAATGTTTTTTTGGAAATGTAATTACATTTGTAATAAATGCATTTTTGACGAAGTATTTTGTATTTGTATTTCAATACATATTTGCATGTATTATGCCCATCCCTGGTGGTACATCACCCCAGATCAAGAATGGGAGGAGCAGTGGTTGACAAGAAGGAGCACCCGTGTTAGTTTCAATGCACTCAGAAATTTTACTCACTCTTATAGGTTGTCATTTTCTGGTTACGATTATAGGCCAGTACCTAATTTTATAGGAGAGTGCTAAAAAAGGAGCTGACACAAGTCTGAATAAATATGGCAGTTCTTTACAGCCGAGGAAGTCTATATGTAACAAGTAACTCTGTGGAAGTTTCTCAAAAACATTATAGTTGGCACATTTTTCTGGATCATGCAGATTTTTAAAGATGTATCAACCGTGCACTATTGAATATTTGAGACATTATAACGAAGCAACGTCCACTCTGTACAACAATTATGAAGGAGGTTTTAGAGCAACCACACAAGCACTTGGGCTGAGAAAAGTGCCCCGTGAGTGCGACGCCAGTTCGCCACTCATCGGGATTCGACCGTCTTGAAAGACAATGTTCACACCGAGTTTGCTGCCTCACCATGCAGTTTTCTGGGGCCCGGCGGAGGATTCCAGCCACTTGTGGTCAGGACTTTCAGAGCTTGGTAGTTCTGCAATTTACGGAATGAGATGGGATCACGAATGTTGCAGCAGGCAAGCCAGCAACTATAAAAAAGAAAGGCGAGAAATACGCTAGACAAACGTAATGTAGGTAGGCCTCTGTTTAAGGTCTCGTTCTGTCCAGATTCGTGTCTTAGAGATAGAGAGCACAAGTGCACAGTTGGCACAAACACATGATCAGCTTAGTTTTGCACACTTTATTTTTCTTTCTTACATCTGAGACCGTCATCAAACACACACATGTATCCGAACACACGGATGTGGGGCCACAATTTGGGTTGTAAAATTCGGAGCAACCAAACCCAAAATAATAGCGCCCAAAAGAAAAGAAGGAAGAACAAAAGAGACAAAAGGCACTGCCCTACCTTCTGCTCTTTGGCCTGTGGCAGGAGGGGCACGAGCGGCGGGGGCTCCTTGGAGCCCGGAATGATGTAATCGGGAGGCGTGCAGTCGACAGACTCCGCTCTGCTCTTCTTCTCTGCGGGGAGAGAGGCCTCTCGTGTTTACGGCCAACTCCTGGCTGAAGCGCCACGCGTGAGCTGTACAGTCTGTGAACACTCAAGAAGGTAGGGCGAGGAAAATGAAGGTGAGAGAGGAGGTAATGAATGCAACGCTGGCAAGGGAAAAAGAAACCCCGTCCCCTCGCCAGTATTGCATCCTCTTCCTCTTTCCCCCCACTTTCCTTTCCCTCGCCCTACCTTCTTAACCTGCAACATACTATAGTGAAATCAGAGTTCGAAGTGAATGCCGTTTTGACCGAGTGTTATCGAATCGACGGTCGCCACGCTTCATTTGCAGACATAAAAGCTGGCCACAGATTATGCAGTTTGTGAGAAAATTTTTTAAATTTTATTAGCTATTCCTATATACTAAAACAGTTAATTTCAATGATAATGCAATTATTTCAAGGTGCAAGCAAGCTGGACAAGAATTACTAAAAAGAAGTCAGAAGACAGCTAAGCACTTCTTATGAGTTGTGAATGCGAAAGCAAGAATATCGAATGGAACTCTGCGGAGTGATCCGCGGAGTTTTGTGGCACGAGTAATGTTTTCGAGTTGTGGCAGAAGCACCTGCGACGATGTGGATGATGGAGGCGACAGCATGTTGGTCGGCGGCGAGACGAGCGGAAGCCTCCGAGCGCGCGCCAACGTGTCCGTTTTAACCGGCGCGGGGCCCGTAGTGGCATGCATGGGGTTGTGGCGGTTAGTTTCATCGGCGTGCTGGAGGCACGGACACGCAGCGCCATCTGGTGGCAATCGTTGAAACTGACGCGCACAGCGGCCAATGGGAGCCTCGTCGCCGTGCGCCAGCCAATGGGACCTTTGGGATCAGGGAAACTAGGTGCCGTTTTCGCACTTCAAACTGATGACGTCAGCTCGCTCCATGGGACGTTAAGGCTTTCGCATTAATCATCTCTGGAGAAGGGGAACCAGGAGCACAAAAGACGAAAACAAATCTCCAAACAGAGCTAGGTGACTAGGGTTACGAACTCTTCAATGAACGAAGTCTGCGAGGGAGGAGAAGGGAGACAGAAAGGGGTTTATAGAAACAATGATGATGATAACAGGCACTGCCTGGCCCGGCACCAATGTCGCCCGATTTCTGGCTTGCCGTGGCTTCCATGGTAAAGTGGCTAAGGGGCTAAGGCTGCTCGCGGCCAATGCTAGCCACCGCAGCATGGCTTCTTGAGATTCGTGCTTTGCAGCGTGACGCACATTGTTGGGCATGCATTGGATCACAGAATTTTAAACTGGACGACCTGTACCAAATCCGGGAAACATTGCTGTCCCGACAGGGATGATGTCGGACTGGGGACATTTATTAAGAAGTTGGGACAGTCCCGCAAAATCCAGGACGGTTGGTAACCCTATAGGGGACTGGTACGTGACCGAAAAAATCCGCCTGGTCCTGGTATTGAATTAGGGACCTCCCCATTTCCAGTGGAGCAATCTACCAACTGAGCTAACCAGGAGTGAAACGTCAGTCGAGCAAATGATATGGTCCCAGGTTCGATACCAGGACCAGGCGGACTTTTTCGGTCGCGCACCAGTCACCTAGCTTTGCTTGGAGATTTGTGCTTGTCCCTTGTCCCCCTTGTTCCCCTTCTCCAGGGATTATTTTCGTCAGTTAATTTCATTTTGAAAGTCAGCCTCGGCAATCTCATTGCAAAAAAAGAAAACATTAATTTTTCAAACAATTTTTGTTACGTGAAGAGGATGTCATAAAGTCGACCTGTTCTAGTGAGATCATAAAAAAAGAGCACTAAAAGCTGTTTATACCTCTCCTTTTGTCGAGCAAATCATGTGCAGACTAACTTCCTAAACTTTGCCACCCCAGTGCCATTTCGTGCCGGTAATGCACCGATAGGCCGCAACTTTTAACACTTAATTTTGCGACAAAGAATTTTCCGCCACCTGGCAACCCTTTTCAAACTCCCGCCTCGCCAAATCCGAGGGCGACTTAAGGGGTGATGTGGGGCTTGAGCAATTTTTTTTATTTACAAAGGAATACTTATCATATTATACACTGGTATAACACATCTCACACCTATTCCAAATATGCAATCAGATATTGAATATCTTTACTAGAACCAGAGTTATGGGAGATTGGCCTAATTTTATGAGGTCATTTGTTACGAGTCGTTAAAGAAAAAGTATTCGTAAATTATCAAAATTTTTAATGCAACTGTATTCACAAAGGTGTAATTTGTGCGGTGATGCTATTTTAGATCTTAACTGAGAGGGTTATGTCACTAAAAAATGATTGCAATTATAGTGTAAAAGAGATGCTTTCTCATTATTTAAGAAAGTAATTAATTGGATAGAACTCTTAAGCTGGAAGACTATAAAAATAGCATCATCGCACAGCTCCTTTCTTCGCGATTAAAATGGCACCAAACGTGTTAATATTGTCCAAGACAAACTTCAGAAAACGCCTGTAAGGCATCGGTACTTGTGAAAAAAGTGTGAAGAGAGAAAAAAGCCCTTGAAGTATGTGTACTGAATGTTCATAGAAAATTAAGACTTTATATTTTTCTTTCATACTTAAAAATTAGATAGAGCAATAATATTTTGCCCAGAGCTGGGTGGGTATGTCTAAATTCCAGAAAAGCCATTTTCTCAAAAGTGAATTTTCTCCAGCTTTTTACCATTTAAAGACCAGCCTCCCCCCTTAAATTCAGATTCGGATCGTTCCGAAAGGAAGATCGTCCCACGTGCGAAATCCGCGGAAGAAGGCGTAAGAAAGCCTCACCAAGGATGTCTCCCTGGGTGACAACGTTGAGGAATGCCAGGGAGCTGCAGTCGATGCCGTTGTACGCATCCCCGGCATCCAGGGACTTCAGCAGGTCCCGCACATGGCGTACGTGAATCCGGGCCTCGCGCACAGTGTATGGCTCTGCACGTGAAAAGCATCCAGAGATCAGTTCCTAGACGAGCCAAGAGGACCAGCATGTGTCACCTCCCTGCACCTCGTAGGGCAAACGCAACCCATGAACTGTGTGAACCCGATTGAGCAATTGGAAACTCTGAAACACAGGTTCTTAGAGAACACACTGGCACAAAGATTTCGTGGTATTTGCGAGACTGAGCATATGAGTCATCTACGAGAGAAGGCTGCTTAGAACCAGTGTGTCGAACCGAAAAAAATACGGGTTCGGTTACGGTTCGGGTTCAGGTAAATTTATTTTGTTCCGGTTCAGTTCAGGTTCGATTAATTCGATCCGCGAACCGGTTCGGGGTGCTGAACCGGTTCGCGAACCGGTTCGAAAATTATAAATGACAAATTGCAACATCAAAATAAATTACAAATAAAACATCTGAAATCAGCACATACGAAACAGGATACATCGTAGTGTAAGGCTCAGGGATTTCTACCAGGAATGGTTCCTTTATGTGCACTCAAAGGTTACCTCACCGACATTTACACATTCGGACTTCATCTACTTGGGTCCGACGCAGTAGCTGTAAAATCCGCGACCTCCTTACAAACCCACTTACAAGTAGAACTCGCTAACTATTCCACCATCTCGGCGTGTAAGCAATTGAAGGAACAGTGGGGAGAAAATACAGCTTTCTTTATTTGAACTAGCTTTCGGTAACTCAAATTAGAAAGAAGTTTTCATTAAACAAGATACGGAATATGAAAAACACTTCACCGAACGCAACGCCAGAAGGACGTAATAGGATAAATATTAAAATAGAAGAGTTCGCTGTCTCACAAATATGTTAGCTTCTAAGTGCCTATACGAAACCGGATGCATTATTATCAAACTCCAAAGCCTTTTCTTTTCTCATTCCAATGGAAGCAAGCTTCAAGAACTCGCGCGTTCTAGAAACATGTTATGAAATGAGCACACAGCAGCATTTAGGATTTACGAGATTGTAGGAAAATGAAATCCCGTGACGCAATTTTTTTTTTTGCACAGCCTTCCAATTTTTTTTCCGTGCAAGCCGCGACCAGCGCAATACTGGTTCCTATGTCAAGATTCATGGATGCAGCCTTTTTCAAGATTCATGGATGCAGCGTTTATATTCCTAAGACTCAGTGGGGAAGAAAAATATTTAAGCGAGGTGTGTGTCAGTTGACGGCACTTAAAAAACAAATGGCATTGATAGCACATTCATTGTCAACAGCGCGTGGCCAAACCGTTTTGACATGAGCCGGTAACCGTTAATTTTTTTCCGGTTCAGTTCCGGTTCAAGTTCAGTTCCGGAAAAAATACAGATTCGGTTCCGGTTTTCGGTTCGGTTCCGGTTCGACACCCTGCTTAGAACATTGTCGGAAGTTTTCAAAGCCAATAAAGAAAGAATGACAGGCGAAAAAAAATAGCAGATATTCGGAAATGAAAAGTTTCCACGGCTACCGGACAGAGGGCACCGGTGTCTTCTCTCATTGTAGGAGATCGTGAGAAGTTTTAACGGACACAGTCGTGAACAGTTGCAAGCGTGTTTACCGACCCTAGAGGTGCGCGCAGGAAGGGGAGGGACTGACCTTCGACGACCTTGACCAGGGAGCCCTCCTGGAGACCCGGTATGTTCTTGAGCTCCGCAAAGTTGTCCAGGGTGGCTCCGTCCAGCTGCAGGCTAAAGCAGGTCCGGTGGCACGTGTCCTCCCGATCCATCAGCAGCTGGTGGATCTCCTGCACCAGCTCCATCGAGCTCACCTGCCCCCGGGGACACAACTATCAATCCACGGGGTCGAACGCCGGCCACCAGACTATGAGCCAAAACCTTACTCGTAGCCATTCCTATCTTACTTATACAATGAGCGAGTGTTTCAACATGGCTCTTTGGCGCACTGAAATGCAAGGAGGCACGCACCATCAAAAGGTAACATATAGAGAATGTGCAGGGAATGCGCGATGACGAGGCAGTCCAGAGCGTGCACAGCCGGATGCAGCTCTGAAGTTCATAGGTTGACCAAAGTGAGGTGCCGCATGCTACCAATTCTACATCCATCCATGCGTTACCACCTGTAACTAGTTCGGTATCTCACCGCTACATTTTAGCGCACTGTAATAGAGAACGACCTCAATCACCATACAGTTAACGCTCTCCTTCTGCCTGAGCCAATCGCAAAAAACCCACTCCCGATGGCGTTGCGTAATCCACGGCGCCATTTGAATCTCTTCCCGTGGCTGCTGCAACGGCTTTCTCTGCTCCCTAATCCCGTCGCGCAATGTGTGGAAGCGCGGATGGCTCGGAGGCTCGAATGCGCCCGATGAGCCGACGCAAAGTTGGCAAAATGGACACTTCGGAACTGGAAGATCTTTTTAGCCATCCGCATTTCCAACCAGGTTGTGCAATCGCTACAAGTATGTGAGGTCCAAGCAATGTTTTCGTTTTCACTCGAAGCAAGCACAGTCATCTGGGATGTGGCGATCGGAAATGTGCGGAAGACTGGCACCCCGGATTTGCGTTTATTGCAGGCAAGTTCTAGCCGCATTATGTGACTGTTACATATATGTAAATTTATTTACAAGTCATAACACAGAAAAAGAAAGGTCAATGAAGTTGTCTGCGAATGTTAAAAAAGTAGAGGTAATAACTTTTTTTAATGAATAAAAACATATTTGTTGAATCAAGTTATCACCTCTCCAAGAAATTTGCAAATTAGTCTCACTAAATGTGGAACAGTTTAAAATGTGCCGAAGCAACCACACATGAAGTGAATATGGGCTTACTTCGGCATATTTGCAGAATGATGCTGCTATCTACTTATTCGAAGAAGTGGAAGTTCACCACTCTCTGTGCAGACTTCACCAAGGTACTCTTTAATAAGAAGTCTGCAATCCAGTCGTGGATGCCTCAAGGACAAGTGCTTGTGAAATTGTATTGTTCTTTGACAAATAAAAATAAAAAATTGGAAAATTTCTTTGATCTTTGATGTAGCGCCGTGTAACCTGCAAGTCTATGGGGTCATACGTTTCTTGAAGATAGCTGTTGAGCACAAATGCTGTATTCAAACGTTTCGGGCTCAAACAAGCTATCTTTGAAAATGGCAATCGAACCAGCGGAGTCAGAGTAACGAACGGCCAGAACATAGAATATAGAATACGCGGAATGGAGGAAGCGACGGAAAAAGAGGGGGGGGCTGCAGCAGCCATGGCCTGTGCACCGTGCGATCGGCGTCGTTACTGCCATCTGGCATCAGAACAAGTTCATTTAGATCTAGGGACAATAGAGAAAACTGGGCTGAATGGCATACTTTGGGGAATTCCTAAGGTACCCACCCCACTGGGCCCCCAATTCTATCCACTGTCCCTAGGTAACAAGCAAACTTTCCAGTTCTTCAATCCAGGCATAGTTTGAGCTTCTCTGAGCAACACATTAGCAGGTTCAACATTTCCCGACTTTTTTATATAATGTATGTAGCATTGCTCACACAGTTTGCAAGCTTGTCAGCTGTTTCATTTCAAGAACACACAAAAAAAGAATGAAGGGCTCTCTCTGAAGGCATCAGCAAGATTATCGAACCCAAAAAGTTTCCAAACCGCCGTGCCAAAAAAAAAAAAAATGCTCAAAAAGAACTTTTTTTTTTTAAACAACGGATTTGCAAAATTGGAAGTGTCAAGCGTGGCACGACTCATCCGGAAATAGCCAACCCAGCACACTCAGCGACACAATCGATCCTCTCCAGCTTCTTTCCGTCACGACACACCAGACGGTAGTCTTCTAGCGGCTGTCCTCACTCTCGACAAAGCACGCACGAGACGAAGCGCGTGTCTTTTTTTCACATGCTCATGGTTGTACAACCGGTACAGACGGGCAGTAGGACCCACCTGGATGTCGAAGGGGTCCAGGCCCGGGGCGGCGATCTTGACGTTGAACCCGGTGTCCTGGATGAAGACCAGCTCCTGCCCTGGCGTTGCGTCACTGCTCAGCTTGGCGTCCTCTTCCGACGAGGTCGACGATGACCCCTTGCCGCTGTCCTCGGCAGACGACGCCAGGCTGGCCGCGTCGCACTCCCCATTGGTGGCCGCCGCCGGCATGGCTGCCCCCTTGGCCGCCTCCGCCTTGTCTGCGGAGAGAAGGAAGTTACGTCAAATTCCAGAGTTCAAGTCTCCAGCAAAGGACCGAGGATTACCGTCAAAACAGTGATGGCACAGAGAGCTGGTGTAGGTTTACCATTTTATTAAACCACCCAAGACTGGCTGGAGGACGAGAAGAAACCACAGTAGAAGAGAAAGGAACACAATGACAGTTCTCATTTTCCACCCAGTCTCAGGTGGTTTAAGAAAATAGTGAGGATTACCATTTCTCATGGGGTATAAGTTGTGGTTCTTATCCCAAATTTTCATTCGTGCATCTTATTTTTTTTTTATATATAAGCACGGACTTTAGCTTTGCACAATGTAGGCTGAGTTTGGTTCGCTGGCAAGTATATTAGAATTGGCTCCTGCTCGTGATCGCAACGCATATGTGTGGGATTAGTATCGGTGCAGTTTTGCCACGCCGACTGTACAAAGGGGTGTGGCTTGTATACTAACGTTGTGAAAATGGCAGTTTATGAGGAGATGCAGCTGTTACAACGATGCAACTTATAGACTGGAAAATATGGTAAATGAAACCACTTGGGGACTTCCAGCATGCAACAGAATTCTCGGTTGTATGGCACCTACGACACAACAGGGTCGCTAAACTTGTGAAACTCAAAGTTGGGGCCAAAGTTAACGGAGCGCACCGATTGGCCTATCACGATGATGACTTTGCGCTTTTTTCGCCGACGTCCAATCGATGCGCTCCGCAAACTTCCGGCTGAAACTTTGTGTTTCACGAGTTTAGGGCCCCAGGCCTTTGCTGCCTAAGTAAAGACATCGACCCTCCGACTGAGGGTTCAGTAGGCTGACACACTGCCTCGACACCACTGAGGCAAATAGACTGCGGGAACAGACAGACATTACAATTCATCTCTCCAACCAATCAGACTGTTTGGCTTCTCCCAAAATCTTTTCCCACCTTTCAAATGTACCCACTCTTCGCAAGCTCAATGTCCGAGTGGAGTAACACGCCCACATGTGGGATAAAGATACTTCAGCCACCGAAGGCTGCCTAAAACACCTTAACCAACACGAGAGATACAAATATTTTAGCAAGAGGAAAATAAACTTCGCCACGTTAAATTTGACCTGTGCAGGGGAAAGTACTCACTTATGCATGCTGGGGCACCCATAGACCCATATCTGGGCCCCACCGTACAATTAGAATCGGCAACAACCAGGTAGAAAATACGAATACTCATAACTGGATTAACTTTTTCAACGAGTTCGAAGGCATATACGCCAAGACTCGAAGCAAACCTGCGCTGCAATACGGCCAATGACCCCTAGCAAACTGTTATGTGCGGCTCACAGCAACTAGAGTAACCTGCACACCCGATAAATTGCAAGTCATTGAGTTGAAGACTCAAGTCTAACACCATCACTGAATCCGCACCCCCTAATACTAGTATCCAGAGTAGTGGAGTGCCGAGACCCCCAACAAACATGCCAACGCATGTTTGCAGATGCTACACTAATGAACCACCAAGGAACCCAAGCCCTCCTCCGCAATTCCCAACGCTGGCAGGCACCGTCTGAGAACTCACTCCCGAATTTCGCCAAGAGGTCACTTTGAGTCATTCTGGACCGTGCAGCTGGGAACCAGAATGGCTTGGACTCCTATCTCGGTATCTGCGTTCCTTTCCCCCAAGCCCCAGCTCATCTCCAAGGGGAGAGACTGCACCAGATACCTTTGTTTACGCAGGAGGGCTCCTCCAGATAGAACGCTGATTACAGCACTCGAAGCCTCAGATTACCCAACCCCGCTTTTGAAGATTTCTAAAGGAGATACGGTGAAGTCATATTCTGGGAGAGAAGGACCAGTTAGTTGAATGTTGGGTATGCAAATAAGCAATATTTCAAACTGTGCTACAAAAGCGCAAGTAATCAAGAATTCAAAGAGCTTGTATTAATGTACAGGAAGCGGCTGTAAGGACCAACACATTTGACACAACTCACAAAATTCGAATTTTAAACGTAAATACCTGAAACTAGGCACGCAAACGTCTTTTCGGAAAAATATCTATTTTTTTAAAGCCCAACTAAGAGGTGGTAGAACATAAAAAATAAAGCAAAACTGGCGGCCGTGCATTTCCCATGTCCTATACCAGCCTGTGCGTCGTCTGCACACTGGTTTTAGAACTCGCTCCACTGTCTAACTTACTGAACAAACAAAAAAAAACAAGAAAACCGCCGAGAACGTCATAGTAGAGGCTGGCAACGAGCAGGAAAATAGCGATAAGTATCACCTAGGAGTACAAAAAAAAAAAAAAAAACATTTGTGAGCAGACAATGAATGCTGTTTCTGCTTCATTTCTAATATTTCACCACGTAGCTCTAAACTAAACTGTAAGAAAATGATCATATTACTTAGGTATGTGGTGAAATTACCACATACCACATAAGTTATAGGTTTTGCAAGAGATGCCAAATGTGCCGGTTCTTACGGCTACTCCCAGTACATGATGATAACCTTAATATTTATACTGGTTTTGGGCACTTCACATATGCATAAAGGATGTTCTCTATTAAGTACCCCAAGGAATGTGTTGTATTATATTCGTTTTTGCTACTTCGGCATTTGTTGTTTTAGTTTTACTATCAACTTTTCATGTTTTTCTTCAGCAGGGATGGGCAAAATACATGCAAATATGTATCGAAATACAAATACAAAATACTTCGTCAAAAATGTATTTAATTACAAATCTAATTACATTTCCAAAAAAGCATTTAAGTACAAGATACAAATACGACCAAATGTATTTGGTCTCCAAATACTTTTCCAAATACATTCCTCAAAATTTGCGTCAGCGACTTCAGGGCACCTGCAACGGGTTTCTGGGTATCGGTTTATAATTTTGCCTCGCACTCTCGAGCGTTAGTGTGCGAGGCTCTCGTAACGTAATAGAAATATAATCACAAAAAAAAAAAAATGTAATCAGCTTGGACGTAATAGGTGAAAAAAGTACAGAGCTTCAAGCAGCTTTTTTTTTTTTTGTCAATTGCATTTTAGTATAGATTAACAAAGAACCGAGACGACCAAGACGCGCAGCACTAGCTAGAGAATTTTTTATTGTTGCAACTCGCACCAGTAACAAAAATCTGGACGACCCGCACATTTAGGATCTCCCAGGCAAAAATATGGATGGAAATCAGGCTGGAAAGCATCACAAGTTGTCACAGGCACTTATTTAGCCAATCTGCCTGTGAACGTCGATCTTGTCACTATTCTTGCCCTGGACTAGCACCGTAATCACAAAGTCACTAAACGCTTGCGCTTGACTGAGAGACACTGCATTCGGTGCAGAACGTAGTTTTCTTCCTGCTCTGAACAGTGACAATAAATTTGAGGGATGTATTTTCGCCCACAAAATTGCATTTCATTACAATTGTATTAGAAATACCCATGTTTGAGTATTTAAATACACACGTAAAATACATTACCCATTTGTAATTAAATACAAATGCAAAATACACAAAGTATTTAATATACGTATTTCAAATAATTGTATTTGAAATACTGCCCATCCCTGGTCTTCAGTGTATAATATGTGCACCTCATGGAGAACTAGGTGGAATTCTTTGTGGGCACAAAAAAATTCAAGCATTATGACTTTACTACTCTTATTATTATTTGGTAGGAGTCAGGCTGAAAATAATGTGACCCACAAACATCAAAATTAATAAAGTGTAACGGAAACTAGTGGTAGAACACACTCTCATCGACAGAGCTTGTGTTTCATCAAAGCATGTTTAAGCTACCTGTGCCTTCTTAGGAAAAAAAACATTAATAGAAAAAAACACTAAGGTCGTACAAGACCATTTTGACCTTGCTGCAATATTAGGAGCTGAAAAAGGGGCAGTTCTTCAGATCAACTCCAATCTGTCCCAGAGTCGAACACGTTCGTTTCATCAGACAAGACGGATCATAATGAATTCCTAAAATTAGACAGGCATTAACACCATTCTGCCCTGTGATGCAACAAACTCATTGGCACCTTAAAAAAAGGAAACACTATCCCGCAGTTTTATGTAAGCATGTGACTGCAGCATAGAGGAAGTATAAAAAACAATATGGTAAAAATCTAAAAATAAAAAGCAAAAGGTGTATAAACTTTTTTTAATTTCATTCTACCTTGAAGTTAAACAGGCAAGTACTAGGGCACCTGGAACAATCAGACATTGTTAGAGGCTTAGATGCAACGGCAACACAGAGTCAAAACAGCCATGAAACGGTTTTAGGATGCAACTCTTCTTTAGTGTCTTGTTCAATGCAACTACAATGTGTTACAAAAAAAAAATGTTCTTCTAAAGTTTCTGGAGAGGAAACTTTAGAAGAGCTTTAGAACCCCCCCCCCCCCCCCCCCAATTTTTTTTTTCTTGATATTTTTGTTGTGCTTTTATTTCAGGTTGACGTGCCGAGAGAGAAGCAAGTTTCGGATCTGTTCCTCAATCAAAACGAGTCTCGCAATGCGAATATTGCGCTAGAAAAATTTTGTTCAGGGAACTAGTTTATTTGGCGACATAGGTGTACTACCAATCCCTTCACAAGAAAAACGGTGGGTGTTCAGTGTCCCTTTAACAAATACCGCAAGTTTTGTTTCATTGTGCGACGGCAAAGCTGGAACGAGGTCTGCCGGTCAACCCCACGACTGCTCTGGGTACTTCTCGTAAGCTTGAAAACGTGCGTTTCGGAACACTGCAGAGTAAGCTTCACAATGACTGGTAGAGGGACTTGGTCACGAGTGTATTGTCTCGCATCCTCCTTCCCGCTTATTCGGGCACTTGCTTTGTCGCGTCATGTGGCTCTATCTTTGGACGACGCTTCGGAGAGAAAGCACTGCCCAATTTTCGCCCCACGCAAACTATAGGGCACGAACAAAACAATGAAGGCATATCCCGACGTTTAGGGCCCGTTCGGCATTTATTCTGGGCATTGCCGAACCGTGGGTAATGCAGCCCTCGAGAAATTATGACTAGT